ATGAATAATATTGGTGATAACTCAAATTAAATAATCACGGCAATATAGTAAATTAACAAACCTACTTACTTTACCTCATTTACTCTGATAGTTCAAGATTACCTTCATCATCATTCGATGAAAGTTCATCCATAATCTCTCATAATACATTACAGAAATTTTTAATATAAATTTTGGCAAAATCTCCCCTAATATATGTTAATTTCTTTACATTTGTTTACCATTAATTTACAAAAATGAAAATTTCACCTAAAATCAACTAATAAATTATATAACAATAAATTATTCGATACATCAAACATAAACACATCACAATCTTAAACCGTTCTAGAGCACATCCCCTTGTAACTCCACAACATGCATATTCTACAAACTCCACAAACACAAACAATCCCACAGCACACAATAATCAGGTTCGGAGAAGGACCTCTACGCCCTTCCCCCCAGTCATACAATCTCCAATCCTACAACTTTATCTTAGAAATTTTAAGTCTCTAAAAAACATAAAAAATTAAAAAACTAAACTGATTAAAAGTTAGAGTATCGTACCAGGAATACAATGATGCAAAAAAACTTTCAAATGATTGCTCCAATCACTCGCAATGACCAAAACACTGAGCTCCTAGAGAGAGAGAGAGAGGGGGGGTTCTGATAATGGGGGAGGGGAAGAGGAGACGTGGTTTTTATGGGTTTCAGTCATTATAGACGGAAAAATCCGTCTGTAATGGGTTTAATGAAACGGTGCGTTTCAGGTGGCATATTATAGACGGATTTTTTCGTCTGTAAATGCGTCAATCCCATTTATAGACAGAAAAATTTGTCTGTAATTTGCCACCTGAAAGGTCGGTTAAAACCGCCATATTTACAGACGGGAAAATCCGTCTGTAATTTTCCGCTATAATATTTTCTCCTATTTTCAAATTACAGACGGAAAAATCTGTCTGTAATTGCTGTCTATAACGTTTGGCGCCAAAAGGCGGGCTAAATACAGACGGATTTTTTAGAAAATAAAAAAAATTATTCCACAAATCCGTCTGTAAAGTCGTCTGTAATACAGACGGATTAAAATCCGTCTATAAAATCCGTCTGTATTAAGCACTTTTCTAGTAGTGTAGCTTGACAAGTCCACTGGCCCATTACAGTGCCTATATAAGGAATGTAAAAGTACAGATAAAGGGTTGACTTTTCATTATTAAATAGCATTTATTGCTCAGAACCGAATCCTGACTTCAGCATCGGAGTGCCTTTTGCAGGTACCCTCCCACGTCAGCAACGGTTAGAAAAATGTTAGCAAGTCAGAGCAGAGACTTGAAGACCTGTGTTACCTTAACAAGAACATTTTGGCGCCCACCGTGGGGCACTATTAGCCTCATTTTTCAGAATTAAAAATGGTACTAACGAGAAGCTAACAGGAAGGACATGTTCAACAGGGAGGAACCTCTCGGCAACAGTTGGAGAATGTTACACCAGATGAACCGACACATGAAGTATTGATGCAATAAGGGACCGATGAGAGCCTTTTAGCTGTACTAAGACATCTCAAAGCAGAAATGGCAGAGATGAAAAGGGAGAGAGAAAAGGATGCATTAGAGCTCTCGGCTCTGAGAAGGGAAAATGCTAGCTTGAGAGGAGAGATCAAAACACACATCCCTTCTCAAAATACACCTATCATCCAGGATCAGGGGGAATCCTCGGCGCTGCAAGAGAAATCAAAGCAAGTTTATCAATCTGAAGCTAAAAATGATCGAGACGATCTCGTAAGCCGAAGCCCATTTGTTCACCATATACTGGAGGCTAAGATGTCTGATAATTGGAGAGACTTAACAATAGATAAATATGATGGCACATCGGACCCTATGGAACATTTGGATGTCTTTACAACCCAAGTCGATCTGTACACCGAGAATGATTCTTTACGGTGTAGGATTTTTCCCACCTCACTCTGAGGGCCTGCACTCAGTTGGTTCACTCAACTCCCCCCTTCATCCATCGACTCTTTTGCAACACTCGCAAGATGGTTCAACTTGCAGTTCGCCACAAGCTGACCTCATCTCTTAACATCCTTGGTGTTGGTCAACATTCGCAAAGAAAAGGGAGAGTCACGTAGAGCGTTCATGGAACGCTTTGGCAAAGTGACCCTTTCGATCCATAATTTGGAGCCAGCAATGGCCATGCACCACCTCACAACGGCCTTAAAGTCAGGACCTTTCGTTAATAGCATATGTACAAAACCACCTGTCGACCTAGACGAGTTAAGAAGTCGGGCCGCAAAGTATATGCAGATGGAAGAATTGTCCGAATACCGAAACCAGGTACAGATGGACCAAGGGTCCAATTCAAAAAATACAGACAGGAAAGAAGCTTTCAAGGCTAGGCAGGGAAATGAGAGAAAAAATGAACTTGAAAGGCCGCCCCGGGGACCTAAGTATCCTTCCTACACTACGCTCAACACTAATCGGTCCAGAGTACTTGATCAGGCATTGGCCACAGAAATATTGAGAATACCTAGACGCGCCAATACCCCTCCTCGGACAGATAAAAGCAAGTCTTGCCGATATCATCAGAACAGAGGTCACACCACCGAGGAGTGCACAACACTGAAAGATAAAATTGAAGAATTAATCAAGGAAGGACATTTAAAAGATTTTGTACAGGCAAAACCCATGGGGCAACCTAACAGAGGAAGAGACCGTTACCCTAAACCACCGAGGAGATCTGATGACAAAATATTTAAAAGACATAGGAGTAGGTCGAGGGAACCCCCAACTAGAAGATATGATAAACGAGAGAAATATCCCAAAAGGGTCATTAATACCATAGCTAGAGGGTTTGCCGATGGAGAACCTACCCATTCGGCCAGAAAGAGGCATATCAGGCATGTCCGTTCTGTTAATAATGTTTTATTGTGCAGCAGAATCCGGATCCCACCTATTACGTTCACTAACGATGACTTTCAAGGACTCGATCCGGTGCAGGATGATCCCATGGTCATTAGTGTAGACATTCTTAATTGCACTATTCGAAAAACACTAATTGACCAAGGAAGCTCGACTGACATCCTGTATTGGAATACATTTAAGCAATTAGGCATCCCTGAAGAAGAACTCAGAGAATATCACGAACCGTTGGTCGGTTTTTCTGGGGAACGAGTGGAGACTAGAGGTTGTATTGACTTGTATACCTCGTTTGGATCAGAGTATGAGGGAAAACGTATAAAAGTCACTTATCTTGTAGTACATGCAAACACCTCCTATAATATACTACTCGGCAGAGCATCCCTGAATAAATTGAAGACCATAGTGTCTACTCCGCACTTGGCCATGAAGTTTCCATCTGAAAGGGGCCGAATCGTTACAGTCCATGCTGACTAAAAAATAGCCAGGGAATACTACTTTGCAAGCTTACGTCTTAGACCCTTTCATGGGAATAGCCGAGATGTCAATATTGTATCCCCTCGGTTGAGAGAGGAATTAGATGTTGAACTTGATCCTAGAATGGATGAGGGATATCGGGTTGAGCCTAATGAAAACAAGCAATCTTTCCAACTTGGATCAAAGCCAGAACAAGTTACTTATATGGGGGTCGGTTTAAATGCACAAGAAAAGCAAATTTTTCAGGAAATGTTGCTGAATAACACCGATTTGTTTGCTTGGTCAGCCTCGGACATGCCTGGCATAGATCCGGCATTTCTTTGTCACCACTTATCGGTTTATAAGGGGATCAAACCGATAGCTCAGAAGAAGAGGAAAATTAGTGGCGATAGAGCAAAGGTAGTAGAAGAAAAAACCGGCAAGCTACTACAGGCTGGCTTTATCCGAGAAGTAAGGTATCCAACGTGGTTGGCCAACGTCGTCATGGTTAAAAAAGCCAATGGTAAATGGCGAATGTGCACAGAGTTCACAGACCTCAACAAAGCATGCCCAAAGGACGCGTACCCCCTACCAAACATTGATACCCTGGTCGATGGTGCAGCCGGTCACAGGATACTGAGCTTTTTGGATGCTTATTCTGGATATAATCAAATACGAATGTATCCCCTAAATGAGGAGAAAATGACATTCATCACAAATTCAGCAAATTTTTATTACCAAGTGATGCCATTTGGTTTGAAGAATGTAGGGGCGACATACCAACGACTCATAAATACAATTTTTGAGAAGCAAGTGGGTAAATGCTTGGAGGTGTATGTGGATGACATGGTGGTTAAGTCCACCGTATTGAAGCAACATCTTACTCATTTGGAAGAAGTATTCGGGGAGGCTAAGAAGCATGGTATGAGGTTTAACCCCAAGAAGTGCACATTTGGTGTAACCGGAGGCAAGTTTCTTGGATTTATGTTATCTAAAAGGGGAATCCAGGCTAACCCTGACAAATGCTAAGCCATCATCGAAATGGTTAGCCCTCGGAATGTCAAGGAAGTTCAAAGACTGGCCGGTCAGATTGCAGCCCTCGCTCGATTTCTACCAATAATGGCAGAAAGGTCTCGGCCTTTTATCAAACTGCTCAAAAAATATCAAAAATTTGCTTGGTCCAACGAGTGTGAGGCCGCCTTCGTTCAATTCAAGCATATGCTATCAACGCCGCCTGTGCTGACAAAACCGAATCCTGAACAAGAGATGATTGTCTATTTGGGCGTATCTGATAACGCCATCAGCTCAGTTCTACTGCAAGAAACACCTGAACCGGCCCCCGTGTATTTCGTTAGTCGAACACTTCAAGGCCCTGAATCCCGCTACCAGTTGATGGAGAAGGTAGTAATAGCTTTACTCCATACAGTTCGTCAGTTAAGACACTATTTTCAAAGTCATTGGGTACTCGTACGTACAAATTGTCCAATGGCCAAAATTTTGAGGAAACCAGAGTTGGTTGGTCAGCTGGTAGCATGGACAATTGAACTATCTCAATTCGACATTCATTTTGAGAACCGACACCCTCTTAAAGCTTAGGTGTTAGCCGACTTCGTCAATGAAGTCACTGTACAACGACAAACTACTTCGGACATGTGGAATCTGCACGTTGACGGATCATCAAACCGACTGGGTAGTGGAGCTGGGGTCATACTTGAAGGGCCGAACGCATTCGCTATTGAACAATCCATTCAGTTTGGATTCAAAGCATCCAACAATCAAGCCGAATATGAGGCTTTACTTGTTGGTCTCAGATTAGCAAAGGAGATGAGAGTTAAATGCATTACTGGTTGGAGTGATTCAAAAATTATGGCCGAACAGGTTAATGATACATATCAGGTTAGGGACTCGATTATGCTTAAATATTACCAAGAATTCAAGAAAATAAAAGATGAATTTGATGAGGTATGTGTTCGGCACACGCCAAGAAACATGAACGAGCGAGCCAACAGGCTTGCTAGGCTGGCTAGCCAAAGAAAACTGGGGCAATTGCAAAGCATGGTTCATCAAGAAATCCTTCAATCCAGCATCACCAAACAAGAATGCATGGACATAGAAAATTCATCTCATAATTGGATGACCTCAATCATCCGGTACCTCATCGATGGCAGCTTACCAGAGGATCCAACTTCAGCTAAGAAAATAAAAATGCATGCAGCTAACTACCTTCTTCTCGGCAAGGACTTGTACAGAAGAGGAATTTCAACACCTATGCTTAAATGCCTAGACGACGACCAAGCTAGCTACGTCATAAAGGAAATTCATGAAGGTATTTATGGTACCCATTCGGGCGGACGAACTATGGCAGCGAAAATACTCAGAGCCGGATACTATTGGCCGACACTCACTCAAGATTGCCACTTGTTTGTGAAGAAATGCATTCCCTGTCAACAACACGGTCTTCACCTCCACCAACATGCCGATACCCTTCGCCCTATTAGCTCTCCTTGGCCTTTTGCCATTTGGAGAATGGACCTCCTCGGTCCTTTCCCTTTAGCGAAAGGACAATGTAAATTTCTCCTTGTCGCTGTGGACTACTTCACCAAATGGATTGAAGCTGAACCCCTTGCCACCATCACGGCCAACAACGTACAGAAATTCACTTTGAAAAACATCATTACACGTTTCGGCCTCCCTCATGCATTAATTACAGATAATGGGCTTCAATTTACAAATCGGCGATTCAATGAATTTTTGGAAGGCCTGCATATCAAGCATAGAGTTACGTCTGTTGAACACCCTCAGACTAATGGTCAGGCTGAGGCTGCAAACAAGGTGATCTTACATGAATTAAAAAGGAGATTGGGTTCGGCAAAGGGAGAATCAGCAGAGAAGTTGCCCGAGATATTATGGGCTTATCGGTGCACACCGCAAACCATAACAAAGGAGACTCCTTTTCGGCTTACATATGGTACTGACGCCATGGTGCCAGTAGAAATTGGAGAACCTTCATTCCGAAGGAAGAATTTCGAGGAATCAGCTAATAATGGGACTCTGGCCGTCAACCTAGATTTGATATATGAGGTGCGTGGCCAGGCAGCTATCATGACCGAGGCTAGCAAAATAGTGATGGCAAGAAAATTTAACTCCAAAGTTAACCTGCGAAAATTTTATGCGAATGATTTAATATGGCGGGTAACCAGAGATGCACGTAGAGATCGGCGAGAAGGAAAATTAGCAACTAGCTAGGAAGGCCCCTTTCGGGTAGTAGCAAGATTAGACAATGGAGCGTACAAGTTGGAAACTTTGGAAGGAAAGCTTGTGCCGAGTACTTGAAATTTTACACATTTGAAGCATTACTATAGTTGAAGACTTGCTTGTAATTTGTAATCGGTGCACTCTTTTCCTCCCCCAGGTTTTGTCCTCTTAAAAGAAAGTGAAAAGGGGTTTTCCTGAGAAGATTTTTAGCGAGGCACCTAATCAATAAAATACTTCTTCTCCATTATCCGGTTTTTAATGCATCAGTATTTCTTTCAAGCACCTGGTTGAATTAATCAATCCCTCCCGAGTACCACTACTCAGTTAAGATTGAATCATTATTAAAATTCTTTCCTTGGTATTTTTACTTAGCTAAGGTCGAATTTATTTAATCCCTCCCGAGTACCACTACTCGGCCAAGGTTGAATCATTATTAAAATTCCCTCTCAGGTATTTTTACTTGGCTAAGGTCGAATTAATTTAATCCCTCCTGAGTATCACTACTCGGCCAAGGTTGAATCATTATTAAAATTCCCTCCCAAGTATTTCTACTTGGCTAAAGTCGAATTAATTTAATCCTTCACAAGTACCCCTACTCGGCCGAGGTTGAATCATTATAAAAATTTCATCTCAAGTATTTCTACTTGGCCAAGGTCGAATTAATTAATTCACTCCCGAGTATCCCTACTCGGTTAAGGTTGAATCGCTATTAAAATTTACTCAAATATTTTTTTACTTCGCTAAAGATAAATTAGTTAAATTCCTTCCCGCGTACCCCAACTCGGTCAAGGTTAAATCGCTTATGACCAAGTTTTCAATACAAAGTACAAGAGAAGGAGAAAAAAGAGATTCTATTTCAAAATTAATGGCTACAAAATTTGAGCACTAATGGCTCATGAATACAAAGAAAACAAATCTAATTTTCTTCCCCTTCCTCGGCATTAGGACTGGCTACCTCGGGATTAGCAGCATTTTCATTATCGGCGATTCGTCTTGGGGCTTCGGCGTTAGGCTCCACATCATCATCAACCTCGTTGTAAGGAATAAACTTGCAGCCAAAGAAGTCCTTCATGATGTCAAAATGGAAATCGGCCGGAACTTGGCAGAATCCATGGCATTGGCGAATAACATGGTTAAAACCGGACTCATGTTCATAAGCGACTTGCTGAGAACACTTCTCGGCAAAGGTTTTCATCTCGGTTTCAGCCCTTTGCTTTTCAAATGTCAAGGCTTCCTCCATCTCAGTAGATTTGGCCCGTAGGGCCTCCTCCATTTGACAAAACTTCACCCTTAACGCCTCCATTTCCTCCTCCTTGACCCTCAAAGTCTCCTCGGCCGCTTGAACCCGGTCTTCCACTATCCGGAAGTGCTCTTTATATTGATTAACCTGACCCTATAGGGATTGAATGGTCTCGTTAAGACTGGCTTGAATTTCTCTGCTCTCTGCCAAAGCTTCTTCAGAAGCTGAATAGGCAGTTTTTAACTTCTTAACTTCAAGAATTGGATCCACAACTAGCTTTCAGAGCATCACTGTTGATCGTACATGAAGTTCTGCATAGCAATGCCAGAGCGATTCATATTCTATGTTGTTGACTAGTTCTTTCCCCGAATCAGACAACAAGTTGGGAGCAGCCAGTCGGCCGGTATGAGTTCCGGTTGCCAGGAAGCCCTCGGCAAGCATTTCCAGAGGAATTACAGGGTTGGAGGAACTGCTTCTCCCCTCTACACTGCTCGGCCCACCCGAATGAGCATGTTTTCTTTTTCTCTCCCTCTCGAGCTCTTTGCCTTTGCCCTTGTCCTTGCGTTTCTTAGATTGGCCTTTAGCAAGAACAAGGTCTCAGGGAGGAGGGCGAGGCTCTGGTACTTCAGGAAGTTGATCAATTTGAGGATGACGATGTTCCTCAACTGGTGTCCCTTTCGATATTTCTGCTTCAGAGTACGACGGAAGGTCAGTACATCAACACCGCGTTGAGTCATTAAGCCTGCATTAAAAATAACAAGTCAAGTCAATATAACTTAATTCCAAATATAAGTTAAAAATGAGACGATACATGCCCTCCATATCCTAGCGAGGACGCAGGGACTTGAGCACGAGGATTACGTGTCAGGCAGGTAGTTCTCGGCGAAGGGACTTCAAAAATTTTAAATCCGACAACTCCCTAGTCGATAACATGTCCTCGGGGCATATGTCGTATTGGCGAGGCGCCCGAGTCCAGTGAAAAGGTAAGAGAGGATTATTCTCGCTATCAAAAAAATAATTTCTACCTACAGGGTCCACGATCACCTTAAATTAACCGGTCTTGAATCCCTTAAAAGACGAAGCATATGGTTTAAACAAAGGCAACTCGGGTTGCCTTATTAGAGACACCCACCTTGCTAAGTCAGATGGGCGTGTACAAAAGAGATGAAGAAATAGGCCTATACTAGGTTCTATATAATGGAATTTACAAAGTATCCTAAAGGCCTGTATTGCCGCCCACCCATTCGGGTGCAGTTGTGTCGGCGCTATATTCAAAACGCTCAAAACTCCCATTTGGAAGTCATCAAAGGGTAGCCTGATACCTAACTCTCTAAACATGTATTCGTACATAAAGAAGGTGTCGGCCATTCTGACACCTCCCAGGAAAACAAACTCTGGGTTCTCGGTCTCATCCCCTTTACAGGGGTTGAGGTGTATCGGATACGGGTCAAAGGCTTCCCACAAAGAAATATCACAATTATCTACAAAAGACTGGAGACTTTTATTTCTTGTGAAACGAGAAAAGTATGCGGCCACTTCACCGTGCACTCACTCGTATCTGTGTATTGTACAAAGAGGAAACATTTGCCTTTCCCTTGGGGGGCTCATACTCAGTAGGGGTTCAGAGGTGTCAGTATTACTAGAAGTAGACGATTCGGCCTCATTGCCGCATTCCCTAATTTGTGCTTCTTCAGCCCTCTGGTTCGATGTGGATAAAACCTCGCCACTCTCCTCTGTTTCGTTCATTATGTCCACTTCGACAGTACTCGGTCCCGAGACATCAGACAGAGAATCCTCCCACTCAATAGGGTCGGCCATGAAGAAAGAAAGAAAAGTGAGAAATTAAAACGCACCTTACAAGTAGTCAGTATGCAAGAAAAAGAGAAGATCTCTGAATACCCTTCGGTTTAGAGCAACAGTATGCATGTTTTGGTACAGAGAAAAAGAACAGAAAGTGGGTGCAAGGACCACCACATATTTATAGGAGATCTGGTTTTGGGCAAACAAAAGGTCGCCCCCCTATGAACCGTCAGATCCCTTTCAGATCAATAGATGAGGTTGGGCACCCTTTCGTTTCATATACTCGCTGAGGAAACCCTAAAAACTAACATTATAGAATATTCCTTTGTAAATTATTTATTTTTTATGATTTCCTATCTCCTATCTCGGTCTGTATCGTTTTGTTACTAAACCGAATACCTCTTAGTGTAAACCCAATACACATCAATCAAGTTTAAATACTACCATCACTCCTCCACTCAATATCGAGACCTCCCTCTAATTGAGTACTCCCCTTAGGTCTTGTTCAAGTTTACTCTAACCGAGTACTCCCCCTCAGCCTTGTTCAAATCCACAACCTAACACTAGTTAAAGCCCTCGCTTCGTACCTCTTCGGGCTTGGGGGGCTAGTGTATTAGATAAAGACCAACTCGGTTCTACTTGTAGTGAAAAGAAACCGAATACCTATTCGGTCTAGGTGGCCGGATACCCATTGTCAGGATTATAAGTTAATTACTCCAATTAGGGGTAATAATCAAGATATTATTTACTTTAAATAAAGGGCTAAAATGAAGACTGGCTTGACAAGCCCACTGGCCCATTACAGTGCCTATATAAAGAAGGTAAAAGTACAGATAAAGGGTTGACTTCTCATTATTAAATAGCATTTATTGCTCATAACCGAATCCTGACTTCAGCATCGGAGTGCCTTTTGCAGGTACCCTCCCACGTCAGCAACGGTTAGAGAAACGTTAGTACGTCAGAGTAGAGACTTGATGACCTGTGTTACCTTAACAGAAACAATACTAAATGTATAATTATAATCTAAAATTAATTTCAATTATAATGGAATTAGAATTAAAATTATAGTTCTGAATATAAATTCTAATTACACGTAACAAATGAGCCCTTATGGATAGTGGGACATTTGGATTAAGTATGGTTTAGTCGAGACAATTCCCATTTTAGTAACGATTTCCCATCCGCAATTGGCTTCAAATCAAATTGAACTGTCACTTGCATGATCACGATGCCTCGTCATGTGGGACAAGATTGAAAATCAAGTTTTTGTTTCAGACGCTGTTTTCTTTCAAAAATTATTTAAATTGCATTAGAAAATCACGTGTCACCAACAGCGACATAAGCACGTTTTTTTTTCTGCCTTCTTCAAGCAATGCCCCTCTTTACATCTGAGTAGGATAACGGCGTCAACCTTTCTAGGTTAACTGTAAGATTTGGTTCGAGTACAGAAAAAAAGGAAAAAAAAATAAAGAGAGAAAAATTTTAAAAATAACATATCAAAAATAAAATACGATATAATAAATTCTTTTTATTCTGCTAATCAACAAATATCATAAATGAAATAGAATAAAATAATTTTCTCTTATATTTTCCACCAAATGAGTATTAAAAAAAAAAACATGCTATCAAATATATTACTAGCATTTTCCACCCTTCAATCTATGGTCCTCGTGTTGGAATGGAAATAAAAATATCTTCTTGGTTATTTCCTTTCTCAATCAACTTGAACTCCTAGTCAAACTTTTGTTTTTTTGGTTTTCTTGTTTTTGTTTTAATAAAAAATAACTTATGTTTTTTCTTATTGTTCATGTAAGTAATAATTATTAAATTAATTTTAAACATATAAACAAATATTTTTTTTAAAAAGTATATCATAAATAAAAGCATGAAGCATATATTATTTGATAATTTTTTAAATTATTTAAAACTAGTCTTAAATTTAACATCAATATTTTTTTAATAAGAAAGGAAAACCTTGTGTTTTATATAGACATTCTAAATTTTAAAATGAAAATTAAAAACAAAAATATATAAAATAATCAAATAATATTAAATATATATTTTTTATAAATATATACAAACTAAAAAAATTATTATCATATAAAGTAATTGATTTTAACAAACTAACTAATTTAAAATGATTTATTTAACAGAACAAGAAAGTAAATTTTAAAGAGAAAGATTAATGTTAAGAGCAGTTAATTTGAAGATTTTTAAGAACATAGTGAAAATTAGTTATGCAGGCAAGTGGAAAAATTTGCTACTTTGTACAATTTTCTTTCACTCTATGTTTTTTATTTTTCTATATGTAATGTATAATATTAAAAATTATATGATGTGACAAAATTTAGATTATGAACTACAAATTTATAACAGACATCTTGTTCAAGCTACAGATATTTATAGACTCATAGATGCTTTTTCTCATACACACTGCTTAAACTCAAGACTAGCAAAACATTATCTAGAGATAAACAAATGTATAAGATTTCCATATTCACAAGATAAATAACACGAACGCGACGAAGGAGGAGAACAACGGACTCGAAAACAATGAAGCAAGCTTCGTCCCAGGCAGTTCCTTCACGGAAGCCGCCACATTGTCGGCGGCAGCGGCGAAGGACCTGGCGGAGGGGTCGAGGGACGGTGGTGGTGGATCGGCGAGGCGAGTTCTCGGCGGTGTGCCGATGGACGGTGCACAATTTTCCGAGAATAAAGGCTAGGGCACTGTGGAGAAAGTACTTCGAGTAGGAGGTTACGATTATCGGTTGCTAATAATATACCCTAAGGGTGACTCACAGATTCTTCCAGGTTACACCTCTATCTATCTCCAAATCATGAACCCTCGCGACACTTCTTCATCCAAATGGGACTGTTTCGCTAGCTATTGGTTGGTTCCAATCACATGCATATATAGGGATTCCTATGGCCGGTTTGCGGCTGATAATAAGAGTGGTGACGACAATACCAGCTTAGAATGGAATGATTACATGAAGATGACACTGCAGTTTTTAGTACCTCGTTTTCATGTGATCAAGCAGTTTAGCAACTTCTCCAAGAATGGGGCTGTGATTGCTGGCAGAAGTGGGAGTGGTGCGAGGAAGTCGGATGGCCATATTAGAAAGTTCACTTGGAGGATATATTGAAAGAATTTTACGAGGCTGAAGGATTCGCTAATGAAGAGGAAAATTACTGGTCTTTGCATCTAGAGCAGCAGGTTTCAGATTGGTAATGGAAATTGTCGTCTTATTTTTTACCTAGAATATATAAAACTTTTCATTAATGAATGCTTTGGAACCAAAAGCGAGTTGCCGAACTTACGTGGAAAACCTAATAAAATCAGATTAATCCTCACTGTCAAAGTTATAATTTGTAATGTTGAAATGAATCTTCCTTTTTGAGTGGACGTATATAAAATGGAAAGTCATGTCCGTATTCTCATGCTTCAAATTTATTTATAGTTTTTCACGTGAAAGTATGCTTACTTTTTGAAATAAACATCAATATAATAGTAATCGAAATGCAGCAACAACAACAGTACATGAAAAACACATAAATATAAAAACAACTACTGCCAGGAAAATGCTTAGGCACTCCATTAATTTCATAATGTAAGTGCATATCTAAACATTTCTCCGACGACAAAGACGATATATATATCATATAACTTAATATAATAATGTGAACTCTAGGGACACTGGAAACCAGGAAGGACAACTTTTTGACAAGCACTTAGAATATAGTTGAGGGTGATGGGTATATCCACGTCGGTTCCAAGCACGTTGTCTTTAATAGCAGTGCAAAGGCAAACTGCGGCCTCGAAGTCGGCCAAATCCATAAACAACGTGCAACATTTGCTTGAAGGAGGAGTTTCAAAAATCATGGGACCATGTCCTAAAGCACAAACTCCAAACTTTAAGGTGTCCTTGGGGCATTTTCCTTCTGATGAGGGTGGCGATGGTCTAAAGCTGCATGATGGTGGTGGGCTTTGCGGGGGTGGGGGTCTTAGTGGGGGTGGTGGGCTTCGTGGAGGCGGTGGTGGGCTTCGTGGAGGTGGTGGTGGGCTTCGTGGGGGTGGTGGGCTTCGTGGAGGTGGTGGTGGGCTTCGTGGAGGCGGTGGTGGGCTTCGTGGAGGCGGTGGTGGGCTTCGTGGAGATGGCCGTCTTAGTGCACGTGGTGGTGGTGTTTTTGGAGGTGGTGGTATTAGTGCAGGGGGAGGTGGTCTTTGTCGTCGGGGTTCACCATAAGCGTGGGTGAATGTTGAGTAAGGAAGGAGTGCAAGCAACAAAATGATGTGGAGGAGTTTGATGAATGCCATTGGTAGTTGACTGGGAAAAGCAAGGCAGGGCGTGGACTAATTTATAGACAAATTGTAAGGTGCATGAAATTGAAATTTGATTGACTGAATTTCATTGCAACGAAATTAACAAAAGAGAAATCTTTTCTTAACAAAGAGTTATAAAAAATTAAAATAAATTCATTTTAATTGTACTTTATTTTTCATATTTTATTATATGTATAATTCCAGTCTAACTTATTTTAATTGCTCAAATTTAAAGTATGACTAACAGTACAGTAGTGTACAATAGTTGTTTTTAAGAAATATAATAAAAAAAAAATTAATTGAACTCAATGCAAGGTGATAATAACTTCATATCCAAAATTTCTTTTATTATAATAGAATTTGATGATTACTTTTATTTTTATTAAAGTAAAAAATTAACTTCTTAAAAAATAAGAAAAAATGAAAAAAAATGAATTAACGTTTTCTTACTTAAATTTTAGGTAATCTCCGTGATTGAGAGGGGCGCGAGAAGAGGAGGGAAGCTGAGTGTGATGAGGAGTAGGAAAATTAAGTATAAGAGAATGAAAGAGAGAAAGGGTGAGAGAGTTAGGCATGGGAGAAGTGGGAGTAGGGGAGGATTGAGTACGGAGAAAATGGAGGTTGAAGATGAAGAGTTGAATATGTGAAAAAGATAAGAGAAAGTAAAAGGTTGGAGAGGAGGAGTATAAGACAAAACTGATGTTAAATTTGTTTAAGCAAATATTTTTAATTTTTTTAAATTTTTTAAAAAAGGAGTCCATTTTTTAAAACATAAATGTAATTCAACACAAAATCTTTTGTGATATGCTTGTTATATTTTATTGATTACATAAGTATTAAAATTTGGATAAAATATAAAGAAATTATAATATTTTAAAAAAAAATATTTGCCAATAAAAGATTTTTTGAATATGGTGGACTGAAGTTTTAGACTCGAACATGAGATTTGTTTAAACTGATAGGTGACTTCTTTCGTTAAAATATGAAGTAGTTTTGATCTTACACTTAAAATTTGTAAAATTCCAGACTGAAATACGAAAATGGACAATTATGGACATTGGGACATTTGGACTAATCCCTCGTTAAGTGGGTTTAGTCGAGACAATTCCTATTTTAGTAACGATTTTCCACCCGCAATTGGCTTCAAATCTAATTGAATTGTCACTTTCATTCAGTGCATGATCATGATATCTTGTTTTTTTGGCATCACTGAAAATCAAGTTTTTGTTTCAGACGCTGTCTTCTTTATAAAATAATTTAAATTGCATTAGAAAGTCACGGGTGAACGACAGCAGCATGACCACGTTTTTTTTTCCTTGTTTAAGCAATGCCCATCTTTACATGTGAGTAGGAAATGGAAGATTTTGTTTGAGTACAAGAAAAAAAAAAAAAAAAACTTAAAAAGTGTAAGAGAAAAGGAGCAAGACAATGACAGAGAAAAATAATAATAAATTAAATTAAAAAATCATGTGATTAAAAAACATTTTAAAAATTTATAAAACTTCACTCTTATTTGAAAATCTTTAAACAAGTGTTATAATTAAATAAATATTTATTTTTTCTAAAAAAAATATTTTTTGAATAAAGTATTAGAGTTCAAACATTTTGTTTAAGACTTTCTTGTGTGTGTAAATATTTATAAAAAATAGCTACTAGAGTTAAAAGATTTAATTTCCAATATTTACTATAACACTATAAAATCTATTAAATCCTAAAACACTAAAAAAAACTCTAGTTAAAGTTTTGATGGTAGTGAAATAATACTTGTTTTCAAAATGATAATGCTACATAACCTTTTTCATTTTGAGTTTACCTAGATAGGCACACGACTCGATAAAAGTATATAATAAATGTGTGAATAAAGTGTAAACATAGAGTTAATATTGAACAACCATACTAAGAAAAATAATAAGACTACAAACTTTATATTCAAAATAAAAGAAACTTAATTCAATTTATCCATATAATTAAGAAAATAAACGAAATTGAATAAATAGAAACAAAATTACTAAAATTTACATTGATTAGTTATTTCAGGCCTTATTTTCTAAAAAATCAAGTTCCCAACTCAATCGTTATTTGTCATAGCAAGATGACAAAAGTTTTAAGAAAAATAAAAATATCATTTAAAATAAAATATTTTTTAAGAAATTAAAGAAGTTGTCACAAAAAATTATTAAATAAAATATTAAAAAACTTTTTAAAAAATTATTTTTTGAAACTAAAAATAAGTTTAAAAATCGTGAATCATTTATATATATAAAAAATAATAGCATACTACAACGCATGTTTAAACAACATATTTTTAATTAATTGTATAAATTTATTATAATTTTAAAAATATTTATTTAACCCTTAACAATAATTTTTACCATTTTTATTTTAAAATAAAAAATTTATTTACTAATATATTAATTAATATTTTAGAAAATAAAAAAAATCAAATTTAAAATTATTTTTAACTTATTAAGTGTGATTCTCCCTTCTGCATTTACTTAAAAAATTTAGAAGCACATTGTTCGATTTAAAAATATTTTGAAATGAGTTGATTAATTTAAATTTTATAAAATTTTTAAAAAAATTATTTTAAGATTAATTTTATTTTTAAAATAAAATTACAGTAAAAATAAAAGATAATAACACTATACATATTATCACATATTTGTATTTTAATTTTTTAAAATAGTTAAAGACAAATTAATAATAGAAAAGACATGTTTATTTGTAAATAAAATATTTGAATTTATACTTTAATTTAAATAATTGTATTACATAAAATTTATAACTGCATAAGTTATAGATAAATTTATTGTAACTTATTTAGTAATCGGAACCCATATAAATTACATATCAGTATTAAAAGACATTATACGATTAAATAATTAGTTATTTAATTTATTTAATTTAAAGTGTTTAAAATTTATTATTCATTTAATAAGAGTAGAAATATTAAAAAAATAATTATTTAACTAAATAAATTAAAAATACTAATTAATTTTTAAATAAAATTATCTTACATATAACCTAAAATAATGTTAATATACAAAATTTTTGATAATTCATAATACATAAAAAAAATTATTACACATTACTTGCGTTAATAAAATAATTTTGATTAGATTTAATTATTAATTAACAATTTAATAATAAAAAGAAAAAAATGAAACATATTTTAATTAAATAAAAAATAATATAATAAATATATACTGTATAATAAAATTATATAAATATTTTATTTATTTATTACTAATATTATTTTATATGATTTAAAATGAAATATAATTACCAATCATAAAATAAAATTATATTAACTTTATATTATAATTAAACAATAATAAATACAAAAAAATAATAAATTATTTTGAAAGCTAAATTAAAATAGACCCCTCCTTTCCTGTATTTCTGTTCGAAATTTCCACCACTTGACTATTATATATTTGTTTATTATTTTTTACTATACTAAAAAAAAAAAAAATGGAAATGAAAAATGAATCTAAAGCTTCCTGTTTAGTATCTTTTAAAAACAAATTCAGTGGCCAAGTTCCAAAAATAGTGCTTTGGCCAATGCGAAAGGGGATGAGATGTCCAACTCACGGCATTGCTCTTCGTTTATTTGTTTCGAGTGAGTCTCAGATTCTCTAATCTTTTTTTCTTTTTCACTTTCCCGTTCCCTTATTTTTTAATCTCTTATTTACTTCAATTTTTCCTTCCCTCTCTCCCTTAATGCTCTCATCCCTGATTTGTGATTTTGTTTTCTAATATAAAAAGAGGTTTTGATTTTTTGGTTTATTTTTCTGCCATATTTTAGTAAAACAGAATTGTTTTGTTAAGACAAATTTTTGTCATTCTTAAAAATAGAATTGTTATATTTATGGTTTTGTAAAAATAGGAGAAAAATACAATCATAAAAATTTATAAAAAAAAATTTACAAAAATTGGTATTTATAGTTATTTTTAATTAAAATTGAAATATATATTTTTTAAATTATTTGTAATTTTATATTTAACAATAAACACATTTAAAATTATGTAATATAATATTAAAATTTGATATTAATTATTATAAAATTTATTCAAATATTTTTACAAGTTAATTTTTCAATAAGAAGTTATAATTAGAAAAATGTTATAACAAAAATTAAAATATATTTTATAAAATGACGACAATGTTTATTTGTAAATATTTTTTGAAAATATAATTATCTTGGAAATTTAATATTGTTTTATTGTAAGTGTAAATATTTTTTTAAAATATATTATGATAATATTTTTAAAATAATTATTTTAATAAAATATTAAACAGTGGTATAAGCAGCTACTGAGTAAATGAATTAGCTGATAGGAATTATTTCAACTTAACATGTGATCGAACCCTTTTTGTTCATAAATTATAATTTTTTTTTGAAGATTTTATAGTTTGTGTTACTATTTTAATATAGATATAGATTTATTTATTATTATTTTCATTGTTTATTTTGTTATAACTAGTTAAATCAATAACTATAATTATGATAAATTATTTGCATGATTTTGTATAATTTTATATTTAATCATAACTCTAGCTTTTTTTTTATAGATTAACTTTTACTCTAATAATTTTATATGTACATGTTTATAATTATAACTTTTAACATATAATAATTAATTACATTATAGACAACAACACTATACATAGTTAATGAATGTATAGAATAATATATATATATATATATATATATATAAATTAAATTAAATTTTTATTTTTTAATTATTATTAAATTAATAAATTTATGGATTTTTTATATTTTTATTTTTATCTTAACTATTAAGGATAAAAAAGTTTAAAAAATATATTATTAACATTTTATAATAATTTTAATATAAGCGGTCAATGATTGTAAAAAAAACTTAAATTGAGGTTGGATTAGAAATAAACATAAATAAGTGTAAAAAAAATTACGTAACTTAAAATTTATTTCAAACAGTTTTTTTTTTTTTCGTAAGCTGCATTGTTTTCTTCTCTTATTTTTTTATTCAAATATTTTATAATTCTTTTTATTTAATTATGCATAATTTAAATTAAAATAATTAAATAAAAATATTTTCAGTATTTGAAACAATTTTTTTTACTAGAAGTACTTGAAACAATTTACAATTTATGTGGCCAAAATTTTTAAAACTTAATTTAAATTTTTTTAATTTTTTATAAATTACCCCTCTTTACATACTAGAAGTGACGATAGAATAAAAAAATAAAACGATTAAAAAATAACATGTTGAATTGTGAGATTTAAAAACACATACGTATAAAAAGTCACTGAAGAATATTTCTACCTCCAAAATTTCGTGAAATACTGTGGAAATAAAGTACACATTTTATTATGTTAATTTTTTCTTTTCCTTGTCAACCGTTTTATTTTATAAGAAGGGGGTTATCTAGCCTAGTTGGACCTTGACTCCACCGCATAAAATTTTTGGTCCCGCTAATGGACTTGGGCTTTAGCTCATTGTCGACACTGTAGGCCCAAGACCATGAAGAGGTTTATTAAGAAGGGAAGACAAGGTTGATCAAAACTTTGGGCCTTGTGTAAATGTGATGCGGGAAATGTCAAATAAAACACTATTGACTTGGCCCGAAAATAGGAAGATAAAATGTTATTGGTGGGGCCAATTTTTGTGCGTCTTCAGTTCGACTCTTTTTTTTTTAGAGTTCACCTTATTAAACAAAAAACAAAGAGTTTTGGTAGATTCTACTATGGGCTAGGAAAATGCACCAAAACAAACTGTCCTAAAAAAAGAATTGCCCTTATTATTGGCCTTAAAATGCCACTCTGTAAATATACAAAAAACATTTTCAGACTTAGATATCTGGTGTTCCAGATTTTAATTACGATGTTTCATACGTTATCAAAGCATCAAAATGTTGAGACACAACTGTGCAATGCTAGTGTAACAATTGCCTTCGCTAGTTGGATGTAATAAAAGTGAACTCTAACATGAGATTAAAATTTTCTGGTATATCAGAAATTGAATCATAGATTTGTCACTTTAGAAGACACGTCCCTTTAACTACCACTTAAACTTTGAGAATCGTTTCATCAACATGTCTACGAAATTTTTGATAAAAAGTAAAAGTGTCAAATAGCATTTGGCATAATCCACGTGGATTGGGATAAAAAAATCACAGTATACAAAATTCATAGGGTTAAAAAATTCACATATGATCATTTACCTTTTAAAAAATTATCACAATTCATTCATTTTTTTATATTATATATTTTTATTATAAATTTATAGATAAATAACATTACTAAAAAATAAAATAAGTACTAAATAAAATATAATAAATTATTATTAAATTAAATTAGATATTTATCTATTTTTTTTTAGTATTATTAATAATTACTAAATCATAATAATATTCTTATTTATATAATTTTATAAATAATTTCTTAACACGTTATTTTATAATTTTATTTGAATATTAACTGTAAAATTTTACATCTTAATATTTTTATATTATTATTTATTTTTATAAACATTACATATTTAATAAATATTTTTAAAATTATAATAAAAACGTAAAATTAACAATAAAAAATAATGTTAACTAATTTTGTTAAATTATTTATTATAGATATTTAAAATAATTTATTTAAATAAAATTTAATATGTTAATAAAAATAAATATAACAATGTCGTCATAAAAAAATTATAAACATGAGATTTTTAATATTGCAAAAGTCATGAGTATACACAAATTAATATATTTAAATATTTAAATTTTGACTCATCTTAATTTGATAGATTTTATTTTTAAAGTATAATAACTTAATTTAATATAATTTTATTTTTTATTTAAAATATATTTTATTATTTATTAATTACTCTCTAAAAAAAAATACAGTAACCAACCTCTTATCTTTGCTCTAACTACTTTATATATATTAGTTCCTAGGGTTAAAATAATCTTACTATGTATAGAATTAAAAAAAAAAGTTGCATAATAAATGATGTAGGGTAAACTATAACTCATGTCAATTCTAATAAATAATGCATTAAACATTTTAACGTTTCTTAAAAACAAATAAGTGTTTTTTATCATCATATTTACAAGTTAAAATTTAATGTGTATGCAAGGTAAATGTCAATTTACATTGGCCCAACATTATAAAATATGCCACGTCTATCTTAACCAATAATTTCAATTAAATTAACTATTTGAATTGCACACTTTATTAACATTACTCTTAATTTGCTAAATTTCTATGCTTAACACTCTCATCCCCATTGGAAAATTTCAATTTGAGTTTCAATTTAATCATTCATTGCTTTTATTTATAGATTAAAATTTCAAATATTGAAATATCCATTTGCGTTGTTTTTTGTTTTGAACCCACAGCTAACTTGCATTAACTGTTGTCAACTACCACTATAAAGTACATAGATTGAATGCTTTGTCAATTGTGAAACATTTTGTGAGCTTGCATACCGTGTTTGTTATGTTTCTAAAACATTATGCTTCTCGCAAGTGAGATTGAGCTTTAAGAATGAGGTAGTTGATGGTTTATTTTTAATACAATATTAATGGATTTGTTGTTGTTCACACAATGTTTTATCGAAATGATGTTCCTTTTTAGTGCATATTTTTGTATTTAGCCACATAGGCATATTCTAACCCCTTAAATTATGATAGTTTAAAAAACAAATCCTTAAAATTAATTATATTGTCTTTATTCCGGTTAATTATAATTTAAACCACATTAATTAATCTTGAAATTTAAGAGAGTAGCGTTGTCCAACGTCATTAACTTAATATAGAAAGAAAATTATGTCACTAACAATTTATTGATTAGAATGAACACAAAAAAATATGAAGACAAATTTGTATTGAAGACATAATTTTTATTTTACAAAGATTGTTCATTATGTATCATCTTCCCATTAAGAATTAATTTGGGTCATGGTATGATTCACATGACATCACACCCATCCAGCATCCGCAGCTAAAGAAATGGTCCAGCAAAAGAGAATGGCAAGAAAGAAAAAAGTCAAACCTAATTTCAAATGATGATAGATCAGACGGTGGAAAATGCGTATTCTTGTTGTAAATATCGCGAGCATCAATGCGATGCGATCCATCCTATTCCTATAGACTCCAAAACTAACGCAGCAATGACGTGGCCGCAGTGGAACAAAGTATCCAGATCCTCCCAGAATCACGTGCACTCGCAGTGGACCCCAACCTGACTAGTGCTAATCATATAATCTTTACTAATCCAACGGCCTCAAAAGGCCAACATTAAATAAGAAACCTACTCTCGTATGCATCAGAACCTAGCCAATAAAATGAAACAGCAACAGAATGAAGAAAGAAAGGCGCAAGATTACTATCATACGCCACGGAGTTACGAAGCAATAAAAGAAAAAGGCGCAAGGTACTATTATGCGCCCCCATTGTCCAAACCTGTGTGTGCTCTCTCTCTCTCACCACATCTCTCTCTCTCGGCCTCCTTCGTCGTCTCTCTCTGTGTTGTTCTCTTCTCCTCTCTCTCTCTCTCTCTCTCTAAGATTTCAATATTCACAAGATAACCAACACGAACACGAAGGAGAACAACGGAGTCGAAAACAATGAAGCAAGCATCTTCTGAGGCAGTTCCTTCTCTATCTTCTGCGCCGTCGTTCACGGAAGCAGCCACATCGTCGTCGTCGTCGTCGGCAGCGGCGGAGGACCTGGCCGTGGGGTCGAGGGACGGAGGCGGCGCTCAGGAGACGGTGGCGGTGGATCGGCGAGGCGAGTTCTCGGCGGTGTGCCGATGGACGGTGCACAATTTTCCTAGAATAAAGGCTAGGGCACTGTGGAGCAAGTACTTCGAGGTAGGAGGTTACGATTGTCGGTTGCTAATATACCCTAAGGGCGACTCACAGGCTCTTCCAGGTTACATCTCTATCTATCTCCAAATCATGGACCCTCGCGGAACCACTTCATCGAAATGGGACTGTTTCGCTAGCTATCGCTTGGCAATCGTCAACGTCGCTGACGATTCCAAAACCATTCATCGCGATTCCTGGCACCGATTCTCAAGTAAGAAGAAATCGCACGGTTGGTGCGATTTCACGCCCTCTTCCACTGTTTTTGATCCCAAATTGGGGTATCTGTTTAACACCGATTCCGTTTTGATCACTGCTGATATTCTTATTCTTAATGAGTCTGTTAATTTCACACGCGATAACAATGAGTTGCAGTCCTCCTCGTCATCGTCGTCTTTGTCCTTGACGTCATCGTCTGGGGTTGCGGGTCCTGTGTCTGACGTCTTGAGTGGGAAGTTCACTTGGAAAGTGCATAATTTCAGTTTGTTTAAGGAGATGATCAAGACGCAGAAGATAATGAGCCCGGTTTTCCCTGCTGGGGAGTGTAATTTGAGGATTAGTGTGTACCAGAGCTCGGTGAATGGGGTTGAGTATCTGTCAATGTGTTTGGAGAGCAAGGATACGGATAAGACTGTGGTGTTGTCTGATAGGAGTTGCTGGTGTTTGTTTAGGATGTCTGTGTTGAACCAGAAGCCTGGTTCCAATCACATGCATAGAGATTCCTATGGCCGGTTTGCGGCTGATAATAAGAGTGGTGACAATACCAGCTTGGGATGGAATGATTACATGAAGATGTCGGATTTCATTGGCCCTGATTCGGGGTTCTTGGTGGATGACACTGCTGTTTTTAGTACCTCGTTTCATGTGATCAAGGAGTTTAGCAGCTTCTCCAAGAATGGGGCTGTGATTGCTGGCAGAAGTGGGAGTGGTGCGAGGAAGTCGGATGGCCATATTGGAAAGTTCACTTGGAGGATTGAGAATTTTACGAGGCTGAAGGATTTGTTGAAGAAGAGGAAAATTACTGGTCTTTGCATCAAGAGCAGGAGGTTTCAGATTGGTAATAGGGATTGTCGTCTTATTGTTTATCCTCGAGGTGTGCCATTTTCTTGCTCTGCAAATCTCTTATCATTTTCTGTGCACCGCTTGCTTGGGCTTGTATAGTTAGCTATCAGATATTTGCTGTCTTCTTAGTAAGCTATAACTCCATATATCTTTTTGTATGCATTTTGGTGCAATTCTTGCTTGCATTGATGGAATTGAAGGAGCTTACATACTCTGTTTTCATAAGCCTAGCTATTTTTGAAGATATCGTCGAGATTTATATTTTGTGCTTATAGTTGTGTACTACTGATATCAAGCAGCAACAGCCACCACGAGTAGGCCTGATAATCTAGACCTTGGTTCTTGATTTTTGAATATCTTCTGCTATTTACACTCAGTTTTTTTGTTGATACACTGAAATATGCTTAGGTTGTGATGAAAAACAAGGAGTCTGATGAATTTTTATATGATTTTGATGCTATCAGGGCAGTCTCAGCCACCCTGTCACCTTTCAGTGTTTCTTGAAGTTACAGATTCAAGAAATACTTCCAGTGATTGGAGTTGTTTTGTTAGTCATCGTTTGTCAGTTGTTAATCAGAGGATGGAGGATAAATCTGTCACCAAGGAGTCTCAAAACCGCTACTCCAAAGCTGCAAAGGATTGGGGTTGGCGTGAATTTGTGACGCTTACAAGTCTCTTTGATCAAGATTCAGGTTTTCTTGTCCAGGACACTGTCATTTTCTCTGCTGAAGTTCTTATATTGAAAGAGACATCAATAATGCAGGATTTTACTGAGCATGATTCTGAGTTAAGCAGCAATGGTTCCTCTCTTGATAGTTGTGGGAAAAGAAGTTCATTTACTTGGAAAGTGGAAAATTTCCTGTCTTTTAAGGAAATAATGGAGACTCGAAAAATCTTCAGTAAATTCTTTCAGGCTGGTGGATGTGAACTTCGGATTGGTAAGTGTTTATTGAGCAAATTTTATCTCCTACATTTTATTCACTGGCAGTATTTGTAAAGTTTTACATTTTTGTTCTTTGATTTAAAGCTTATGTTTCTGTGACGCAGGTGTGTATGAGTCGTTTGATACCATATGTATTTATCTGGAGAGTGACCAGGCTGTTGGTAGTGATCCTGATAAAAACTTCTGGGTCAGATACAGGATGGCTGTTGTAAATCAAAAGAACCCAGCCAAGACAGTGTGGAAAGAATCTTCTATCTGCACAAAGACATGGAATAATTCTGTTTTGCAATTCATGAAGGTGTCTGATATGTTAGAAGTAGATGCAGGATTCCTTGTCCGTGACACTGTTGTTTTTGTATGTGAAATATTGGATTGCTGCCCTTGGTTTGAGTTTTCAGACTTGGAGGTATGTCCTAATGGGATTGCTTGTCTCTATGTTCCCTTGTACATACAAGTGTTAATTGATAGATGGCAATTAATCTTTTGCTGACCCATTAATTATATGTCCTACCAGCTATAGGATGACTCATTCTTGACTTTAGATACAAGGAGACTACCTGTATATAGATAACTATCTATTCGACCCTGGCTCTTCTGCTTTTTACGTGTCAGTAATTTACATTTAATTTGTTGTAAGATTGAAACAAGCCAGTTAGGAAATATAGCCTCTTCCTTGGAACTTTTGGTCATTATTAGCTGGTAAGTGCATGGAACAAGCTGATAAGTCACTCACGGGTTACAGAACTTGATTAATGCTTCAGTTCATAATTTTGCATCCCTTGAACTTCTTAATGTATAATAAAACTTGTGAGCATATTTCTATCCCATACCTGAACCATATGAAGTAATTATGATTATATGTCTTTTATGAAAGGAAAAAATAATGATTACATGTTTTTACCTCTTAGTTCTCACATGCTGACGTCAGGTTTTTGTTGTGGATTTTATCACACCTACTGGTTTATTACCCATTGCTCTTATTGTGTTGTTTTTTACATGTCTCTTCTAATTTGGTCTCTACTATACAGGTTTTAGCATCGGAGGATGACCAGGATGCATTGACAACTGATCCTGATGAACTTATTGACTCTGAAGACAGTGAAGGGATAAGTGGAGACGAGGAAGATATTTTCAGAAATCTTCTTTCCAGAGCTGGATTCCATTTAACGTATGGCGATAATCCTTCACAACCACAGGTTACTTTAAGAGAGAAACTTTTAATGGATGCTGGTGCAATTGCGGGGTTTCTGACTGGACTTCGGGTTTATCTTGATGATCCTGCAAAAGTAAAGCGTCTACTTCTACCTACCAAGCTCTCTGGGAGTTGTGATGGGAAGAAGGCCTCCAAGGCTGATGAGTCTTCCCCAAGTTTGATGAATTTGCTGATGGGAGTTAAAGTCTTGCAGCAAGCAATCATTGATTTACTATTGGATATAATGGTTGAGTGCTGCCAACCATCTGAAGTGGGTCCTGTTGCTGATTCTGTTGATGCATGCTCTAAACCTTCTCAGGACGGCGGTGGAGCTGCTAGTCCTCTTGAATGTGATAGAGGAAATGGAGCCACAGAGGCTGCTCAAGTTCCTGTTTATGAGAGATTGGATTCTGTTGCTGAAGAAAGCAATAGTACATCTGCCGTACAGAGCTCTGATTTAAATAGGAATGGTATCCAGGAAAAAGCTCTTCCGGGGCAGCCTATTTGTCCACCGGAGACGTCTGCCACTGCTTCGGAAAATGCATCCTTTCGGTCAAAGGTACAAATCTGTATTCATAGGAGGTAGCTTTCATTCGACATATCTATGATTTTGATTGTGTGAATTTGGAACTTCAGACCAAGTGGCCAGAACAGTCTGAGGAGCTCTTAGGTTTGATTGTAAACTCATTAAGAGCTTTGGATGGGGCTGTTCCGCAAGGCTGTCCAGAGCCAAGACGGAGACCTCAATCTGCACAGAAAATTGCTCTTGTATTGGACAAGGCTCCTAAGCATTTGCAAGCAGACCTAGTTGCTCTGGTACCCAAATTGGTTGAGCAGTCAGAACATCCACTGGCTGCTTATGCACTCCTTGAGCGACTTCAAAAGCCAGATGCGGAACCTGCTTTACAAATACCTGTGAGATAGACTGTTATTCTTTTCCAAAATTGCTTGTTTGAATTGTTTATCACATGCATCTAATGTTCAGAGTACACAATCATCAAGTTAAATATACTTTTAATGCATTTCCACTGCCACCTATATGATGCTGAATAAGTTGCATTGCTTTACTCCTATTGATGACACTGTTATTTCTCAGGTTTTTGGGGCTCTTAGTCAATTGGAATGTGGTAGTGAAGTGTGGGAACGCATTCTGTTTCAGTCGTTTGAGCTTTTGACAGACTCAAATGATGAACCACTTGCTGGAACAATAGATTTTATATTCAAAGCAGCATCTCAATGTCAACACCTCCCTGAAGCAGTAAGCTTGAAGATAGTCGGGAATTGCACCATGTTACTTTAATTACTTAGACTTTATTTTGATACTTAGTCAATGTGAAAGAGTTCTATACGTATATTCGATAATGTTTTGCCACATCATTTAATGAGTTTTACATCTCATGTAATAGTTGAAATAATCAAAATCATTACATAAGGTTTCAACACAAGATTGGATGATAGTGTGAAAAATGTTTTATGCTAACAATGCATAAAAAAAGTAAACTCATGTCTTCTTTCTCAAATGTTTTATGAAGAATTTGTAACATTATTTTTTCCCCTAATGCAGGTTAGATCTGTTCGTGTCAGGCTGAAAAATCTAGGTCTTGAAGTGTCACCTTGTGTCCTTGACTTTTTGAGTAAAACAATAAATAGTTGGGGGGATGTTGCTGAAACCATACTTAGGGACATTGATTGTGATGATGATTATGGTGACAGTTGCTCAGCTCTGCCATGTGGGATTTTCTTATTTGGTGAACATGGTACTGTTCCTACTGGAATGCAAGTGATTGATGAGCAGGCTTTTCGTGCTAGTCGTCATTTTTCTGATATTTATATACTGTTTGAGATGCTATCCATTCCTTGTCTGGCTGTTGAAGCTTCTCAAACATTTGAGAGAGCTGTAGCTCGAGGTGCAATAAGTGCTCAGTCTGTAGCCCTGGTATTGGAAAGTCGTCTTTCCCAAAGATTGAACAATAATGCCAGATATGCTTCTGAAGATTTCCAACATTCAGATGGTGCAACAGAGGGAGATGCTTGTGATCAATTGGGAGTTCAAAGGGATGATTTTACTTCAGTTCTTGGTCTTGCTGAAACTTTGGCCCTCTCTAGAGACCCATGTATTAAAGAATTTGTGAAATTGCTCTACATGATAATGTTTAGATGGTATGCCAATGAATCTTATCGAGGGAGGATGCTGAAGAGGCTTGTTGACCGTGCCACTAGCACTACTGACAATGGTCGTGAGGTAGATTTTGATTTGGATATCTTGGTTACTTTGGTCTGTGAGGAGCAGGAGTTTATTAGGCCTGTTTTGAGTATGATGCGTGAAGTTGCTGAACTTGCAAATGTTGATCGGGCTGCTCTATGGCACCAGTTATGTGCCAGTGAAGATGAAATTATTCGTGTTCGTGAAGAAAGCAAAACTGAGATTTCTAATATGGCTAGGGAAAAAGCTATTATATCACAAAAACTGAGTGAATCTGAGGTCGCAAACAATCGTCTCAAGGTATTTCCCATCTTAGTTGATAGTATAATGTGGTTATCTCATGTTAATAGCTAATGGAGAATTTAAGTCTGACATACTTCATGATTCTACAGTCTGAAATGAGGGCTGAGATGGAGCGGTTCTCTTGGGAAAAGAAGGAACTAGCAGAACAAAATCAAGAAGTTGAGAGTCAGCTTGAATGGCTCCGCTCAGAGCGGGATGATGAAATAGCAAAGCTCTCTGCAGAGAAGAAAGCTCTTCATGACCGTTTACATGATGCGGAGGCACAGCTTTCTCAATTGAAGTCTCGAAAACGCGATGAATTGAAGGTATTATTTTTTAAGAAGTTTTAATTTCTAAAATTATTGAAAATAAAAAGGCATTAAGTTATGCTAATGGCAAATGCTCTGCAGTATATGTTTTTGTTCTAGTATGATTATTCTTGCATCTTTGATGTTTATGCACGTGTGCTAAGGTTTTCAAAATTCAAAGCATCTCTATAGTACTAGTGCTTCAGCATCAACTTTACTACTTGTGTCCTTGCTTTATTTATGACTCTTGCTGTCTTTCCCCCCCTTCTCTTAAACTCTGATATTCAAGTATCGTTTTTGTCAATTCCTGAAAGAGAATTTTCAGTCTTTTGTTCTACTTGGTATTTCAGCTGATGGGTTAATCCCGCATTAGCAAGGAGTTTGATCCTACTTATATCCATTCTTTTAATTAAATATTATTCAGTACGAAGTCTGAATGGGCTTATGCTTTGTCCAACCTTCAAGGCCTAAGTGCTTGTGTGTGCATGAGCTTGTTAGTGGCATAAATCATTCCCAGGCTTCTAGTTAACAGCTTAAGTTTTTCAAAAGAGTTGGTCCTTGAATGAATCTTTAGCCTATAAGCTATACAGCTCTCTTTAAGCCTTACCTTATTTCATTTATCTAGTTACTCAAAAGATAATAACATGATTAATTATTTTATCTGTTCTTTTACTTGCTTGTGGATTGTCATCAACAATCTCATCAGTGGATCTGAAGCATCAACAAGTGCTTGAAATAATACTATAGGAAAAATATTTATCAAATTTTCTCTGTGGCAGTTTTGAAAATGGTGGGCCTGTGAGAGAAGGCCGTGCTTCATTTTGGTTCTGAATTGATAACTAGTTTGCCAATGTGTGTCTAATGGGTCAAGTCCAAAATTAACGTCAATCTGTATTATATACAGAAAGTGGTCAAGGAGAAAAATGCACTAGCTGAAAGACTGAAGAATGCTGAAGCTGCACGTAAGAGATTTGATGAAGAATTGAAAAGATTTGCAACAGAGAATGTGACTCGGGAAGAAATCCGGCAATCGCTTGAGGATGAAGTTCGTAGATTGACTCAAACAGTTGGGCAAACTGAGGGAGAAAAGAGGGAAAAGGAAGAGCAGGTTGCTAGGTGTGAAGCATACATTGATGGCATGGAATCGAAGTTGCAAGCTTGCCAGGTTTGTGTTGATGCAGAGATATTACTTTTCTTATTTATTTATTTTATAATTTGATGTCATTTATCATCTTATATGTTTACATGTTCAACTCATGTGATGAGGTTAAACATGTCAGTGGTGGAACTTCTCTTTTGAACTCTCGTGTTACATAAAATATTATCTGCTGAGATTTGTTGAGCTAGATTTGTCAGCAATTTCATTATTTTTTGCTGTGAATGGCTAGTTGGATTGTGAGCATGTTGGGTAACCTTGAAATCATAATAAAGGGGATACCATTGACACGTGTATCATGAGTTTGACCATGTATTGTTAATACAAGGTCAGTTGACGTGTTCTGCTAATGATTGAAGATTACTTCATTTTTCTTTTGTCTAATCTATAGCTCAAACATCACGCTAGTTCAAAATCAGCTTTAACGTGGTATTTTGTTGGATGGGCAAAAATATTCTAAAATGTCTATTTTAGCATAGTAACAACCCTACTAACAATCTTCGGAGGACCTTTGTAGTTAAATACTGCTGTCTTGTTTTTTCCGTACTTGCAAAAATTTTGGTCTTCATGATTATACATACTCCAGAAGTATGATAGCTTAATGTCCTTGCTTTCCTTTTGCAGCAATATATTCATACACTTGAGGCCTCACTCCAGGAAGAAATGTCACGACATGCCCCTCTGTACGGTGCTGGTCTGGAGGCTCTATCAATGAAAGAGTTGGAAACACTATCACGTATTCATGAAGAAGGGCTGAGGCAGATCCATGCCCTTCAACAGCGTAAAGGGAGTCCTGCTGGGAGCCCTCTTGTGAGTCCCCATGCTCTCCCTCTCAACCATGGATTATATCCAGCTGCGTCCCCCCCAATGGCCGTGGGACTGCCTCCCTCTATCATCCCAAATGGTGTAGGGATCCACAGCAACGGTCACGTGAATGGTGCAGTTGGGCCCTGGTTCAATCACTCTTGAATTCTTGGGTCATAGATTTTATTCTTTTCCAGTTATTTCTTTGGCATTTTGGCTGGTAGAACTGTTGGAGCAGGATGTTGGGTGAATGAATCGCTACGATTAGAAGGGGTTGGGTGAAATTTTGCCTTACTGCTGTTTATCCAGTGGAACTATCAGTTGCAAGCGCCATACTCATTTGCGCCTACTTTTTTTTGAGGGTAAAGAAATTACTTACAGGCTTTTTAAATTTGCCATAGTTATAGCTTACTGTTACTACATAGTTTGGCCGAAGTGGTTGAATCTATTTTTATCCTGGGCCAGAAGTGAAGCGCTGTAAGAAATCTTGACTGACAGTTTTTTAATACGTAATCAACAAAGAAAATCCTTTTCCACTTATTATTACACGTTGCAGCTTATGCGTCCCAGGTAGGTATATTATTTTCGCATTTGCAGTTTCATGGTCTATATTCGTTCGATTGTATGTTGAAAGGGAATAGTTCTTGGATTTTTTTCGGGTCTATTCTTGTATCAAATTTTTAATTATTTTCTACATAAAATTTATTCTTTTAAGCATGACATACACAGTGAACATCTTTACAGGAATTGATCTAATCTCTACACTACAAAAAGTTATAAATTTTACTCCATAAAATTGGTATAGATTTCAGGATCTACTTTTTCTTTTTCCCAGTCTGGTGATTCCGCTAGCCAGTGAAGCTGTAGTCCTTGAAACTGGACGTTCCGTCCGTGTAAAATATTTATGTCAATTATTTAATATTTTAATTTCAGTATTTACTTGAAACAATTATTTTAAAACGGAAAGAATCTTGTTCATACTGTTCTAATTTTAGTCCCTGTCAACTTTTTTTTATCCCCAAATTTGTAGAAGTACCTATTATGTGTTCCTTCTCAACTAAGACAAAGAACCTTTGGGTTTCAGCTTCAGCGGCTTCCACTTGATCACTGCCTTGTCGTCTTCGTCAGAATTGTCCGACTCAGTAGTGATAGAGTTTTCCTCCAAAGACTGTTGCTCTTCGCTCTTTTCATAGATCTAATGCGATAAAGGCGTAGTAGTAGTTCGAGAGTAAGGGAGAGACACTTTGCTTTCACATATTTCCACTCTCTGTATACCCTTATTCACATTCTGCTTTGCTGCCTCTGAAACGATGGCTATGATACTTTGCAATACACCACACTGTGTCCATTAGCACTCGCTCTTTCCCCCATCCTAACATCTATGTATTTATTTTCTCCTGCACTATATCATGTAAATACATTAAAACCGCTAAAATTATGAAAATATTTTGTTGATTTCACGCGATTAACCTCTAATTGAAATTTATTTCTTCGAGAAGGAAGGGAATTAGAGAGAGAAAGTATTGGCAGGATAAGAGGGTGATTGTTTTTCTAGTGAGATTTGCAAATTGAAGCATCGCATTCAAGCGTTAACAACTCGTTCGTGACTATCTTGTATTATTAACACTGTCTAGGAGCCTGAGCCACACATCCTTAGTGCATTCTTCTCCTCATCGTGCCCGACCATTTCAGGTCTACTAGGGCATGTAGCTCAAGACTGTTTGATTTATGTTTCGTACCAGGAGTTGCATCCATTTGCAAAATGGAGATTCAGTTACCCAAATTCTTCCGTGTACGGCCAATCCCAACGATGAGAAGAATGCATGAGGTCGTGTTTCACCGTGGCACACCTTGCGTTGATGGCTGATATTGCTCGGAGATGCACAATTCATGTCATTCCTTTAACGTATGTTATGGGAGGAAAAAACAATGAATACTTAAATTAAGGATACAAACTAAACTGAAAAAAATGCAAATAAATGTAGGGACTAGTTTTATATTTATGCCTATTATATATATATATTTTTATGAATAAATGTAATTTTTTTTGGTCATTAGCAATCAATGTAAAATTATTTTTTATAAATAAATAATTTATATATAATTTACTTATAACATACAAGGTTTGTATCCATAAAATAAAATATGTTAAAATATTGATAAGTCAATGACGAGTAGTAACAGGTGACTCGATGAGCTCAATGTAAGCCAATAAATGTAATAACAAGTATGAGTGACTAGTTGAGCTCATTTTTTATTTTTTAAATGAGGTGAAGGGGTATTACTCGTTTGATGGTGGACTTTTGGCAAGATAAGACATGATGACTAGTTTTGACACTTTTAATTTTATATTTGCACCCGTATATCATAAATATAATAATATAATTAAAACTTTATTATATTTTTGACTATTTTTTAAATTGAGTTAGATAAAAATTAAAATAATATTATTTACTTTACTAGCTTATAAAATTATTACAACATTTAATTTAACTGAAGTGAAAGTAATTACTCCGAATATGGATATATGAGTACTACTCGTTAGGTACAGGCACGAACAATAAAATTATTTCTTGGACGAGTATGGTCCATGTTAGAATCTTGTCCTAAAACGTAGGTTTATGAGTACTCTTATATTCTAAGCAAATTTTTATCATTATCATCTCGGACTATCACTCTGTGAGAAAAATATCAAGGCATAATGGACCCTCAAGACTCTCTTGTAATTTATTGTATTATCTAACAGAAGAGCGAAAGAGACATGAGATTAGTGGTCATATCTCTTTTATTTTATACTGGAAGATACAAGTGACTAAAGAGATATATCTAGGTTCCAAATGAAATTGACTTGGTAATATTCAGTAAGTGAACGAAGAAAGAAGTAGTAACCATTGTGACCTTTTCCTCAATGACGAGTTTGGACCAGAAATGAAAGGAATTAATGCATGCTTTTGAAAGCTGTTTTCTAAGAGAATAATTACTTTTTTATTTAAAAAAAGTGATGAAAACAAACTATTAGAGCATGTTTGATTTTCTTTTTAAAAATAGTTTTCTATTTTAAAAAATAAAATATAGTATAAAAATTACTATTTTATTTTTAAAAACAGAAAAATATTTTTAAAAAATAAATAAAAAATGCTCTTATTTTCTGAAACTTAAATTAGAATTTGGAAATATATTATTTTGAGAAACATTTTTACACATATCAATTTAATATAAATATTTATTTTAAATCTTACGACTAAAAATTGTTTACTTTGGCCTATGCACAAACAACATAAATATTGCCTACATCATTTTATACTTGATTTGAACAAAAAAAATACGGTGATATATTTGTATTTACATAAATTTAATGTTGTAAGTGTAAGCATTAAAAATGAACTATTGCAAATTTGCAAGCGATGGAAATAAAAATTTCAATTTTCCTGGAATACCGTGTAAATGGCCAACTTTCCAATTTAATGGGTTCCTATTTTAAGCCTAAAAAACAAAATAATTACTTAGTTTCAATGGAGTAAACTCCAATATAAATATTTATTGAAGAAAATAATTAATATAAAAAATAAATAAAACTTTAAAAAATAATTTATATTTCTTATGTTTTAAAAAAATTAAATGAGAAAATTTTAAAAAAAAAATATAAGTTAATTTTAATTTAAGAAAAGAGTTTGATTTGTTTTACTGGTTTTCTTTTAATTTTTTCAAATTGTACCTTGATTAGATATGTTCAAGTGCCAATTATCTGAGTTTTATATTTATATTTAATCTCCTCAGCCATATGGAGTGCAAGATCATGTGAAAGACGTCAAATCTCTTAGCGGGTTGATTCAGAGTAAAATGTCTCCTCACAGCCTTTACTCCATGCTTGAGCTTCCGGTATTTGCTCTCTGGAATTGTACTAAGCATCTCTTTCAAACTTGGAATATCTGAAACATCCACCTGCACTGAAAACGCCTCCCATCGCAGCACATCACTGAAGGGTAACGTATAATTCTTTGACAGGATCACGGGCACGCATTCAGCATAAATTGACTCCACGATTCTCGGGCTAGCCACTTCATACCCACTTGGACAAAGGCAGAACTTGGAGTTGAGCATGAAGGAATAGTAGTCTTTGTCTTTCGGTAGGTACTCGTAGACACGTATATCATCGTCTCGGTTTTTCCAATGGTGGAGTAGGATGGGCCGAATTGGGCCATGCATTCCACCAGCGAAGAATGCAAGATAGGGACGTGGAGCGTCGTCTGGTGGAGGTGAAAGGAGCTTAGGGGATACTTCACCCCCATAGAGATGGATTTCTGGCAAAGGCACGTCCTTCATAGGATTGAAGCCTTCAGAAGTGTTGGCATTGCACAAGACCCGGATGGAGGTGTTGTAGAGGAAAGGGTTTCCCTCTGATGCATGAGGACCCTGCATAAGTAAGAGTTAAACAAATGGTTTGTTATTAAAATTCGCAAGGGAGTCGTTTTAGTGTTAAGGGTTGAAAGGGGAAACACAACACAATGCATGCTTGTGTTCAATTATAAACGAGTTTTAACATAATGGAGAGAGAAATTGAAACGTGTGATGTGAGTATGGAAATGCAAAGATATATAGAAAAGGGAATCGAACAAACCCAATCATGACAAGAAAGCATGAAGTGGTCGGCACCATGAGTTGTATTCCAGAAAGGGTACCTCTTAGATATCACTCTCACATACTCGGAGACAAAATGCTTTAAAGGAGTGACGTCGTAAGTGGATGGTGTATAGAGGTACTTGACCATCCATGTCACACTGAATGGAAGAAAGTAAACGTGAGCCGTAGTGGGGTCATTGGTCCTAAACCTCCCAACCCCAAATTCCATCTCATGGAGGAACCTCCCTTCAATCGAGTATATGTCCTTGCACGGGCCATCGTGAACAATTGGTAGTTCCCCATCTGGGTATACGTAGACCTTCAATATCTTCTCCATCTCCAAATAGCTCCTGTAATAATAACCATAAAAAATTAATTATTGTTGTATTCCTTTTCCCAACAGAAAATTTTACTTATTTAAGTTAATGAATGTACTAAATTTGAGAGACCAATAAAGCTCATGTATATAGGTTTGAATGTACAAATACCATTATTTTATTTTTATCTATCACTTAAGGTTATTTTACGCAGTTAAAAAAAACTAATTCATGTCTAATTTGTATACAAATTGTTATTTAATTTTATCCTTTTTTACTCTAATTAATTAACTTGTTCTATTTATCAGTAGTTTGTAAAAAGTAAAGGTATGATAAAAAAAAACATAATAAATATTTTTTAAAAATTTTAAAAAGACAAATAAGAAAAAACCTTTTTTTTTTAACAATAACAAATAAAAAAAACAATGTAATAATAACAATATGAAAATTAAGGATGACTTCGAGCCACTGACACAATAGTGATAATAAAAGTACACAAGAAAGGGTCTTTTTCTCAGTTTTTTTTCCTCATTAAAATGACTATGTGGAACTCTGAAAGCGAATGTACATATCGATCTGCTAGGTCACTTGGCACCCTTATCGTCTGTTGCAAGAAAAATGAGAAGATAAATTATGAATCACAAATCATTAACATACAGTAGTGACATAAATAGAAGTGTCACATTGTGGTATCTTATAAGCAAAGCTGTGAATTAGCTTTTGACCCTTTACTGCTGCAATTATTATTAATTGACAAATTCTAGTAATATATTCTTTTAACATATATTTTTATGTTTTTTTTTTAATTTGAAGTATTTATCTTAATAAATTTTTAAGTGTTATTTTAATTTGAAAAATAATAATTACATAATGTGTGTTAAAAAGTACATATAAAAAAGAGTGTGTTATTAACATTTTTTCTTTTTCTTCTTCTTATTAAATAATGATCAAAGTTAATAAAATGATATTTTATTAAAAACTATAGTAATTAATATTATTAGTATGTTAAATATTAATTTTTAATAAAATCATCTTTAATATATACTGAATGATATATAATAAGAAATCAATAAATAATAATTTTTAAAAATATAATTTTAATATTAATAGTATATTAAGTTTTATAATAGTCTTCAATTTTAAATAAAATATTATTATATATAATTTTTTATTACTTAATCTTACACGTTAAAAAAAAATTATTGCGATTATAGGGAAAAAAAAGTGGGAGAGTATACTGGTAAAATAAGTGCGGGTTATGATAAACAGTTCCGGTGGAAATGTCGTCGTGTGGTGTTGCTAAAGTGAAGTTTCTTGCAGCCGCTCTGCGCATCGAAGCTCTTGCTCGCGCAAGTCGTTCTTCTAGCTTTTCGTTTCTTCTCTTCACTTTTGCTACTTCCTTCTGTTAAAAACAACATACGCATATTGATTCGTTCATTTCAACATTCCATTAATATACATAACACATTATCGCACGCGTATAACCAGTGAAGGAGATACAGAAACAAATTAAATTAAATCAAACTAACAGCGATGGATCGATAATAGTAATGGCTGTTTTATGCGACGATACTGAAACCCTGGCTAGCCTACGAGAGAGAGAGAGAGAGATTACGGTTATTGTGTTATTTGAGTGACCGGCATCTCCAACAGTATTGAGTTGATTCTCGCCGGAAACTTCTCTTCTAAAGTTAAGTGGAACGGGATTCACCGAATCCGTGCCGGTGAATCTCATTCGCTGCCATGGAAGCATCATGCAGATGAGCATCAACAACAGAGGGAGCAACAAAATTTTGAATAAAATAAAGTGGCTTTCACGAATCTTCATTTTTGTTTTCTGCGGAGTGATTGGTTTGGTTGTACCCCAAATATTATGAGAGATATATACATAATATACAGAGATAGACGTGGACTGAGACTCTGTGACTGGGGAGCATGCGGGCTAAATTACGGTTTTAACCCTACTTGCTCCAGACGAAATGACTATCTTGACCTCGATCGTGAGCAAAACACATATGATCAAAGATATATTTGTTACGCAATTTTATCGCAGAGGGGTTGATAACTTCTTTTCGCGCCAAAACCAGGGAGGGATTTTTTTTTTAAATACTTTGTGGGGAAGGTCCAATATTATCCTTATTGAATCTCTCAATTATCTCTATCTCAAAGAAATTTTTTAATTTATTTAAAGTGATAAATATGTAAAATAACAACTTATAAGCTTATCTGCTCTTAGTTTAAATTAAAATATCTCTTTAAAATATAATTCATTTAAAACCAACTATAAATTTATCCTTTTTTTTTACTTTAAATAATTAAAAAAAATACATCCATTCAATTCTATCCTTCTTTGTTTGTTCTATTTTTAAGATGAACTTTAGTTATAATATTAAGTATATATTTAAAAGTTGTTTTGGTTTAAATTTTAAAAAAATTACAAAAGTTGTCAAATATGGTCAGTTTGTTTTTCAAATTTTTTAACTAATGATTTGGTTCAAATATCTAGTTTAAAATAAAGCCATAAACTGTTTGTTCTTTGAAAATTTAGTTATTTTTATCTAACCATGATCAGATAAAACAATAAAATTAGTTGTAAATATTAACGTAACATTTCACTAAATATTTATCTCTTCATACAGTTATACAGTTATACTCCTATAATATTAATAGTTTTTTTTTACAAAAATATATGATAAAGTTAATTAGCAAACAAAACTAAGGATATTTAGTAACGGTTTAGTTACTGAGAAAGAGACCGAATAAGATATAAATGTACTGTTTTGAGAGCTTATAAACAAAATTTAAAGGGTCTTAGAAATAAACTTTGGAGCTTCAAGTATTATTCTGATTGAACTACACGTGGGATTCATACTGCTGCCAGTATTACTCCTTTAAAAAAGGGTCTCAGAGATGTATATGAGTGGAAAGCAATTGATCAATGCTATTTCGTATTTCGCATTTTTACACTAAATTTTATAATAACAATATATCAAATAAAGTGGACAATGTAATTGAAAAAAAAATTAATATAGAAAAGTTTTGCTAAAAATTAAAAATTATACGAAGTAAAGCAATATAGTATTATATATATATATATATATATGCATGTGTGTGTGAATATTTATTAACAGTAAATATTAAATTTAGATACTTATATCACAATAATTTTTTTATAAAATGAGATTTATCAAACTAAATGATAAATAATTTAATATTATTTTTATGATAATGCATGTTAAATTTTATATTTATTTATATTTAAAAATATATTATTTATTTAATAAAAAATTTAAACTAATTATTGAATTAATTAATTATAAATTTTGTGAAAAAAGTTATTAAATAATATAAACATGTAAGTTTTAGACCTAGTTTCATAAATAATAATTGCGCACCTTCTCATCTTCAGAATCGGTGCATGCAATTATTTTATGCAGTTATATTGGTTTTACGCCGTAAATACACACTTGTACGGAAGGAACCTAACAACAAAAGAAGCCTTCTAGTTACCTAAGTGGATTATTTAGCTGTAGATCTAGCAGTTAAGGTTAAAAAAAATTGGGTAATTAGACATAAGCCGAAGAAACTATAGGACGAAAGAAAAAGAAAAGCACATATTACTTTCTTCATTGGACAATACCCATCGAATCGGTTAAACAAGCATATGGATTACTTTGTTAATAATTAATGAATGTTTACATCATTTATAATAATAACACAAGATTAATTAACACTCATAAACATCTGGTTCTCCCTTGATTACCCGCGCCACAACACAACGTAACTAACTAATCGAGAAACATTACTCTCTCTCTCTCTCTCTTGCTCTGAGTTACCAATGCAACAAACATGACCTGAAAACCATGCTTGAGCTAACAACAACAGTAACAAAGGCAAAGTAGATTCACAATTTGCGATTCTCTTCTCGCATTGGCTATAGCGGTTAATTCCCCTTGCGAAAATGGGATTCATCAGCGGCATGATCGTTGGTATCGCCATTGGTATCGGATTGATCATCGCTTTCGCTCGTCATGAAAGCGTCCGATCCAAGCATCGCTCCAATTTGGTATATCCACATTCATTTCATTTTAACCGTTTCTTCCATTGCATAAAAATAACACGAATATTTTCACATGACACATTTGATGTTGTGGTGTGGTTTTCGTGAATCGCTTTTAGGCGAAGATTGTAGCAGAGTTGGCGAGGATGACGGTGGAGGACTCCAGAAAACTTCTACCTCAAAAGTTCTATCCCTCATGGGTGGTCTTCACTCGGAGACAGAAGTTGAGTTCATATACACACTTTAACTTATTACGTGCATAGTGAATTCGATTTTGATCTGGCTTCTGATATTAATTTCTTCATTATCTGCAGTTATATTGCCTTAATAGCCTACTGAACAAGATTTGGCCTTTTGTTAATGAGGTACCAACTTTGTTGATATATATTCGTTGAATGAGTTTATGGATCTAGATTTTTTATAATGTAATGTGCGTAGGCAGCGTCAGGGTTGATAAAAAGCAGTGTGGAACCCATTCTTGAACAATATAGGCCAATTATTTTGTCTTCTCTCACCTTCTCCAAGTTGACCCTTGGTACTGTGGCTCCACAATTTACAGGTTTGTTACATTATTATTATTCCTTTGAAATTTGAATCTGGTCATTTATGTTATGAGTAATGGGTTGCCTTGAATGCTTTCCATATTGTACTTGCGTGCTGTATTTGCTGTGCTTGTCGTTAGTTGTTAATGTAAAAATTCGAATATATTCACAATTCTGTTTCGTGTTTATGCTTACGGATTTCTCCCGTTCCATAGTGAACATAATCAAGTTGAACATAGTGAACCCGATGCTCTTCAATTTATTAAAATGTCGCTTTTGTTCATACCTGTATCATAGCATACTACTGTTGCTGAAATATGTAATATCTAGGAGTTTCAATCGTTGAAGAGGATAGTGGGCCTGATGGGGTGACTATGGAGCTAGAAATGCAGTGGGATGGTAACCCGAATATCGTTCTTGACATTAAAACCAGAGTTGGTGTTGTACTTCCCGTACAGGTGATACACAAATCATTGCCCACCTATGACTTCTTGCATTCTGATTCGTGCTTATTTATACATGTGCCTGTGTATGTATAATTCTGGAAGAATAATGCTATTTTTACTTATATTCTCACGACACTTTTTTTCTCTCACACAGTTATATCATTTATCTTATCTCTCCTTGTTGTGTTTGTTGTATGATTATGAAGAGAGAATAATGTTAATAGTATCTGAATCAGTTGTGCAAAATGCAACTTTTTTGAAAAAAGAATACTAACAGAAAACTATATCTGCATTTTACTCATCAAAGGAAGGTTGTCATGCTAGTTCTGTTGAATATTATCAACTTTCAACTACATTTTTTTTTAACACAAGTTTGTTTCCCTTTGCTTTAAAGATATGCATATTTCAGTGCATATGTCTCTGTTTTCTAAAACCAAAAACATCCTAACATCTCCACTTAATGACTCTGCAACTCAATCTGTTAGTGGCATCATTAATGACTGCATATATCAACATTTGTTTTAAGTTATTCCTTATTATTCTATTGTTTCTCTTTTCTGGCAACTTTTTTATATAGGTAAAAAATATTGGATTCACTGGGGTTTTCAGGTTGATCTTCAAACCACTAGTGAATGAGTTCCCTGCTTTTGGAGCTGTTTGTTTTTCCCTGAGAGAAAAGGTAAGTTACATTGCCTTGTACCTTATGCTTTTATTGGGAAGATTGTTAAAAAAAAATAAAAAATGAATATTTCAATATTTTAGTCCAAGAAATATTTCACCATGATGAAGGCACGATACCTCGGCTCTTTGACTTCAAGTAACTGGAGACAAACGTAGCTTCAGGACATGTTAGCAACATAATGCAGATTTGTACTTAGTATATATAGCTTTTTGATGTCATTTCTTCGATGGCATTGAGGGTTCGAATATATGTAATTGTAAACTACAAAATCCAATTAATTTATAATTTCTGTTTTTTTCTTTGTTATACCAACAGAAAGATCTTGATTTTACTCTTAAGGTTATTGGTGGGGATATATCAGCTTTACCGGGGATATCAGATGCTATAGAGGTATAAGTAAATTACATCATTATGACACTTTTGTTATTCCTTCTATTTATGTTTTGTTAGTTTGTCGGTGCTATATTATCAAATAGTTAGCCATTCATCTAACGTTCACAGGTAGCAGGATCTCCTAGTTGTGCAATAAACTAATAATCGGGCCTTGATAGTTTTTTTTTGTTCTGCTTAATAACCTATAAACAGTCTTGTTATTTCACTAATTTAATGTTGACTGTTACTTATAATTATCGAAAAACTTTTATTACAACTGTTAGACATATTATCAATTCGCATTGCATTATCTGTAGCCTTTTAATTCATACAGCACACTACCTTTGTAACAAATCCCTCTGTTATTTATTCAGGAAACAATTAAAGATGCCATTGAAGATTCTATAACTTGGCCAGTGCGCAAAATTATACCAATTCTACCTGGGGATTACAGGTATGTAAAAGCTCATTCTCACTTTCTTCCCACAGTAGGAAAAAATTATTTGTTTTTATTAATTTATGTTTTGGGAACTTAAAAATTGGGCACTGATAAATGATATAAGGATAATAGTTTTGCGCAAGTATTCTTCTATAGTATCTGGTTCAATATTTTAATGGCAAACAAATCCATAAGCATGTGCAATTCCACTTCTCTGTCTGTCCATGAAGAGCAAGAGAGTAGGTACTTCTAGAAGATATTGTAGATACTAAAAGCTACTTTCACTGGGTTGGCAAAATGAAAACTGTAGATGCATGCTTCAGTTATAAGTTATTTTTGGCGCTTGTTATGAAAGTTGTTTGAAATATTGAATCGGTGATGTAGTTTAACAACTACTTAGTGAAAGTCTGAAACTAAAAAACAAAAGATACTGTTAAGTTAAATTTCCCTCTTTGGCAGCAGCAACAAATATGTTTAGCCCTCGTCTATTTAGTTGAGTACTTAAGGGTGACCTTTCCCCCCAGTTCGAATCCGTTTCAGGTCGTCAGGTGTCATCACCAGAAAGAGTTATTCTAGCAACGCTTGATGATTTAAGACTTATGCCGATTCACACCTATTTTCTTTTTGGGCTTTAATCGCGTGTTTTGGGTTGTTGGCTTGGTTGCTGATCGTTGTTTATTTCATTCGATTTTGGCATGGTAAATTAATATCATGGTAGCTTCTAAATATGCATATAAGCCTTTAATTTTTTTTTTTTGGGAGGGGGGCGGGGGGAGCAGGATTCCAAGTCCTTTTCTGTTCGTGTTTTTAATCGCGTGTACCATGCATGTCAGTATGCTGTATGCGTATTTAATAGGACTTCATTATTCTATTTCTTTTACTCGAGCGTGTATGATTGTTTCTTCTTCTCGCAGTAATCTAGAGTTGAAACCGGTTGGAACACTAGACGTAAAACTAGTGCAAGCAAAGAACTTAGCAAATAAAGATGTGATTGGGAAATCCGATCCTTTTGCTGTCTTATTTGTACGTCCACTTCGTGACAGAACCAAAACCAGTAAAACAATTGTAAGACAACCTTGTTTTCCAATGGAAGCTTCCTTTACTTTTATTTATTATTGCGCGTGTGGTGGTAATCCAACTGCTGGGCGTGTCCAGAATAACCAGTTGAATCCAGTATGGAATGAGCACTTTGAGTTCACTATTGAAGATGCGTCAACGCAGCACTTGACCATAAGAATTTTCGATGATGAAGGCATTCAGGCTGCAGAGCTTATTGGCTGTGCCCAAGTTGCTCTAAAGGACCTTGAACCTGGTAAAGTCAAGGATGTTTGGTTGAAATTGGTTAAGGATTTGGAGGTTCACAGAGACAATAAATACAGGGGTGAGGTAAGATAGTATATTTTTATTGTCTTCTTAACATTCATCTAGCACCAGCTAATCCATGCCAATCACCAATTTGTTAGAACTTGGTTCAGTGGCATGCGTAGAATAGTAAACGGAGGCGCTTTCAAGTTTATGAGTATATTGAAAATAATTTATGGACACTGCCAATGAGCATCGAATCTGATCTTTTCTTTGTTATTTGTCATCTGAGTTCTTTCTCAGCTTATAGTATTCTACTCGTACAAATTCATTCGTATTTCCCATATAGGTGCAATTGGAGCTTTTGTACTGCCCATATGGAGTTGACAACACCTTCAAGAATCCTTTTGACCCTGATTACTCATTAACCACGTTCGAGAAAACCCTCAAGAGTGGAGCAGAAGTCGCGGAGGCCGAGGATCTTACTGGGTCATCATCAAGGAAGAGAAGCAACGTGATTGTAAGAGGGGTTCTATCTGTGACGGTGATTTCAGCCGAAGATTTGCCAGTAGCAGACTTAATGGGCAAAGCTGATCCATTTGTCATCCTTATGTTGAAAAAATCAGAAAAAAAGCTCAAGACCAGAGTAAGATGACATTTTTTACATGACGGTTTTGCTGTATTGTGTTTTAACCTTTAGTTAATTTTAATTTGAGAAAGAACAAGGCAAATTCAAATGTTCAAATCAATTATCAACTATAAATAGTTTAATTTGAATGCAAATTAGTTTTAAAAACTATTATAAATTTTATTTTATTTTTTTAATTTTCTTGCCGAAAACTTTATTATTTAGTTGATTCCATCTGCAAACACTGATTTATATTAGACTAATTAATATTTCTTGTACTCTCAGGTTGTAAATGAATCCCTCAACCCAGTTTGGAATCAAACATTCGACTTTGTTGTGGAGGATGGCTTACATGAAATGTTAACTGTTGAAGTCTGGGATCATGATACGTTTGGCAAGGTGATACCTCTTGAATTTATCACATAAAATAGTTTGTTTCTAAGTACTATTTTGAGTTTGCATAACTCGAATACAATTAATAAAAATGCATCTTAAACACTCAATTTGACTAATATGTCTCACCCACTTTTGCGACATTAATGAAGATTCCCGTGTGGATTTATGATTTTATGGCGCAGACGACGGTTGTGGAGATAAAATACTCCTGTATATATGCATGGAACAGTATTAAATTTGTGATTGTGTTATGCAGACTTACAACCATAAGCTCACGACAATTGTAAATTAGACTCATTAAACTTTTGCTTTGTTAATTAGTTCAACAATGTTGTCACTCTTTCTATCCTTTTTTTAACTAGGAAAATTCATGCAAGTTGATGGAAGTGTATATAAATGTACTTCTATTGAAACAAGATGAAAGTTTGAATATTAATGACAAGTGGAAAGCTATGTTGTAGAAAATATAGTCATTCTCCTATCCAAGTGTTTACACTTCTAACGTGAAACTGAAACATATATTCATTTACTTGACAGGGGAAACGAGAATTAAAAATGTGTCATAAATTTGTTTGCTTGAGCTAATTTCTTCGCCGAAACCCATAAATTAGATCTTTTTGTCCTAGTTTTCTATGATCAGCGCTGTGCATAGAAACGTGTCATGTATGTTTCCGGAACTTAAATGTTCCTCTACCCTACTCCTCAAGACATCAGTTTATCATACTCATCTCAATCTTATACTACAGTTTCTCAAATTAGTATCAAAATTGAGTGTATTCGTAAATGCATGAATTTTTCAGGAAAAACTTGGAAGAGTGATCCTGACATTGACTAAGGTCATCTTGGAGGGAGAATACAATGAAACTTTTCCGCTAGATGGAGCTAAATCCGGAAATATCACTTTACATTTGAGGTGGACACCACAGCACAAATTCAGGGATCCTTAGCAGACTCTTGTACGTATTTGTTATAGTCTACATTTTTAAGGAATTATTATTATTTTGATAATTTACATTTGGCACACCCATCAGTTTTTGTTCGATTACGGAAGCCTCATAAGCTTCCAGGAGAAATGATTACGGTATATCAACAAACAAAGCATTACATTCCTACTATGTAAATATTGGATACCCTCTTTTTGCTGTATAATGGCTGATAAGCTATAATTAATAATTACACGTCGTGGCTGAGAAGCTAACCCAGTGAGACAGAGGAAGAAGCAAAAGACTGATCACTTTATATAAACGACTGACAAAATTACACGTCAATCCATGTACGTCATACTTATATTACATATACTTGCTTTTCATAATTATTAAAATTTAAAAGGAATACAATTTTTATATAAATTACTGGAAAAATTTGATTACATTAACAACAAAAAATAAAAATAAAATGACCAATAAACTCAGTCCAATTATTATATTCGTCATTAAAATTTAAAATTAACACGTGAGTGCGTGAATGCAATTTTGGTTGCAATTTCTCACTTTACTTACATTCTATTATAAAAATATATGTAATATTGTATAATTATATAATAATCTATGGTTAAACAATAATATAAAATGTTTATATTGTCAATACATGTTAATTAAATTTAATAAAAATAAAGAAAAAAATGACAATTACTTTAAAACAGTAAATTATAATATAATAATAGTACTATTAAAATAAATAAAATTTGAATTTTAAATACGATAACAAACAATTATTAGAAAGTAATTATCTATATGAAGAAATGAACGAATTTGAAGGGAAAAAAATTGAAAGAAAATAACCTTCTACATACGTGGTCCACTCAACTGAATGGTCGCTGGTTGTCTCGACAGTATGGACTGATAGTTGTGTTTGGCTTTCCCTTTACCTCTGCTTCCCTCTCTCGTCTCTTCTGGTCCCTTTCTTGCTTCTAGTCTTCTCCTTTCCCTTAAACACGCACAAATTAAATAATTAACTGAACCTCCACATCTCAACCCCGATCATGGATGACCCTCCCAAACACCGTGTCCTAACTCTACTCAACGCTCTCAAAGAAGCTTCCAAAGATCTTCACGCCCAAACCAACCCCCTTTCCTATCTCTTCAAAACCGACTCCAAAGCCGCCATTGACGCTCTTCTAGACCTCGAAGCCAAAGCCCTCGCTACCTTCTCAATCGATCCTAACCTTCGCAACATTACCCGTTTGCTTTCTTCGCTCAGAACCTTAATCGAAAAGCTCGACAAGTACCAAGGTTATGGCCTTCCATCTCTCCTTCGCCGCCACGTCACCAACTACAAAATTTCCCAGCTAGCACGCTCCATTGAATCGGAAATCCAAGCTTACATCGACCGTGTCACCGTTGGGGATCTCGTGAAGACACTTCAAGAACCGTGCGACGAGGAGGAAAAGGTTAAGGTTCTTGTCGAGTTCCGACAGAGGTTGTCTCTGGGTTTCGATTTGGGATTCCAAGAGTTGGTTTTAAGGGCAAAGATTTTTACCCTTTTGGAGTGCATGCTGTTTGAGCCACTTAGTTCGAAACGGGTCAAAGAGGAAGTGGCTATGGCTATAGCCGGTTTGGTTAAGTTCAACAAGAACGTGTTCGTGGGGTTGGTGTTGATGGGTCCCACCATCAAGGCCTTGTTGGCAATGGCTTCGAGTTGTTCAATACGAGTTTTAACTTCGCTTATAAGATTCATTCGAAGCCCTTTGGTTGATGAGATTTTGTGTGCGGGGGAGATCCCAACCATTATTGGGTTTTTGTGTTTGAATGATTTAGGACTTCGTGTTGCGGCTTTGGAGTGTGTTATGGAACTTGGTTATATTGGGAGGAGGGAAGTGGTGGAAGCGATGCTTCAAAGAGACTTGGTTAAGATTCTCATGGAGTTGCAAAGAAGGGGTGGTGGTTGTGAAAGTGATGTGGAAGTGGGGAATAGAGAGAAGGAGGATTGTGATTATGGTTTTGGTGGTTGTGTTTCGAGGTTTGCTATACAAGTTGAAGTGGGTGAAGGGTTGAGCCCGGAAGAGAAAAGAGAGGTTAAATTGGATATATTGACTAGAGTGAAGGAGGCTTCACTGTCTGATGGAGAGGCTGCCACTGTTTGTGCTGAGATACTATGGGGTTCTTCACCTTGAGCCTTCAAACCCATATTTGGTAATATCATCAATCAGCTACTTGCTTTGGTCCTTAATTGCTTATTGCCCAAACTAGTTTATTTTGGGCCACCCCCAACCCAAGGTTATGATGACTCGGCCACTTCATGTGTTGTTGTGGGGTTGATGAGGAGAATGTGTTCCGGCTATCAAATTTTTTGAAAGCATTACTATTTTTAAAATAAATATTGTATTGTAATTATTTTAATGGTTAGGTGAAGAAATTTTACAAAATGCAAAGGAGAAAATAGAGAAGATCTCAACTGTTTGATGGGTGGGAGCCTGGAAAGCGGTTTGGTTGGTTTGTCAACATGTTTTTCTTTTGTACATTTATTTTTGGTCGACCGATTCTGTTACATTTATTAGGAGATGGGTGACTACCTTCTTAAATAGCTGTAAATAGGTATGTTAGACCACTTTTTTGGGTTGGATTGAGTGCTCTCGATGAGCGTTGCTGACTTAAGAAAGAGAATTGATTCGTGATATGTTTGTATATAAAGCGAGACAAAAGTGAATTTCAGTGCTTAGTAGTTTTTGATTGATTCTAATTAATTGTCTGTAAGCTAAACCTTGTCTGATAAAAAAAAAACTTTTTGTATTAGGCTGAGCTGATATTTTGGAGATCTCCAGTCAAATAAAAATAAAAGTATAAGATTCTGTATTTTGTATAGAAACTCATTACAGTAAATATTCGTTTGTCTGTCTTGACTTTAATGTGGAAGTAATATAAACAGCATATATCAGGGTGTGTTTACATGGGTTACCATGTGGTCGGTACTGAAGTGCAAAATTCTTAAGACACATAAGAAAGATATAAAAATGGGCATCTAAGTGAGAGATTTTTAATCATAAAACTTTATTATTAACAATTTTTAAGACGAAAATGTCCAGTTTTATTAAATTTACGTGTTTGTGACAAATTTTAATTTTTTTTTTAAGTTGAGCTATGAATATTAAATTTAATAAACGTAAGAAGTTTAATTAAATTTACATTTTAATTTTAATTTTTAAGGGTTTGTGAGAGAAAAAACCTAAATTAACTCAACATCAGAGCATTCTCGTTCAAAATAAAAAAGAAAAGAAAAGAAGAAGAAACAACTCTAAAGTGTTTGGCTGTCTCAATCATAAGCCAAGCTAGCTTTCATGTAGGATAATCAAATTAAATGGCATCTCATTTCACTTGTCATTGGCCAGTGCTCCTGATTTATCAATGCCAATTAATTGATACGGTTATACTCTGGAAATTTCTGTTCTACATTTTTTATTGGTCCGAACGTTTTTTTTTTTAAATAATTTGTGGATTTGGAAAAGAGGAAGCATTCATTAACTATCAGTGTAATTTTACAATATTTTTAATATATTTTTTCATTTTTTTATCAAATTATATATTTTATCTCTTTTTTAATTTTATTTTTCCTGTTTAAAATAATATTATAAGAAATTGGTATAAAAATAAATTTTCTCTTAATAATGATTGCTGCATAAAATTTTAATATTCATATATATTTTTTTATAAATTATTTTTAATTTTAAAATAATAAAAATTAATACACCTGAATTATTTTTTCCATACTTATTTTTCGTATTTTTATTTAAAAAATGAAACTAAAAAATAATCATATACATTTTTAGTTCACATATTTAAGAGAGAAAAACTATTTACTCGGGAAAAGAATTGCCGACATATTTTAGTTCAAATACGGTATTAGAAGGGTGTCTGTGACAGGTGAGGAAGAATTAATTAATTAATTAAGTATTAACAAAAAATAAACGAACTTAATTTTAACGTTTCCCTCCTTTGTGGCTTTTCTCTGTGGTTGCAAGAATCCTTCTTCCACCCACCTCTTCCCCTAACGCAAGATTAAATCGTTGATTGAACCTTTCCCAAGATCTCGTTGGCAATTTGGTTCAGAATTTCTTTGTGATGGGTTTGAGATACAAGGCTGGTTTGTTCCTCATAGCCACTGTCGTTATTATTTGGGTCACCTCTGCAGAAGTTACCCAGGTAACGCTTTTTTCTTTCTAATCATTGTTCCTCATTTCTCTCTTGAGTTTCCTGATTCTGCACATCTATCATTTTGGGTAACACTGGATTCCTAGCTTGTATGTTGATCCCTATGTTTCTTCAGTCAAATTACTTGATTGGGATTAAATAATTCTGGGTTTGTCCTAGTCCTAACATACCAATCACACTACCAAAAAAGGAAGCAAGTTAATGTTTTGACTTAATTTGACTTGATGTTGAAAGTTGAAACCACCCCAAATCCTAAGGGTCATTATTTTTTTGTCATTTTTTTGTAATATATTTTTGTTTACAAAGGAGACACAAGATCTAGTGTGGGGGCCAAAGTGGTCGTGTATCCTTGCCTGCATACAATTGGGATTTGATTTTGATCCCAGGTCAAGTCATCTAATGCACTTGGTACCGCTTGAGTCACAGCTCTTGGTTAAGGATCGACCTTTTATTAATTCAATATTTCGAACTTCGTAAATTGATCATTTAATTATTTATTTGAGATTAATGTCCTTTAGTGGAGTGCAAGAATTAATTTGTATAGCTAACCCCAAAACGCATGCGGTCATTTTGGCTTTGACTGAATGAAACTGAAGCCATGTGTATATAATGGATCTTTTGATTTTGAGGGGATCCAGTATGCATTTCCAGTTATATCTTGTGTTGCTATATGTTACACGTGTCCACCTGAGGACATTATGCTTGAAGATTTATATTTGCATGTTATTATTAGGTTCTCTTGAAAGAAGACATTTCACTTCAATTTTATTGTAACAATCTCTAATTTGTTATCTGCACATGAGGAGATGATATTTTCATAAAATACCCTTGTACTTTTAAATCATGCTTAAGAGGTATCTATTTATACATTATCATGCAATGTGTTGATGTCAGAATCTGAGCTTTATATCTGTGAATGCTTTTCTGAACAACATCTTTTCTTAACAGGATATTTTTACAGATTATAAGCAGCCATTTGCAGTGACATATCTTGGAGCTTCTCTTATGGTAGTGTACCTCCCAATAGCATTCATTAAGGACTGGTTCTGTAACTTACTTAAATGCCGCTCTTCTAAAAGTGGTAAAAATGCAGAATGCGTGGATGAGTATTCTGTCAGCATTAGCTCTCCTCTCAAAGACAATGGAATGCAGAAAAATTTTGAGCTGGAACTGGGGAGTGTAATTCGAAAAGATAGTGATTTAGACCTTTCAACTCTTGCAGAAGTAAAGCCTTTAGTAGCTAAATATAATGATAATATTAATGTCCTAAAGACAGAGAGAGAACTTACTGGGAAGGAAATTGCTACTTATGGATTTTACATTGCACCTATCTGGTTTATAACAGAGGTAACTGCAGAGTGTCATCACTATTTTTTAGATTAGAAGGACCAAAGCTTACTGTACAACGAATATATATGGTTATTTCTTTTTTTGCTTTTTCCTTAAAAAAATGCCTGATTACCTGTCCTAGAAAGTGTCAATGGATTGACAAGATGTGAAATTATATTTAAATCATATCAGTTAAACTCATGGAGAGATTTCTCCTTCCACAGCAACTATAAATTGTAGCTGGTTTCTTAGTTCTTACAAATTGAATATTTTCAGCCGTTACAATTAATATTTTTTTTCTGTAAGTTGTTAAACACATCATTTATTATGATTGTGCTTAAATTTTGTGAACAAGTATTCTATGATTTATGCTAGCAGCACAAAACACACACATGCAACACTTTTTCATGCCCTTTGGTGGACAATTGATCCCTCATTGTGAATAACTTGATATTGCATGATAAACAGATATTCTACAACATATTTGTAGATCAATGCACACACATGTAGACACTGTGAAAAAGTTCAGCATACCTGACCCCTTCGTCACACTGGATAGATAATTCATATAGCACCTAAATTCTCTTGTCCTTGAGGCAGTTAATTGCCTCATCATATTGATCATATTGGTGAAATGAGATATTTCCATGCTTCTCATACTTGAACTTTTGTTTTCGGCTAACAATTTATGATTGATTCTATATGGAATATTTCTACATGTCTTTGATCCTTTTATTCCTTTTGCCTTAATGTTCTCTGTCTCTTCGCTTAACTTTTATGCTCAGTCTACTGTTCTATGACAAAACTTTAGAAAGGTAGCAACGGTGCTTTATTAATTATCTTCTATTGCTTTCAGTATCTATCAAATGCTGCCCTTGCACGAACAAGTGTTGCAAGTACAACAGTATTATCATCAACTTCAGGACTTTTCACACTCTTCATTGGTGCATTTATGGGTCAAGACTCCTTAAATGTAGCAAAAGTAGTTGCTGTCTTGGTTAGCATGGCTGGGGTTGTCATGACAACACTGGGGAAAACTTGGGCCGCAGATGAATCGCAATTAAGTGCTGCGTAAGCTTTTACTTGGCCTTTCAATGATTGAATCACACTGAACATATTTTCTAGTTTTAACTGATTAGTGGTCAATCTGTCAAATTAATGTAGAAGGAGGTAGTCCACATTCATCCTACTTTCTCTAAAATTTTGGTTATGCAATTCTATTCCTTATCTTTTCATTAAATAAAAGATAAGGAAAAAAATTTTTGTTCTGAATTACGTAAAAATAAAATTTTCATCTTTGTTGACTAGTATATATGAATTTAAACTGCACCATGTCTTCTTATCATAAATTCCACATGCAGACCTTGTTTTTCCTGTCATTTTGATGTAGAGGAGAGGTCCACTGCCCCACTCCTTAAAGTTGGAATTAATAAAAAGAGGAGAAGCTTAGCTATAGCTGAAAATTGATGAACACAAAGTCCTAAGGGTTAATAGTCTATAATCTATAGCCAGCCTCCAAACTCAGTGCGCTAATCAATGGAAAGTCTAACTGCTTGGCACATGATCTTTTCAATGGCTTATACAAATAGAACATTAGAGAGAATATAGTAGTATAAAATAATAAATGGTGACTCATCCTACTAGAACTCCAATTCTATCATTTATTCATAATAATTACCTGAAAATTTCCCAGAGTAAGTAAACAAAATCCCCATAAATAATAAAGAGGGAACAGAGAGGATTAGATGAAGTCATACAAAACTAAAGATAATTACTTAAATCATGCTGCAGTGTTTTAGGAAGTCAAGTTATTGTTTTCTATGATATTTGCATTATCCTAGGATGCTATAGGATGTCATCAGGACTGTGCTTTCAACTTAGTCTTATGTTATTAATAAATATATCATTACCAGCTTGCTATTTGTAATGCTTTTTCTGGGATATTGACAGTTGATATTTGTGTTCAGCAATGGAAAGCACTCTTTTGTTGGAGATCTTTTTGGAATTCTCTCGGCTATGACTTATGGTTTATTTACTGGTTAGGCAATGTCCTAGCTGTTCTATTTTTATCAGATAATTTAGATAGATCTTGACCTTCTTCAATCATTGGTGTTGCAGTTCTTCTTAAAAAAATTTCTGGTGAAGAAGGAGAAAGGGTTGATATGCAAAAGCTTTTTGGGTATATTGGATTGTTCACACTTGTAGCACTCTGGTGGCTTGGTAAGTTTTTGCTTCACGATGCTTCTATAGTTACTCATCAATGTCAACTAATAAGATTCTATGAGCACATTACTTTTTATGTACTTATTTATAAGTCAAGCATGAAAAGTCTATACGTTGCTATGCTAAACTGATTGCTAATTCTCTTCTATACTTCTGTCAGTCTGGCCACTGATGGCCCTAGGAATTGAACCCAAATTTACCATTCCCCACTCTGCCAAAGTGGATGAAGTGGTTCTTGCCAATGGATTAGTTGGAAGCGTATTGTCAGACTACTTCTGGTACATGAAATAAGTTTATTAATTCACACACTTGCAATTACTCAAAATCTAACATTAGAACTGATTTCATCTATCCAGGGCACTTTGTGTTGTATGGACTACTCCCCTTGTGGCCACTTTGGGTATGTCACTCACCATTCCTCTGGCTATGGTGGCTGACATGGTAATTCATGGTCGACATTATTCAGCAGTATACATTCTTGGTTCAGCTCAGGTATTGTTATCTCTAGAGATATCTACAACTTGATGCTTTTTCTGCTGGTTCTTGTGGGAGGATCCTTGTTTCTATTTGACCAAACAAATGTGTGTACAGAAAAAAGGTCCTATTTGCCTATTGGTGCTATGATCATTTGGGGGAAAGAAGGGTGGGGAGTGATTATGCATGCTAATTCTTCTGTCTGTCTGTGTGAATTAAATATGGATTGGGAATTTTGCTTGGCAATATTCTGGTTATTGAATATGGAGACAAATCATTTTCTACGTTTTTGTTCACACATTAATGTTGGAATTGATTTGGCATTGTGCTGCAGGTATTTGCAGGCTTTGTAATAGCTAATCTTTCAGATTGGTTGACGAAGAAGTTGGGATTATAACGTATTGTTTTTTAGATTAATTTTTTCCATATTTCATTCTTTCTTCGGTCGATCATTTGTCCACTGTTCTAATAGGGTGCTTGTACCATGAGACCATATATATCTTGAATCAATGCACTGATTGGGTGCTGTATTTTTTTGTGTATATGATTCTAGAGTGAGGTTTATGTTTTATTCATGATAGATTGAGCTATTAACCACGGATCACAAGAATGTAATCAAGCCTTTTTAACAATTGTGTATGCAATTCTTTTTCCTTATAATGTAATGTTCGTTTCTTTCTTTCTTTATTTACAAATGATATGATATCATGTATTGCTTTCCATTTCTCATATTGCCATTTGTGGTGCATTTATCGAGGTAAACATAACCTTCTTAAAAATTTGATTAAAGAATAATGGTCTGTTTTGGTCATTTAAATATCGATTTTTTAAATGTGTTTAATGATACATGTTAAGAAATAAAATAATAATATTTTTATTAAAAATTATAACATTTAATATTATTAATACATTGAATTTTAGGATATATTATTATTTTTAAAAAAATTAAATATCACGTTAGTTCATTAATCTCGTGTTTGTCTTACTTGAAAAAAATCAAATTTTGATAGAGCTAAAAATATGTGAACTTTTTTTTTTTTCTTCAAAAGATATAGTGTCTTTTTCCTTGAAAATATTTAACTGTTATCATTTTTCATCTGACCGGCCTAAAATTAACATTATCTTTTAAGAACTAAGTTATTACTTTTGTTTACAAATTCTTATGAAATTTCTGTAATTTAAATTATATGCATTCTAATAGAAATCATATTTCAATAAATTATTTTTCTTAACACGGTTGTATTAAATACCGGATGAAGTGTGTAATGTTACGGTACAAGTCATGGTATGGTTTTTCTAAAAATTAAACAAAGATAATAAAATGTTGGTACTGAATTATAACTTTGCGATTATAAAACTAATTTTTAACTTGTAATTTTTATAAATTGAATTAAAAGAAAAGGTCAGCCTAATACTTAGTTTACTGAATTTTAAAATATGGTAAAAGGATGCTAGGATGGTTGTGATACAAATTTAATTATACAATGATTTCTTATAATGAATTATACATCTATTTTTTCTTATATAAAACTCTCTTTTACTTTTAAAAGAACACCTTACATAAATATTCATTGATAGAAGAAATTTTAAAATTCATCGGCCTGTACAAAAGGGGGCGAGTGATTCAAAAATATGGTGTAATTTAATCAACTAAAAAACATGATTTTGTATACTTTTTTAACAGATATTTGAATTTTAAAAAAGAAGAATCACTAATATTATAAGTTAACATTAAGGATATGCTTAGTTTAATAATTTTTTTTAAACACAATCTCCGGTCTCTCTACACACCGTTGCAAAGCATAACAAAAACAGTTGAGAGAGAGAAAAGAAAAACACGGTTTTGGTGTATCTGAAAACAAAGGTTTGGATCAACTCTGAATGTCTGTTATGGCCTCCACCAAATCAATCATTCTTTTTCTTTTCATTCAATTGTGCTTCTCACTTCTACCCTTCTCATTCGCTCAATCCCCAGCCTCTGGGTATCAATTCTCTATTCCCTAAACCCTAACTTCACTTTGCTTTCTATGATTATGTTTTATATTGACCTTGATTTTATCGAATCTAATTTCTCCAGGTCTTCCGAAGGTTACACCATTTATGGTCGAGTGAAGATTCCCAGTACGTTTTTCACTTTTACTTCAATTTTTTTATTAATTTAAATCCATGCCAATCATAGTTTAATATGTATTTCGGATGAACAAATGTATTGAACTTCGATCTGTAAATGAAGCGCGTGTTTGTTGTGATGTCTATTGCTAAGTTAAAAGTTTAATACACGATAGGACAGTATAGGCTATGCCCTGTCATCAAGATTGATTTTGAATAGTTGTTGGGACTGGGATTGGTACTAGTGTAATCAATTAGTTCGTCGTTCATATGAATTTACCAGAATTAAATGTGCTCAAAAGTTTCCTAGAATTAAGAATGTGGATGGGTTTTAAACTTGTTGGTTGCTCCCATTAGTTACATTGAGGGAATAGGAAGAGGAAGTTCAGAACCTGTTACTGTCTGGTGTCATTTGGAAAAGTAGATCTCATGGTGGTTTAATTAAGTCATATTTAGCCAGGTTTTAGGGAAGTTGATGGTTTTAGTTACCACTTAACAGGAGGTTGAAGTGTCAAAATTTAACTGTTTATTATCCTTGATGCATACTGTTTGTTGCATATCTATTCTCTCTCTGCGCATTGGTTTGCTATATAGCCTATGAATGTTGGCTGTACAATGACACCGGTAAATCTTTTTGACAGGTTTGGGAACAAAAGACTATATTCTTCCTGGAAAAATTTCAAATGTCAAAGTCATACTCAATGGTGGTCAAAGAGTTACGTTTCTGAGGCCTGATGGATATTTCTCATTGTATCCTTTGATTTGCAACTTAATTGCTACTTCTATTTAATTTGCATGATGACACTTTTTGGGATATTCATGCATTATTAAGTTGTAGTTAGTGCAACAAACCGTTGTTAGAGATGATCTAATTCCTTAACGTGGATGCTTTAAGCCACAATGTTTCTTCAGGTACTCATCTAATTGAAGTGGCTGCATTAGGCTATTTCTTTTCTCCGGTGAATTCTCAACCTGAAAATTACATCTCAATTCTTTTCCCAAATGTAATTGGTTTTTCTAAGTATGCTCATTTGTTAAATCATTGTGTTCATTAAAAATAAAGGTACGGGTTGATGTAAGTGCTAGACACCATGGCAAAATTCAGGCAGCACTGACAGAAAATAGGAGGGGGCTAAGTGAGTTTGTCTTAGAGCCGTTAAAGGAGGAACAATATTATGAGGTTGGTTTAGACTACTAAGTGCTTGTATTCCCTGTTTCCCTTCCCACTCCTTCAAATTATTATCTGAATGTCTGCCTGGTGTTATCTTGTTTTGTTACAGATTAGGGAACCATTCTCTATTATGTCCATTGTGAAAAGTCCAATGGGTCTGATGGTGGGATTTATGCTGATTGTTGTCTTCCTCATGCCCAAATTAATGGAGAACATGGGTATGCCTTCTAAAATTTATCATCAAACATTTCCATTTCCTTTGGAGTCTATCTTTTTCGCATGTTTATGTAGGGCTGTGGTTGCTTTGCATGGGTGAAGTGTATGATTATTTCCTTCTGGAGAATTTACGAGACTAGTCCTTCTCCTTTCCCATAATTGCTATTACAGTTTTCTAGTATACATCAAAAACTCAAAATATCAATATCAAGTTGAAATATCTGAAATTCCTTCTATCTTTCTCCCTCTCCATTCTTGAAGGAAAAAAAATCTCCTGTAATGTTCTCTTATTATTGAGTCATAATTGAATACTCTGTGATCCTCCATGAGCTATGCTTTTTCATGTGAATTTGTTGTCCATGTTAAAAAGTTTAGGCCATGAATTATGCATCTTGTCTCTTTCTGGGCTTCAACACATAGTTTCTCTCATGGTTATCAAACTGTGAGTTTATCGAGAAAAACATGTTAACCAATCATTATCTTCCTGTTGATAAGCTAGGAAAAATTGTGGAAATCTTGTTCATCTTCACTTTTGATGGTATAATTTGCTTTGCTTTTTCATAGACAGTCTTCTGAATGGTAGTTGTTTTGTATTGTATAGACCTATAAAGCTGCATTTTATGCTACTCTTTGCATAAAATATGTTGATGGTTTCTTTGTATTGTCGTGACAACAGATCCAGAAGAAATGAGGCGTGCACAGGAAGAAATGAGAAATCAAGGAGTTCCATCTTTAGCAAGCTTGTTACCTGGTGGTGCAAGAAACAACTAGATGGTATTGAGTAATGGAAAACCAGTGAGCAAGTTGGTTGCCTTGAGCAGGACCTGAGCAAATGCGACATATCATGAATGGAAAAATTTTTACGACAAATTGGTGCTGAGAGAAATCTTTTGATTATTTATGTTGTGGATTAGCTAAAATTTAAAATTTCTTATGGAGAAATTAATATATTTTATTTGAATTCTCATGAGTAGGTTTCAACGTAACTCTACACGCTTTCTTGTCAAATGTTGATAACCATGCACGAATATGGATAATATTTTTGGTTTACTTGTAGCAACTGTACAATTTCCTCTTTTGGTCCTTTTGCCAGAAGGAGGAATTGATTTATGATCGGTTTTGGCGGCATTGCTGAAAGTTAATTTTCTTCTCCAATCTCGGTGCTTTGTTTTTTATTATTTTGTATCCCTTTTTATTATTATGCAAAACAAAGCAAGCTGTTAGTATAATATACTGGGTTGTTATTTTGCAGTGTCTACAGAAATGTAGAAATGACCGCATAATAGAAAGAGAATTACAGACCTGCACATCTAAAGACATTGGAGAATAGTTGATATTTTCGGAAATGCCATGATCATATTTCTACTATTATTTGTTGTGCTTCGAAATGCATTGATCAACTGCAAATCATAGACGATAGGTTTTTGACAATGGCTGGGTAGTAGAGTTTTATGAATATTTTAATCAAAATTAATATAATAATTAATTACTATTATAAATTAATTATTGTCTTACATAAACTGAAATAAATATGCCACTTGACCCGTTTGATATAGGCAACTGAGTGAATTTAGCTTATGAGTCATTTTTGTTTTCAAAATCAAAGACCACAAAGTGTTTTTAAACTTAAAGGGTTTAAAATTATTTTTTTTTCGTGATTTATAATTATTGTTGACATAAAAATATTGTTCAGACAGTAAAGTTTGAAAATATAACCCATGTTTAAATAGATTAACCACATGAGTTTAAATCTTGGATGAATTGAACATTAAGGAACTAGTAAAGTGAGGTAAAATAGAATTCTGCATTTAATAGCATAAGTTGTATTTTCTTTTTTGGGTTAGACGATGAGTTGTGAGTCCTTATTTATTCACTGGAGCAAAATAAACATAATAATTGTTAAGTATTTTTTTGAACTTTAAAATCTTTCTTATCTTAAAACGACATATCGTTCTTTTACTCTAAAATTTTACTAACTAGAAAAAAAAATTATCGTTCGTGATTTCAAATACACAAGTATTGAAATTTGAGGTCTGCCGCAATATATGATAAGTAGTAAACTCTAATCCTAATATTTTATACATCCAAAAAATATTAAGATAGATATTAAATGAGTAAAGTTTAATTTTATATATCAAAGCAAGCTTAAAAGCTCATGTTGTGTAAGGCTGGCAAAGTAAAGGACAAAAATGATTGATTTATTTTATGAAAAGAAGAACGTCAATAACACAATTTTTTAAATTAATTTTCAATAATTATATTATTGACTCGGATCAGCTCGTCCGAGTGAACCCGCTCGCTGGAAGGTAGATTGTTGATAACTGGTAACAGAGACATTTGTGAGAACCAAAAGAGAGGAACATAAGGGAGTGTGCAACGCTAATGGGTACCGTGTCTCTTCTCAAGTGCTACACACCCTTTTTCTCCATGCTTTTCCCCCACCCAGTTCGAGCCGTTTTCCCCGCTACCCGCGCCGCCATCTTCAGGAGAAAGAACCTTCGTTCTTTCTGCGCTGGCTCATCTCAGCCGTTGACAACGGCGGAGAAGGATTGTAGCAAATCCGACAGCGATAGGCTCACGTTGACGAATCCATTGCCGGATGTGTGGCTTCACAACACCATGAGTAAAAAGAAGGAACTCTTCAAACCCAAAGTGGAATCCAAAGTGGGAATGTATGTGTGCGGTGTCACTGCTTATGATCTCAGCCATATTGGTCATGCTCGCGTCTACGTCAATTTCGACCTTCTTTACAGGTTTCTCTCTATTTACCCGTTTCGTGTTCACAGAGAAATACCGCAAAAACAAGTTTTTCGTTTTTAAATCCCTTTTTCTGTCAATTATTATTTGAACCAGTATGATTGAAGCATACCCTGTTTTTTCTTTTTGATACTAATTGGTTTCCTTTTCTGATTCGTTTGGAAATTAGGCAGATACTTTAAGCATTTGGGATTTGAAGTCTGTTATGTTCGCAATTTCACTGATGTAGATGACAAGGTGAGTGTCTATTTGGTGCTTTTTCAATAATTACTTCTCTTTTCAGCTTGCTTGCTACGACTTTGATTTTAAAAGGCACTGTTGATGGTTCCTTGTGGCTTATGTAGTATGTATAAATTGGCATTGTTGAGGCATTTTCCTCTGTAGTTATTTAGTGATGCATCTTTCAGTTTGTTACTTGGAATCCGTTTTAATGTCTTCATTCTACATTTGGTTTGGTTTGGTTTGGTTAAGGCGTTAAGCTTCTCATTTTGATGAAAATATTGATTGCAAGACAGCTAAAGAAACAAAGATATTCAAAATGCTGTTTTTGAAACTAGGTAGTCATTGTTGTAACTTTGCACTCAGTAGAGGAGGGAAATGAAGTTCTCGGGGAATCTCTGATGGGTGTGGGTTAATGATGTGTCTAAATTTTGTCCGTTCAATTGTTGTCATATAAATAGTATTTTTTATCATTTATTTTGAACCTTAAGAATTTTCTTATATAATTTTTGAATACCGATTTTATCTTGTTGTGTCACAAATGCAAAATACCCACTGCTTTTTAATTGGTATTACAGGATCTTAGTCTGCACTTTTCAAATTATGTAGATAATTGCTCGAGCAAAGGAGTTAGGAGAAGATCCACTCAGTTTGAGCCAGCGCTACTGTGATGAGTTCTGTCAAGACATGGAAAATCTAAATTGTCTGCCCCCTTCTGTGGAGCCCAAAGTCTCAGAGCACATGCCACAGATCATTGATATGATACAGAAGGTACTATTGCTGTGTATTTTACTGTGGCAGTGGCTATGTCATAAAAAATTTAAAATAAAACACAAGAAGATAAACAAATTGCAGACTAGTTTTTTGTATTCTATTTCTAAGAAAGCTTACATGGATATGTTATTGGTACATAAAATGCTTCTCTTCATAGTTGGTTATCAATCTCTCTTTTTTAAAGTTGCTTCATAAGTATGATGTTGATACACTTTTGATCGGTTAATGCTCTTGTTAACAGATTCTTACAAATGGGTACGCCTACATTGTTGATGGGGATGTTTACTATGATGTAGAAAAATTTCCAGAATATGGGAAACTATCTAGTCGAGATTTAGAAGATAATCGAGCTGGTGAGAGGGTTGCTGTTGATTCAAGGAAGAAAAATCCTGCTGATTTTGCTCTTTGGAAGGTAAAGATACTGGTGATAAATAATGATAATACATATATTTTAAATGTGTTGATTGCATTCTATCTTACAAATTGATGATTATAAAATACTTAAAATCTTAATTTAGTATGGAACTTATTGTGGATTTTCAATGCTATTCTGCAGTCTGCAAAGCCAGGGGAGCCATTTTGGGAAAGTCCCTGGGGTCCTGGAAGACCTGGATGGCATATTGAATGCAGTGCCATGAGTGCAGTTTATCTTGGTTACTCTTTTGACATTCATGGTGGAGGGATTGACCTTGTGTTTCCTCATCATGAAAATGAAATTGCTCAGAGCTGTGCTGCATGTAAGAAAAGTGATATAAGTCTATGGATGCACAATGGTTTTGTCACCATTGACTCTGTGAAGATGTCTAAATCTTTGGGAAATTTTTTCACAATCCGGCAGGTGATGCATTCCTAATGGGTCATTTTCTATTATTTATAAATTATTATATCTATCACTAAGGACCCACAGTTTTAATTTGTTGTTGGTAACTATTTGAAGGTTTACATTCTGATGCCATAAACATTTGGTGTTAATAGGTTGTAGATGTTTACCATCCGCTGGCATTAAGATATTTTTTGATGAGTGCCCATTATCGGTCTCCTATTAACTACTCCCATATACAGCTTGAAAGTGCTTCAGACCGTGTTTTTTATGTATATGAGGTACTGCTAATGTTTTAGGCTAGAAATTACCTTATTTCTCATTCAGGCATTTGCTTGTCTTGTCTGTACAGTTTGCACATTTAATGCATCTGCCTCCTGGACATTCTTAGCTAGGCTTGCTTTTTTTATTGTATTTTATATGTTATCTGGAAGTATCCTGAAAATTTTGTGTGTTTGCAGACATTACATGAATGTGAAAGCTTTCTGAATCAACATGATCAGACAGTTAGGAAAGATTCCATCCCGACAGATACTTCGAGTATTATTAAAAACTTCCACGATGTTTTTTTTACCTCAATGTCTGATGATCTTCACACTCCAGTTGTGTTGGCTGGACTGTCTGAACCATTAAAATCAATCAATGATTTGCTGCATACTCGGAAGGTATGATATGTCCTCACATGTATCTAGTATCCAATTACAATTAGATTGATTTTGAATGAGCTTGAAATTTAGAAATGAATCATTTTCAGTAATTCATCATATTTTTTCTGTGCAATATTGGTTTAGTATAATGTCAATATATTATAAACTTCAGGCTTTGGTTATACTTATATTTTAACAATCCAGCTTGGTTCAAGTTGGTCTACGCTTCAAATTGTTCACTTGCTGCTAAGTGTTACATAATGCCAATGACCTAATTTAGCAAAAGGTTGAACAAAACGGTTCTGTATGGACCTGTTCATGGTTTGGCAGGACAAAAGATATGGTCTCTAATTATACTGTTTCAGCTTCCAATGCTAGAAGTAAAACATTGAAGCTGAAACATTAAAACTTCTCTGTGGATTATTTTGTATGAAAGTCTGGTACATAAATAAATAAAATACCTCACGTAAACACTGTTTATAACATTACCAAGTTTGTAATCCTTTCAGGGGAAAAAACAACAATTTCGAATAGAATCACTCACAGCTTTGGAGAAGAGCATCAGGGGCGTCCTTACTGTTTTAGGACTTATGCCTGCAAGTTACTCTGAGGTATGAATACTTTTATGCTGCATAGTTGCTACAACAATAGGTTGCCTTAAAATTTTCTTTAAATGATACTGAAATATACATAGAACAGAACTTGTGTGCAAAGTTGTTGGTTTGTATATGGATTTGTACAGTGAGGTTAGCTTGCAATTTGCATACATCTAGAGATGAAACTAATGGTGTAACATAATCCACAAAAATGCCGAGTTTTTGTTTCGCTTAATCTGTTTGTGTAACATAATCCATATTCTTTATTACAATATTAATCATTGGCTCGTACTGCAGGTTTTGCAGCAGCTTAGGGAAAAAGCTTTAAACCGCGCAAACTTGACAGAAGATGAAGTCTTGCAGAAAATTGAAGTAAGGGATGCTGCAAGAGTACAAAAGGAGTATGCTAAATCAGATGCAATAAGGAAGGATTTGGCTGTTGTTGGTATTACTCTTATGGACAGTCCAAATGGCACAACTTGGAGGCCCACCATTCCTCTTCGCCTTCAAGAGCTACTCTAGTCAATAGTCAAGATAAGCTTCAGTTGTTCAGCATCTCCATAGCCAAACCAAGATATGAAAGTTTGATTTCGGTATAAGGAATTATAAGGGATGCCACACGGGTGTATCTCCCTATCACCTGCACAAGCGATCCTTTTTTAATACCTTATGCCATAAAAACATGAATTACAATTTCTGTCTTCATAGAAATACGTAAGTTAGTTAACTATATTTTTTTTCTATTTATATCATTATTTGGACTACAATCATAAATACTGTACAACGCTAATTTTTTGACGATTTATATTTTATTTTTCCATGTTCCAAACAGGCTATATAACAACCACATATTAAGAAAAATGAAAACCTAATACACAATCCGTATCCCGTTAAAGTTGTATAGATATCAAAAGTAGAATGAAGAAATAGGAAAGAAAAAAGGAAAAGGGCGTCAAAATAAAATAATAATTTTATTATTTGGATATTAAGAAGATAAAAGAAATGTTTTTATGTTGTTCCGTTTTAATATATTCAGAACATAGTAGGCACTCAACTGAAAAACAAAAATGGCGGTGGTGATGGAACTTCTCAGAAGACATTGATAGCTTATCGTTATTGCAAATAGTGTGCAGTTGAGGATTCCAAGAAGGATAAGTAGGAGTGGCTATCGGATAATCAACTATTAACTTTGAATTCTGTGTGAGAGGGTCCCACATGAACATGCAAACTCCAACACCTGTCTCCAGTTTTACAAAGAGGATAGCAACAGCAGCTTCTGTTTTCGCTCACGCGATGTAAGGCATGTGGTAAACACTCTCCAAGTTCAGATTCGGTATCAAATAACCTGGTCGGCTTTGTCTGGGTGACAAGAGAAATAAAACAAAAATATATATTTTTAGATAAAAAATAAAGAAAAAGGAAATTAATAAATTATATATAAAGAAATATTTATCATTATAAGGGTAATCAATGGTGTGACTTGACATGTGTGAGTGACGAGGGTAACACAAACTTGGGTTATTGTGATCAAGAGTAGTTTGGTGGCTTGAACATCTATGCATAGAAGGGTTAGGAAGATGAGCAACCAAAAACACAGGACTAAGCAAGGAAGATGACAGAATTTAGAAGTGTCGAAGAGACTATTTATTTAGCAAAAATATACGAAAAATGGCATAAAATATTGACAAATGTCTTCTCATTGTGTTACACTTTGTTTTTATTCATATTGTACTATCTTATTTATTTCTTTATTTATACATATTTTTACTTATTTCAATTCATTCAAATATTAGAAGTAATTGGCAATTTTTTTAACAATTATAAAAGTGCAAGTGAAGGCCATTTATTATTTTCTTTGAAAAAAAATTCTTCAAGAAAAAAAAAAGAAAAAATTAGTAGGATGTTATAAAAATCATTATTTTAATAGATGGAATTAATGTAAAAATTATTAAGCTATTAATTTTAATAGATTTGACTCTTTTTAAACAAAATGTGTAAATAAAAAATTATTCATGAAAATAAGTTTGAGGTAAAATCATTTAATTCAAGAGTTTTTTATTTTTATTAAACATTAATATTTTATTAAGGATAAATTCAGAGTAAAAGGAGTACTCCAACCTATTATAACAAACTTGACAATATATGTTAAGAAAACATCAATTCAATTCATATACAAAATTAATTTTTTCAACGACTTACCTGCAAACCACTTTTAAGAACGATATTTAATAGAATTAAATATTTTACTATCATTTAATATACTCTTATTAAAGAAAATATTAATCCGATAAATCTAAATTGTCCATACTACTATAAATCATATCACTACAACTCTCTTCCATTTCTTTTTTTCTATGTTAGATTTCACTCATACTTAATTTTGTGCAAAATTTCATATAAGTATAGACTGACGTCATACCATTCAAACATTATGTACCATAGTTTCATATAAATATTGTAATGCAAAAAAAGATACAATATATCTTCATATTCGATATCATACAACCCACAGCTTTCAAGAAAATCGTCAATTCACGTTTAGTTAAATTCTTCTACACTAAAACTGCATTTAACAGCAAACCAACGAATACTGCTATCTCAAATCAATAGTTAATATATCTTTCTTTTTTATTTTACACATTTTAAAATTAATATAATAATTTATATTTTACGAGTGTCTTAAAAGTACAAAAAAATGTTTAGTACGTCCTATAAAACATTCCAATTAATTAAAAGTAAGTATTAAATAATTTTTATATATTTTATATAATAAGAGTAATGCACAAGAAAGTGGAAACATTTTTTTTCCTTTATAAATGAAAATAACTTTTTTTATAATTGATTTTAAAATGATTGAATTTTCCTATAATAACTGCATGCAAACATATTTTTTTAGAAAATTTTAATAACAATAAAATGTATTTTATAAATTTTCTTAAAATATTATTGTCAAGAATTTCATTCTCAAAAAAGAAGTTTAATTGAAAATAAAAGCTTCTCTTATGCCAAATATCACCTATAATCATTAACCTTAAGAAAAATGTTAATAAATATATTCGATAAAGGATTTAAATATTTTTTTTATCATTGAATAATTTCACGTAGAATTCACTAAACAATTGAAGCCCTTCCTGAGTTAGTGTGATCTAATGCAATATATCAATTGATAAAGAATAATAAAATAAATTTGTCAAAGTTTGTATTTAAGAATATTTAAAATATGAAATGTAAGTCGTTTTAAATTGATTAAGATAAGGATTTATTTTTTAATTTTAAAAATATTTTATAGTAATTATTTATAAAAAAAATATTTTTGCATAAAGAAACGGGTATTACAACACTATTATTGGTTCTCCGTGGATTTTAGTCTGCAAACTTTACTCTGTCATTCACCTGAAAGACCATAGGTGGATGTGGGACCACTTGCTCAGACCTGTAATACTTTGATAAGTCACCGTACTTATCATATCCGATGAAACGACCTTATATAATGCTTATCATCTATTTCATATTCACAACGCCGATCACATATATCAGTCAACCTCAGTGGTCATTGTCCACATTCCTCGCAGAAAGGTTCCCCCCACTGAGAAAGCTTCTTCAAAAATTTCCCCCTTTTTTTCATCTTTTTCTCTTTTTTCCAGGTGAGTGAACCTTTATGCCTCTCTCTCCTGTTGTTTCTTTTTTCTGTCTTTTTCAGTAGCAAAATTTCTTTTTTGGTTTTGTTTAGTGCTTAAGTAATCAAAATAGATTTTTTTTTTCTTTTTGGCAATTTCCAAACATAAATGTGATGGGGGTAACTGCAGAGGAGATACCATTATACCATGATCTGTCTCATCTCTTAACTTTGTTTTTTGCTTCAGTTTGTGTTGTTAATGGCCCCTACCTCAGCGTTTTCCAATTTGACCTTCTAATAGAAACGTTTTGAGATCTGATTGGTGCCTTCTTTACTTTACCTTTACTAGTGATTATCGAATCTTTTCTCCATAAGTAAAAATCCAATCCGAAGGACTGAGATTTTGAAGGACACAAGTTTTGTCTGGCCAATTGGTCTGGTTTTTATAAAAGCAAAGTTGTAGGTTTGCAATTGTTATTATTCGATTTAGATATTGATTATGATTTGACTAAAAGTTCTGACTTTTATCTGTGATTTATTCTGATTGTGCAAGGTTGGTAGTATCCTGAAAGCAAACAAACGGGTTTGTCATGGATAAGGAGCTTGTGATCTTAATCATACAGTATCTTGATGAGGAGGGTTTCAAGGAAACTGCACACAAGTATGTCTCCCTCTCTATCTAAACTCAGGCTTCTCAGTTTTAACTTGATCATTATTCTTTTGGCATTTATTCCCTTTTCCTTCAATTTTTGATTCACAGGCTTGAGTGTGAAAGTGGGTTCTACTTTGACATGAAGAATTTTGAGGACATGATACTTGCTGGGAAATGGGATGATGCTGAGAGCTATCTTTCTGGGTTCACAAAGATTGACGACAACAAGCACTCTACCAAAATATACTTTGAAATTAGGAAACAGAAATTCCTTGAGGCATTGGACATGTATGTTTTTATTATATCATATTATACGGATTTTGTTAGTGTAAGAAAAACTTTCTGGGCCAGGGTATCATCTTATTGTTTCCCCAGGAATACTTGCTTGTTTTCATGCAGGTATGTTGTTCATAGCCTATGATTCTCTAAACTTTTTTGTCTTATTGTCACTCAACAGTAATGATCGCGCCAAGGCTCTAGATATCCTCATCAAGGATCTGAAAGTTTTTTCCCCAGGTAATGAAGAACTGTTCAATGAAATGACTCAGCTTTTGACAATTGACAATATAAGGTATGATTCAATTGCCAGTATACCAGTTTTAGATATGGAATCAATATCATCCTTTGATGAGCTTGAAACTTCAACTTTTTTCTGGGTCTAATAAGGGAACATGCATCACTATCAACATATGGAGATGCAAATTCTGTGAGGAAGATTGTGGTGGATGATATTAAGAAAGTCATTGAGGCAAATCCTGTGTTCCAAGGGAAATTGAAATTTCCTGCCTTCAAAATTCATAGGTTACGTCAACTTGTGAACCAAAGGTTTTGCATTCTTTCCCAATTTAAAGTTGGTAACACCACAAGCATATTTTGCATTCATGTTTTCCGCTGTTTCCTTTGGTCAGCTAAATGATACAGCCTAAGTGCATTGGTTTCAACATTCTATCATTCTTGATATCTCCCCATGCTTTTTAGCTGCTGGCAGAAAACTTACTATTCATTTTGTCAGCTTGAATTGGCAGCATATGTTATGTAAATATCCACGTGCAAATCCTGAGATACAAACCCTCTTGGTGGACCATGTTTGCGAACCGATTTTGAACTTCTCATCACTACAATCAGAAGAATGTAATTCAATTGAAAAGTCTGAATCTGATAAGCATTTATCAAACTGTAATTCCAACCTATCTACTATAACTGATTCTGTACCCTTTCCTGCAACACTAACAAATCCAGGTATGAGCTTTATTCTTGCATTCTTTTTATTTAGCAATCGTTTCAGTTCTTGCTTATGATGGCCATAGTCCATGGCCGCTCTGTAGAAGCTACAATGGAGGATCCTAATGTAATATCATTCAAAGGAAGGCCCTGCCAGGCTTCCAATGAGGTCAGTTGGCTGAAACTTTTTTGTTAAACATGGCTGTAAGATTTCTTATATTTTATCTATGGAATCAAATAGATGAAGTGCCTTCATGTGTAGGTGACATCAGCCATAGCAAATGGTCACCCTGAAAATGTTTTTCAGACGTTGAATGAGGATTCACTTCCTATTACCATGGATTTTCATCCTATTTGGCATACAATTCTTCTAGGTTGCTTCATAGAACATAATCTTTACTCTTCTGTTCAAATATCAGTATATTCTTGATGTAGTTTGAGGTAATTGATAACAAGAAATGAAAACAACTAATATATAGCAACTGTTTTGTTTCTTCAGTTGGAACAAATATTGGCAATATAGGACTTTGGGATGTTAATTCTGGTGAGAAATTGTTCTCTAGAAATTACAGAATATGGGGTATTGGAGCTTGCTCTATCAATTTCAAGGTATGTCCACTTGCAGATTAGGTTGTAGTCCAGTGACTCAGCGATTACTTATTAACATGTCAGTGATCTAGATGTTAAATACTGAACCACTGCCAACAATGTTCAGGAAGCTCTGGAAGAGGACTTGAGTGTTTCAGTTTCAGTAAGGAAAATCACTTGGAGCCCTGATGGTTCACTGTTTGGTAAGAACCAGCTATTTATAGGGTAAGTCTGGTCACCAATGATTACAGAGATTTATTGCTTCTAACTAATTGTTCTTACTTAAAACAAGGGTTGCATTTTCAGAAAATTTTGTTCAATTATATTCCTATCATGGTGGCAATGACATTGGCCAGCATTTAGAGGTAAATGTATTTCATTTTCATCCCATGCATTCCTAGTTAGATGGACATCATAATCATATAATACATGACTTATGAATACTTTCTTCTCAGATTGATGCCCATGATGGCAGTGTCAATGATCTAGCATTTTCTTCTCCCAATCAGAAATTGTTGGTCATAACATGTGGAGATGACAACACAATAAAGGTCAGTTCTTATAACAGACAAAACTACTACTTTCATAACGAAACTGATCTCAAGGTCCCCTACAAAAAAATTAAAACTAACCAAATGTCCTTTTTATTACTTTTAAAGCTCTGGGATGCCGAAAATGGCAAGAAATATTATACTTTTGAAGGTCACAATGCTCCTGTTTGTTCTATTTGTCCTCATGCAAAGGAACGTATTCATGTAAGCATGCTTTACTTTTGTGTCATCATGTAATAAGCATGTGTTAATCGCTCTTTGTATCCTATGTGATTCTTCTGCACCTACCCTTCAGTTTATTTTTTCAACTTCAATGAACGGAAAGATTAGGGCATGGTTATATGATTCTTTTGGAGCCAGAGTTGATTTTGATGCCCCTGGTTATGGTTACACTACATTGGCTTACAGTGCTGACGATAAAAGGTTTTGAGCTAGAAGTCTCAATACAATTGGAATAATTTGTTTCCTATTAATAACTAATAAGGGATTGTAGTCTAACTGATGTTGAAAATTTTTTCTAGGCTTTTTTCATGTGGACGTGGTAAAGATGGAGAGCCATATCTTGTGGAATGGGATGAAACTGAAGGATATATAAGAAGAACGTACAAGGGACTTAAGAAACCATGTTTTTCTACCATCTGTTTTGATTCAACTCAGAAAGGACTTTTGGCTGCTGGTGATGATCACACGGTTAAATTTTGGGAGATGGACAATGTTGAACTCTGGACAAGCACAGATGTCGATGGAGAATTACCGGTAAGTTCTTCATTTGGTCTCTCAATTTTCTAAATGCTATTTTGGAAATTGTGTTAGTGTTCTGACAACCGAAATTTAAAATGTATTTCATGGGAGATCTAATATTTGTGTGGTATGTGGTAGTTTTAGTTAAATGAAACAAAACTACAACAGCAAAATATTAATTTTAAGTTTTAATTCTTTTTTTTCAGGAAAATCCATGCATTCGCTTTAACAAAGAGGGCACATTACTGGCAGTTGCTGCAAAAGAAAACAAAATAAAAATATTAGAGATTAATGATGATATTTTTTTGAAACAGAATGAAATCCATTCTGTTCACGACCCCTGTAATCTACAAGAAACGTTAAAAGTAAGTATATGTAACTTTACGTGGACTACGTTGTGAAGTTTCTCAGGTCTCGAACATGTTAAATTTTTTGCAGCCAACACGAAGTCCAATTTTGATTGATGCTAGTGGTGGAGTTTCAGATGAAGGCTTTCTCATGGTTTGTGGTTTGAAAAATTATGTAATAAACTTTTGTATGATACAGAGAATAATATATTCGAGATTCATTTGTCTGATTCAGTTAACTATATAAGCATGATACATAACAAATTTCTTTCCCTGTTTATATTTTTTTAAAAGAATCAGTGCCAAAAAGGCTTGGAGGATGGGATATTTAATGCAATTAATGAGTCCCATGACAAATCAAAGCTTTGGAGTGGTTGTGAAATTTGTGAGCCATCCCAGTGCCGGTTCTTGCAGTTGTCAGTTCATCCCAAAATAAGCAAGGTATAACAATTACAACTAGATCCCATGGACATCACACATGTGGACTTCTTTTCATGTTTCAGAAATAAATATAACGTGTAAATGGGATATACAAGGCAACTAGGTTTCATAGAACCAGAAATTATCATTGACCTTGCTTTTGATGAAGCACAGATTGTTAAACTGGCTTACACCAATGCGGGGAATGGCATTTTGGCATTGGCATCAAATGGTCATCATCTACTTTGGAAATGGCCACATAATAACCTTAACTTGGAAGGCAAGGTTTGTGGAAACATAAAATTCACTTTCTTTTTTATATGGATCCCACCTCCCCCCCCAACAAAAAAAAAAAAAAACCCGTCTTTTCATTTCTCTTATCTGGTCTGGTGTTGAATTTATTATGAAAGTAAAGTAATACATGTAGGCATCTACACAAGTTTCACCTCACATATGGAAATCAAGGAGTGGCTTGCAATTCATGAGCAATAAACTTACAAAGGATAACAATGAAGACACCGTTTCCTGTTTTGCTTTATCAAAGAACGATTCATATCTCATGTCAACATCTGGGGGTACAATCTCCTTGTTCAACATGTTGACATTTAAGGTAAAACACAGAAGATAGAAGCCTGGTGTACTAAAGAAATCTCCTTAATTTCGATGAAACTTTTTAATGCTTATATTTTGATGCAATTGTGGAAGTTTCCATTTCATCCATACACTCAAAAAGTTTTTCTAAAATTATAGAAATAATCCGCATGCATCAACATGTTCTAGAATCAGAATAATTGATTTTTCATTTAGTTCTCATGTTGTATACTTATCTTTCATCATCTCCTCAAAAGCTCAGAAACATTAATCATTTATTCACTTTTTTTATTTGATATCATGCACCAGTTACTATTTTGCTACTATTTTTCTATAGTGATGCTGTAATTTAACTAATCATATGTCACATTGCCTCGTAAGTACAGACTGTGACAACAATCATGCCTCCACCACCTATGGCAACCTGTCTCACCTTCTACCCTCATGATAATAATATACTTGCTGTTGGTATGGATGATTCCAGTATAATTATATACAATGTCCGTACAAATAAGGTATATCTCTTACTTCATTTGAGAAATATATGCGTCATTGCCTGCTTCAAGGAGGTTGAAGCTAGTTTTTTGAGTCTTCCGTTTGTACAGATTAAAAGCAAGCTTGAGGGTCACTCCATAAGAGTTACTGCACTTGCCTTCTCAAGTAGTTTGGATCTGCTTGTTTCTGGTGATTTAAATGCTCAGGTTAGTATTTGATTTTCATTACATGCAATCATCCATCATGTTACTGATAAAAAAAAAAAAAGATAGCAAGCGGAGAAATTGTTTCTAAGATTAGAAACTGTGACCTAAGTCATAAAATAGCAACTTTACCGTTGCACTTAGGCTTGATTTCCTCCATATTAATTATTATACAGATTAATTTTGATGTATGCATGTCATTAGGAAGGAAGAATCCTTTTTTCTCCCAAGAACATTTTAAATCTACTCGTATTATGTATAAACACTATAAATAATTAGATATATTACCAAGTGAACAATTTTTTGGTTAAGTTGTTTTATCATTATTTTTATTCTCTCGCAGATTTTTTTATGGAATATCAAAGGGTGGGAAAGACAGAAAGATAGGTTCTTGCAGATACAGGGACAGAAGGTGTCAGAAGTACTAACAGAAACTCACATTCAGTTTCACCCGGATCAGAGGAAATTCCTTGCTGTACATAACACTCATCTTGCAATTTATGAAGCAACAGAACTAAGATGTGTCAACCAGGTTCACTCTTTTTTCCCTCACATTTGATGTGGTTATTTTCCTTCAAAGCAAGGTGATTTTTAAGGAAACAAATATGTATACTTTTTGTTTCATATCAGTGGGTTCCAGAAGTTTCAGTGGTTATCTCCCAAGCAACTTTCTCATCTGATGGCCAAACCGTGTATGCAAGTTTTGATGATGGAACTCTGGCAATATTTGATGCTTTTGATTTTCAAATGCATTGTAGGATCAATCCCTCAGCTTACCTTTTCACAACTCCAAGGTACATTTTTCTTCTCGAGGGATGAAATTTCTAGGCTTGCCCAAGTAATCACAAGAAATTATATGCTGTTATGATTAAAAAAAAGCCTTTTTTTCCCAACAACGCATTTTGGAAGACAAAATAGTGTGTTTGGATTGGCATTAAATTCATTGAAACTTGAATCCGTTCTAATGCTAGAAGTTATAATTTTCACTACACGATTATTAGTTTACTGTTTATTACATTTACTATGCATGTCGGAGTCCTAAGCATGGATAAGCATTAGGCAGTGTTCCAAAATCTATGGTTTGTTCTCGTTTATTCATTGTACATATTACCTTGCACGCATTGTAATTATGTAGTTTGTTTATTTTCCAGTTTAAGCCTCTACCCACTTGCCATAGCTGCACATCCACAGAAGCCAACCCAGTTTGCTGTGGGGCTCTCAGATGGTAGGGTTTTTGTGTTTGAGCCTCAGAAGCCAGGAGGTGACTGGAAGAGCTTTACACTTTATGATAAGGTCCCAAAGAGCACATAGAAATATCAGGGTTTGGGAGATGATGGTTAAATGATAAAATGTATTTGGAAATTCAACTTAATTAACTATTTATTTACGAGAGTTTATGTCATAAATTTGACTATAACATATTTTATATTAAGTTTTTAAAAAATTATTTTGATAAGTTAATTTGATTTATTAAAATAAATTGAAAAAAATTATAAAAATTATAAATTATTCTCGTAGACTCTAAATATGGCATCCCACGTTAAGCTAATTGGCTAATCATGAAAAGCTGGTTGATACAGTAGCAAATAATAATAATGAATTCCATAAATGTGATGAAACAGCTGGGAATGCCCCATAAAAGAATATAAATTTTCATATGGAGCTCGAACCATCAATCTTTGCTGCTGCGGATGCATAACTCACACCACTATCCCGTATAGTTCTGCACTGATTCGACTGCTCATAGCTAAGAAATTCTATCTTTATCTTTGTCGAGCAATTCCTCAGCATCTGATACAATAATTAACATGATGTTAATAAACATAAGGTTAGCTTCCAATTGAAAAACTCATTCAATTTGGTAAGCTACAACATATATACATCACAGGGACCATGTACAGGTAAATGTCTTCTAGTATTATATTGCCAAAAGGCAAAATGTTAAGTCTTCATCAAAATGCACTCCTCTAGTAATAACAAGTCTCAATACCAAATTAAGATATGACACCATTGACAAAATAACAGTTTCGATGATCACGACCCAATAATAATATTCTTTGCTAAAAGCTATAGAGGGATTATCAAATTTAGCGAGAGCTATCTCCACTAGGACATAGTGACAATTTTATAAGGCACACTTACATGGAGAAAAACACTGATTGAACGGCTTCCGCATATCGTATTTTTAGATTCCGACAGATATTGTCTGAATGTGTCTGGATCTCCTGATTCTATGCTATCCATCCCCAGCTTGTCTAATGCCTCAATAGATTTGTATATAGGTCCATGTTCCTTCACATAGTCTACGTATTTAAATCTGACAAAAATAGCAGTCAGCATAGGTTATAAGACTAAATGAATAAGATAAAATACTCGAGGATTAATTTTTTTTTTCTTTAAAAAATGTTATTTTCGTTTTGGTTCATTTTTTTTATTTAATCTTTGACTATATTGAAATACATGCTTTTAATCTCTATCATTAGATGAACTTGAATAAGTAATAATATAACAAAATTGAACAGTTACAAGTGATATAATTTAGTCACTAAATAAAACAAATTGCGTGGTTGGAGTTCAATTATGTATTTCAATAAAACAAAGGATCATACAAAAATATAGAAATTAAATAAAAAAATGACTATTTAGTTTAATTAATTTGATTTAGAAAATAAATCTAATGTTCAGAAATTATTAGAAATAAAATTGATTTTATTTTACTGTTTTTTGCTTTTATCCCTATAGAATAATGAAGTTGAAAAGGTCGACAAACCCTTCTACTTAAAAAATAAATAAAATCAAACCCTATTATGTTTTAATTTAAAGGAATGAAATCGATCCATTGGATTCCAAACACCAAATTTGATTTGAAATCGAATCGAATCCCAATGATTACACGCCCCTTAAAGCATATATAAACAGAAAGCTTTATAAAAAGTAAAATTATCAATAGAGTATATTATAAAGACAACATCTATGATCAAACCATTAATGACTCATGAACTAGATTTAGTTGATATATATGTGTCTTCTATCATTTTTCTTTATCAGCAAGAGAAATTTATTTCAAGGAATATGTGTCTTATATGAGGAGTATAAATCAACCATATATGATGAGTGTGTACTTTTTATCTGAATGTTTTTGTTAACACATCTCATACAATTAATGTATACTAATAAAATTAAACTTTACATACCGCAATCCCCAATGACAGAAATCTGATGACACACAGAAAAAATTATTTGGATCATCCACATATTTAGAAAGTATCTGCCCGTACATGGCTTGATTCTCCTCACTAAGAGCACCAATTAAGATGGGTACAATTTTAACCTCTCGCCTGCATCAATATTTCAAATTCAGTTTTTATTGCTAAGTTTCAGATCATAAATCTATATATTAACAAAACTTACCCCTCAAACACTTTAGCAATATATGGTAGGTGCATTTCCATGCTATGTTCAGCCTCATCAACGTGAATATCCATCAGTTCAAATTTCTGCGTAGCTTTAAGCTGCTCATTTACTGGTAAAAAACCAATTAAATTTGGGCAAAATTGCAATATAAAGTGAAAGTTTTAATCAGTTAGGCCTGACAACTAGTTTGCAAATGATCCATTTATCGTCACAACTCACAATTTGAATTTGCATATGCAAATCATTATTTCTATTCCACATATCATTAACTACCTTTTATTATCAACTAGCAAGTATCCCATCTATTGTTTAAGTTATTTAAATACGGATAGAATATAAAAAGTATTAAAAAAAGATTCATTTCTTTGGTGAATCACTGAATCAAGAGAATTGATTAATTTAATTGAAGAAAGATTATTTTATAGGCAATTAAAAAGTAAACGCTTGGTTTTCAAAAATCTAAAACATTAACCTAATCGATAGATGATTGTTTTAATGGTGAATATTTTGCAAAGAAAAATCTTCATACATATTTAATTATAGCGATGACATCAAGATTTGTTCTTAATAGTGTATTCTGTTACCTTCTAAATCAACGTGTAGATTCCGAATGGGTGTCTCGTAAACTGTTGCAGTTGAAAGAGCGCAATTTGAAGTGACACAGTAGTGAGAAGGACCAAGAAGGAATACCCTTGTACTGAAAACCAGAAGTATAAATAAGAAAAAAGTGGGAAGAGGGCATAAGAACATAGCAGAGGAGGAAACAAGAAATTAACGTACATGTTAGATGGATCAATGTTTGCAAAGGCATATGCAGCAGTTCGTCCACTATAGAAATAACCAGCATGCCTAACATTCCGGTGCAACAGTTTTTCAATTATCTCAAAACCACATGCCAAAAGTAATGTATAATTAATAAATTCAACTTACGGTGCTATTATTCCTCGTACATCACCAGACTTAGTAAGACCACATAATCTCAGCCATTCTTCTAGTTGTTCTGAAAGCTTTGTAGCTGAAAATTTTGATATAAGTTATAAACAAATGGCTAGGATTCATACAATGTTGTGACAAGAGTTTTGTATTTGTCTCTATGGACATTAAAATAATGAGATCATATAAAAATTAACAGAGATAAATTCAAAACTTGCATATGAACTTCGGTAATAGTTATCTTAATGAAAGAAGTTAGAATGGGATAGAATAGAGTACAACATTATAATTCAATAATTTCGCAATTAATAAAAAATTATTAACTAGTGCAAGTGTTTTAAGTTTAACACACGATGTTAATGAATCATAATCCATGCAGGATAGCTAAATTAAACTTCATTAACTTCCATTATATTTTATATTTTATATTATGATCTAAATAACGATTCATCAATTTATCCCATTCTAAATTCTCTTTCTGTCACTTCAAACGCAGAATTCACATACATAGACTCTCCAAACTGGGTGACAAACTTTTGGAATACTAGAAAGTGGGATACTTACGATTGTCGAAGTACCAAGAACCAGCATGGGAAGCTCTTCTAACCTTCTCCATGATTGGAAACCAATTTTGATTATTTCAATCAAAGACTCACTTTCAGAAAGAGAGGAAGCAGATTAATTTTTAGTTTCGCAAAGTGAGTGATATATATACCATCAATCCATACCCTATAATCGATTATGGTTTTTAAATCCTCTATGACAGTTTTTTAAGATAAAATTACCAAAAATCTTATATTTATCTTTTGACGGTTACTTATCAAAAACATCAAGATCAAATTAAAACTAAACATAAAAACTGTTTTTAAAATTTTAAAATTCTCTCACCGAAATCAGATGATTCACTCAATAAAATTTGCCAACAATATTGTTTTATTTCTTAAATTTTATTTTATTCAGTATAACAGAATATTTATGATTAATATTTAAAAATATTTATTTTTTGGGTTCATAAAAATTATTAATTTAAAAATACTTATATAATATATTTGAAACCTTTTATTTAAAATTTTAATTTTCTAATACTTATCCAGCGTACAAGAAACACGCTGATATATATACAATCAATCAATACCCTATCGTATCGCTGATTATGGTTTTTTTCATTTTTTTTACTAATGTTGATTATGGTTTTTTAAACAATAAACATATATCTCGTCACTTGGACATGGTTCACCAAAAATATTTGTCGTGTGTGTGACAGTTTATTTTAGAAAATATCACCGAAAATCTTGTATTTATCTTTTAATGAGTAGCCTTATTAAAATCATCAAGATAAATTAAAATTCTACATGAAAACTATTTTTAAAATTTTTAAATTTTCTCTCACTGAAATCAGACAATTCACCCAATAAAATTTGGCAACAATGTTGCTTTATTTCTTAAATTTCATTTTATTCAGTAAACGTAATGTTTATTATTAAAATTAAAAAATATTTAATTTTTGGGTTTATAAAATTTTAAAATAATTATATAATATATTTGAAATTTGTATTCACAATTTTAATTTTCTAATACATAGCATACAAGAAACTCACGGATATATATACAATCAATGCCCTATTATCGATTATGATTTTTTATACATATATCTAATTGCATGGTTAACAAAAAATATTTTATCGTATGACAGTTTGTTCAGATAAAATAACCGAAGTTTTTATATTTATCTTTTAATGGATACCGAGTAAATGAGACTTTATTAAAAACAACAAGATCAAATTAAATTTTAACATAAAAACTGTTTTAAAATTTTTAAAATTTTCTCTCACCAAAATTAGACGATTCACCCAATAAAATTTGATAACAATGTTGTCTTATTTTTAATATTTTATTTTATTCAGTTTAACAGAACATTTATTATAAATATTAAAAAATATTTTTTTGGGTCTATAAAAACTATTAAATTTAAAAGTAATTATATTAAATATTTGAAATTTTTTATTTAAAATTTTAATTTCCTAATGCTTATATATGAAACTGTATTTGTTTTTACCTGTGTCGTACCAATTGCGCATTAACCAAAAACAGTAATTGTTGCTTCTCACGTAAATGACTTTTAGAATTTTGCATGAAAACCAAGGTTAGAATTAATTCTAGCAACTACAAACTGTGACAAAAAATTATAGTTTCCAGATCAATCTTTTCACTAGTTAGAACTGATTTTAAACGTGAAACTCAAAATATATCTGATTTACATCTTAAAAATTATTATAATTTTATCAAACATATAAAAATAATTGTTTAACATATTTTTAAATGTCATCCTAATGTAAAACATTTTTTAAATCAATTTTTTCAAAATTAATCTTATTAAAATAAAACCAGATCCTATTTCTGCATCCACGAGGCCTTCAATTTTAGTGCCTTTTTTTTCTGTCAAATTCACGAATTATTTTTTAGATTTAATTTCTCTAAAATAAAATATAAAGTAATAAAATCTCAATTTATTTACTTTTGAAGGAGCTGAAGTGTGTGTGAATAGCAGATGTGGCAAACTTAGTAAATGGTCATTCAGGCATTCAATAAAATGGGGCAAGTATTCACAACTGGACGAGAGCAATACGATGAAAATGAATACTGTAAAATGCAATTTAATGTCCATAAATTGTTTCAACTTACCAACAACAATTGACAGTATTAATCACCAAGCCACCACCAAACTAGAAGAATAAAAAAACTTTTATGAATATTTTTTGGTACAAATCAAATCACCTGCTGTTTGGGATAAAAAAAAAATTTTAAGTTAAAAATCATCTTGAAGGAGCTAAAGATAAACCTGCACATAAGAGAATATTGGAAAATTATCTAAGATTTTTAGTTTTAATTAAAAGGGACACATTTCGAGATATTTTAGGAGATTTTTGTCACATTGTTGATTTTTCTCTAAACTGATTGAAAGACAAGAAAATATTCTAAGACCACAAAATTAAAGGCTTTTTTTTAGGAGTTTTCAAGTCACTGACACCCAAAACTACTCGAAAAATAAAACTAACAAGAAAATACTCTAAGTCCACAAAACTGATGGCTTTTCGAAGAGTTTTTGAGGAGTTTTCAAATCTCTGACATCCAAAACTGCTCGAAAAACAGGACTAACAAGAAAATATTCTAAGGCCACAAAAAATGATGGCTTTTCGAAGAGTTTTGAGGAGTTTTCAAGTCTCCGACACCCAAAACAGCTCGAAAAACAGGAAGTGGTCAGAAAATATTCTAAGTTCACAAACCTGGCTGAGCTCCAGATTTCCTCCAGAATTGCTCGAAAAATAGGAAGTGGTCAGAAAAGATTATAAGTCCACAAATCTGATTGAGCTCTCAAAACTCCAGAAATTGCTCGAAAAAACAGAAATGAGCAAAGGAAATGTTCTAAGTCTACAAGACCAAGACAAGCTCTCAAAATTCTAGAATGACTCGAAAAGAGAAGTTAAGAAGAAACTATTCTAAGGCTATAACATTAAAGGAGTCTCCTAGGTTTCTTTCAGAAATACTCGAAAAATAGAAAAAAAAACACGAGTCTTAATAAGTCAAGTCATTGAAAAAAATCCAAAAAGCAATTATCAGCAGTTATCAAACATTTACCACTACGCAAAGAAGATCGTGGGCGATGGCGGTTACGAAAGAAGCCCCAACCAACAACACGATCACAAGCAATCATGGATAATGGGCATCAACAGTTGAAGGTAGTTACTAAGAAGTGTCCGCAAAAGGAAGAGAACGGTAGTGGTCTTCATGTCTATAAATACTCTAAAACACCATTGTACAAAGGACGACTTTTTGCACCCTGACACCGCACCTAAATTCTCTGAAACGCTGAAACCCTGCACCATGCTAGACACCAGTTACAAGGAGACCCACGGTGACCGTTGTTCGTCGTTGTAAAGAGTCGTACATTTACATTTCAGCACCTTTACATTTCCGCATTTACCTTTCTGCATTTTAATTTCAGTACTTGTTGCTTATATCTTTGTACGCTGTTTGTTTCCTGTTTGCTACATTTTTGTAAAAATATCTACGTTTGATTCAATTCTGCATAATTACTATTCCATATCCTTGCTTAATACTCTTTTACGCTGTTAATTTGAACATCACGTTAACACCACATTTAAAAGAACCCAAAGAGGACCTAAATCCAGTCCCCAGATTGATCTTTGGATTATTTGTTTACAATTGTTATTTTTTACCGTAAACACCCGCTATCTAAAATATCAAATAGAATCGAATAATCGTACACCTGTAAAGAATGAAACCCTGTAGCAAATTCCTTCTAGTATAAAAACAGATAATAAAAGTAAAATGTCAATTAGAGAATATAATCAATACCTTACATTGATTCTAACAAACTAAAGAAACATCTTAGTACAAAGACAATAAGCATCAGCATTTATGTTAGTAATAGGAAAGAGGGACCTATCATCGTCTATATTACTCATTCAGCCAACCATCATCGATATCTTTTAAGTGTGTTGGCAATTATGAGAGAAGACTAAGGCTTAGCGTTAGTTAACATACACCCAAATTTGTTTATATGAAAATAATTAAAATTTCCGTTAGGATCTGTCCTACCACAAATAGAAATATTCTGAGATAATCTCCTAAATAAAAATATGAAGACAAAAGAAATCATGCCTGTAAAGAATTCCAAACTCAAGAAGAAAACTTAAAATTGCTCCAAGATGTAATGTAGTTTAGGGGAACATGCCGATGAAACAATAGAGCAAGGAAAACAAAATTGTAGTACATGATACGTGTATACCCTAATTACCCATCTTTAGAATGGGGTGGAGGCAGGTTAAAAAGTATGAAGATAAAAGAAATCATGCCTCTAAAGAATTCCAAACTCAAGAAGAAAACTTAAAATTGCTCCATGATGTAATGGAGTTTAGGAACACGCCGACGAAACAATTGTTCAAGTCGAAATGATGGATCACCAAACTGCGCCCCCTGAGCATCATAAATTTCATTCCATGCTTGTACTATCTCATCAATTTTGAACCCTGTGATAAATAAAAGTGGTTGGTTAGCTGCTCGTCGCTAATCCTAAAATATTTAATTAAAAAGAATCAGAGAAATACACACGACATTTTTCCATCCCATACCTTCAAGGGCCATTTCATTTGAGCAGTGATTCTTTATAATGACAGCAATATCTGTTGAAGAGGTTCCAGCAAGTTCAAACTTCTCGACTGCAACCTCCAAACATTCCTCCCATGTTAGAAGGCGAAGCTTAAATTCCACAACAGATCGCTCATATAACAAGGCACCCCATAAAAGATATATCTGAGACCTCATCTTTGCAGCTTGCTTTGAAGCTTCATCATAAGAAATATCTTTGTAAAGACTATCCAAGCCCAATTTCTCTAACTGTGCTTTATGTTTATCGGATTTGGATATACCATTTAAACGCTGCTCTTCAATCTCCTCCCACATAGACATGCCTTTCTCCATGCTCGCCTCTGCCTTGTTGTAGAGTGGCAGAACCTCATCAGAAGGACCAGTTTCTAAGTCCATCTTGCATGCTATTGCATAACACCAGCAGAGCCTTGCTTGCTCAAACTGCTGTTGCCCAAGAGCAAGATATCCTTCATAGAAGTCAGGTTTGATTTTCAAGGCTTCTTCATATCTCATTCCTGCTTTCTTGTACTCCTCTAGCGCTGATTCATATGCAGCTTTAATATGCTCCAAGGATGATGCTCTTGAGCCATCCTCTGAAAAAAAACCACGATTCCTTGCCCTGGACATTTGAACACTCCCCCAATTAAGCAGTGCCAAAGCTGCCATCTCTTGAAATTTATCTGCAGCAATTTCAAAAAGTCCTTGAGCATCATCGCTTGTTACCATATCCTCCATTGCTTCCGCATATAGCTTCATCGCAAGCCCATGAATATCTAGATAAGAATCAGACTCAAACCCTACATGGTTCTTGAACAGCCTCGCAAACTGGAGAAGCCAATCCTCCACAGTAACATTCCTCTTCGCTACCTCTTCAGGTCTGCCTTCTTCCACACCCCCATTCTCAACACCATCACTTGGTTTTCCACCGCTCCTTCGCACCTCATCCCCATTGCTTATTCCATCATAAGAAGGTTCTTGATCAAGATCAACCTCAGTAATATAAAGTCTAAAAGATACGAACTTGGGACAACAAAATTCAGCCAACCTTAGTTCATCAGTAGTAGTAATTGTTACCAAATCACCTTCTTGATCCCTATACTTCACAAGAACACCCTTCAAACCCGGAAACCGATCCCTAGCTATATCCCTAACCAACTTCAAACTACACTTCACAGGTAAATGTGCCCACCTTATATCCTCTGCAAACACTAACTTCACTGCCCTTGTGGCCGGTTTATCTTCCTCCACAGATTCCACCACCCTTTTTTCTTCCTCAATTGTTTTGGAAACCACTTGTTCATCCTTAACAGCACTCACTTTTTCCTCAACAACCACCTTATCCTCAACCTTTTTCCCTCTCTTTTTCTTCACTTTCTCTCTCCCCCCATTTTGCAAAGTAGGAGCCACAGTATTGTGTACGGTATCAGAAGCCACCACCTTTTCATCAATAGAGACGCCCTTTTCTTCCGTCGTCTTTCCCAAACTCTCAAATAACTCCAACGCGGTTAGATTCTTAGGTTCCACACCCAAAACAAGACGAACGTCCCTGAGTGCCAAATCGATCCGATTAAGCACACGATAGCAATTCGCTCTTTTCAAAAGCGCTTTGCTGTATGTGGGATACACTCCCAACGCCAAATTACACTCGTTAATGGCTCGTGGGTATTCCCCAAGACCCAATTGCATGTAACACGTAGCCATATTGGTACGAAGGTGCGCAACATCTATGTGATTCTTCGGAAGGAGTTTGAGTGCTTTCTCATACTGAAGCATAGCACCTTCGTGATCCTTCTTCTGAAAGAGCCTGTTACCCTCTTCCTTGAGTTCTTGTGACATGTTGAGGAACATTGCCGTGTCTTCGTCGAAAGCTTTCGAAGGCTTCCCGAGCTTACCATTTGAATTTGCAGCACTCAGAGTAACGGTTTCTTTCTTCTTCCCTGTGGGCTTTCCCATTGGTAACAGCGAACCCTAATTCCTTTGAGTTCAATTAACCGAACCCAAGTTATGAAAACTATATCTGATCACAATCACGAGTTGAGGTTCTTGGTCGAACAGGAACAGTTTCAATCGAAATAGGAAAGTAAAAGAATGAATGAGAATGAAGGTAGAGGATTATTGAGGATACAAAAAGAGAGGTGAATAGAACGGTTGGTTTGGGGGAGAATAAGAACGAATATGCAGAGAGGATTGTGAACAACATCAACCGCGTTTGCGGCACTGTTACATGATAAGCAATGTCCATTGAAAAAGCACTTATCATCTTTAGGGCTTCCTTTGGCCCAAGTCAACGCTCCCACCAGGATCAAAACTTCCACTTCCCGCCCAGGCGCGTGTAATGATTAATCGGTCCTATGATATGACTATGGTTTAATAAAATATTTTAAAAAATACTAACCCAACGCTCAAGGCATAAGAAATTTAAAAAAATTATATATTAGAAGACATAAAAATACTCACTTTCATGATTTGTAAAAGTATTTTAACATGATTTTTAATAAAAATTTTATCATTTATTAATTCCTTAACTAATACTTAACGGTGAGCAAAATTCATACATCTATTTTATCTAATCAAATAGATTAGTGTTTCCAAAGAAAAATTAAGGATTAAATGGATATAACATAATGAAATACTTGATTTTCCAAAGCTGATTTTGGTGTAGCGTTATGTGCATAAACATTCCAAATTAAACCGTTATAGGATTGACGAAAAATCAGGTATCCCTCTGGAAAGAAAATTTTGCATAAACAAATTTAATTGAAAAGAATGAATTATGGTTACAAAGCTGAGGTAAGGTCACTATCTGCATGGCCGTATAAACTAATTGTGTATTGACTTGAAGATATGTGCAAAAGCTAAAAACAAAATCAGGAAAACAAACGTGAAGATGGGGAGGTATTGGTACAGTTCCAGCAACATGACAAGAAACCCATGATTCCTGTCTCAACAGGTTCAGCAATGTCTCTTTCTCGACTATGCAACACTTTGACAAACTCGTTTGTACTTAGGTTTCCATCCCCATTTGTGTCAAACAAATGGAAAACAATCTCAACAACATTGTCAGAGAGAGATAAACCGCAAACCTGATATTCAAACAATCAAACACAATAAGAATTTTTTGTACCAGACAACTTTAAAGTCTCCACCATCACAGAAATGATCAAAAAAAATTTTAAAAGCCTCCGAAGTTTCTGGATTCATGTTTGAATTTTGTAAGAAAGGGAACAAAAAGTTATCCCAAACCATCTCAATTAAAATGAGCAAGAAATCAAAATGTCGTACATGTGATGCAGCTCGCTGAAAATCATCTCTTGCTAATAGGCCATGTACTTTTGCAAAACTGAAAATGGCCAATGAAAATGGTAATAATTTTCTCCGAAGCTCTGCAAAATTTTTGAACTCCTCAAATGTGATGCGTACATCCCTAAAGCGTGGATCATTGTTCAATTCATCAACTCGTTCAAGCAACCTGCCTAGATGACTCAAATCAGCAGAAGCAACTATAGAGTGTGCAAAGTCCTTGGCCGATATAGTTTTACAAGATTTGTAATCATAATGAGCAAACTCCAGCCTCAGAATCTATACACATAATACTGTAATTAGTTGTCATGCATAATCACTTCTAAGGTCACCAAAGGAAATGAAACTTATTATTAAAAGAAATGGAAATGAACGCATATTGTAGCTTATAGCCATATGGTAGCATGCCAAAACCGTAGAACTATACTATACACCACAAACATACTGACAACAGAGAACTAGCATGAGAACTTAAATAGGGAACTTAAGCAAATACGGTTTTCCTCATTTCTACTGCTATTATTACAGATTATAAGTTATGGCCACCACCACGTCAATGTTATTGTACATTTATCAGCATTCTTTTGCAATAAAGACATGTATAATTATGCAATATAACTAACAAATGTTTACATCCACTTTATTTTTATCATCAATTGATGATATAGCTGTGACAACAGCATGGTTGATAAATATGAAACCTAAAACTCCAATGCTGATGAATTAAAGAACAATGTTTTGGTGTAAAGATTATGCAGAAGCGACTAACAATCATTTATCAATTGACAGTTATTCTTTACAACAAAATACATGTAACCAGAAATCTTAACTTCTTCAATGCTTGCAAAATTAAAATATATTAAACTGAGTGATGACTACGACAATAGAGAGAATCAATTAGAAACATACTTCATCATGCAAGTCTCTTATAAACTGCACAAATTTATCATGTTTGAGGCGTCCCTTTCCATCTTTACCAAATAAGTATTCCACCAGCCCTCCATTTTCTACAGAACCATCAGCCTTTAGACCAGTTTGTCGTCCATCCCTGTGGTGAACACCCTGCCTGGTATGAGATCGCATTGATGCCATCACTTTCTTGAATTCTTCCATGTCTATCTCCCTGCAAATGGAGTGAATTAATTAAGGTCACTAGGAGTGTAGAAAAAGAAGAAAAGAGCAGGCACCCACAAGTACTTCAAATCCAATTTATGTCTCTTTGAATTTGATCCCTCTGAAAAACAGTCTAGTAGCAATGTGCCCATGCTTATTAACAGATGATTAACTAGTATGACTAGAAGCGAATCATATGGTTAAAAAGGTAAAATGCATAACTTACTGTACAAGAATGAATCACAATTTACAATGTGCCAAGCTACTATCATATCAGGTCTAGCAATTCTAATTGATAGTACTGTACATTCAAAGAAAGTAGCATGAGCACTGACCCATCATTATCCTTGTCAAACATTTTAAATGCGGCAGAAAAGCTTGATTCTGGGATGCTAAGCAGAGTTACAAAAAAGATATACCTGTTCCAGTTAAAATGAGACCATTATGCAGACACGCAGAGAAAGAGACAGAGGCTAATACAATTTACACCCTGATCTCTGATCCCAAAAATCTTCAGGCTCACATATGCACAAAAATTATAAAGAATACACACAACTCACTCTTTGAAAGATATAAGCTCGTCGCTGTTTACATCAAAAAGCATAAAAAATTCCGAAGGGGGACAACGTAAATGGCCAGGACTTCTTTCACCTTTCAAGTATCCCTCTCTAACCAGGTTGGATTCAGATGGAGGGAAAACCGGAACAACTGCTCGCATCAGGTCCACTGGCTTCATGAATAGCTCTCCTTCTAGACCACGGCAAGATGCAAAGTATTCAAAAACCTTAATCCAAAGGAGTAGATAATGTCAATGTGGAGATCATTTTTAATATCTTACACCCTTAACATAACCTAATAATGTAACTTAAAATTGAAGTTCCAAATCATTTTTAAAAGAAAAAAACCAAAAAGATCATTAGATTGCTTGAATTTACCAAAAATAAATATTTTATCATGATGCAGAAACAGTTTTTGTTACAACAAATCAACAATGCTGGTAAGGCAACTTACCACGTTATGCTCTAGCTATATAGCAATCTTATACGTACTAAATATATATAAAGAAGCTGAGAGGTGCTTCAAAGGTAACAGAGATTAAACACCTTTTCCGGTGGACTATGCAACCGAAGGCGCTTCTCATAGTTGAAGAAAACCTTACTCCTGTACTCATCTGCAACAAAACTTCAAAATTTTATAAAGTCCGCCAGCCAAGAATAATGGTTGAAGTTAGTACAATTGAAATGGTTCATATGAATTTTTTATAAATATGGTTAATTAATTTTAACCTCATTTTTAAAAAACCTGTAAACTTTAAAATTTTGAGAACAATTCTTATCACTACTTAACAGTGACGAAACGTGAATTTAGTCATGCCATATTAACAATTACCTTAAAGTAGCATCATTATGCATAAGTAGTGATAAAAGACTATTTTTAAACATTTTAAATTCTATAAAAATTAAAATAAATTTTATAAAGACAAAAACTTGTTTAACCCATTTTAAATTTATCAACCGAATTTGATCCATCAAAGTAAATAAACAGATTGGAGGGGCTGAATTTTTAAAAGACTTGCCTCCAAAAAGCAATCCGTGAGTAGTTTCAGGAAGGGATGATTTTTGAAACAACGATGGTGAAGAACTGCGAGAGGCAGAATTGGGTGTGGAGAAGCAATACAAAAGGGCAAGAGCAGAAGCTACAACAATGGCCGAACCCAACTTGTGATTGTGGCGTGGGTTGGGAGATGACTGAGAAGTGGAAGTGTGGAGAGTGCGGAATCGTTGGAAGAACAGAGAGAATCTTCGGAGAGTGGAAAAGGAAGACATGACAACGTGCTCTGAAGGAGAAATCAACACAGGAACGTGAAGCAAGCTTTTGCTTTATTGTCCTCCTTTTGCAAAGCGTGCCCAAGGCGGCAATGCAGAATCCGAATGTTTCTTTTCTTTTCTTTCTTTTTGGTCAAAGAATGTCTCTGCTTCTGACACTGATAGTTATGATTCCTTTTTCTTCACTGCTCCAAAAACAGTTATCGTTCAAGCCCACCTTTATTTTGCTAGATTCCCAAGGCTCTATGGGCTAAGATCAATACCCAACATTGACCTCCAAAAAGGGCTGAAATTGGCCCCAGATTATATTTATTTACTCATAGCCCCAAAATAAAATTTTCCTGTTATATTGTGGGATAAAAAATATTTAATTCTGAGAAAAATTATATTTAATTTTTTAATATTTTTAATAATTATATTAATTTGAATCTTTTTGTTAACTATTTATTCTATTTTTTAACCCACTTTAAGTGCCTTTTTGGTCATAATGAAATGATGTTTGGATTATAAAAGCACATACACCCAAAGGAACCAAATGTAAAGTTAACGAAAAGTCTGGGTTAATTAAGCATTTTGATTGTACTTAAGATGTATTTAGTTTAACAACTTAATTAAATATTTTGATTATAATTTTAAAAAAACTATTTTTAATTTGTATTCTTTTAAAATTCAATACTTGTAGTTCTTAATAATGATATGATAAGGGATTATTACATATCATTTTTTGGTTATTATGCATTAATTTTAATTTTTTTTATTTTGAATGACATCATTATCAGGACCAAAAAAAAATGTTTGATTTTAAAAATTAATGACTAAAATTAACCCCAAAAAAAATGTTATCAAAAAACTATATATAAGCCTTTATAATAACTATACTTCTACTCCCTAAAGGAGTGATATACCCACTACAGAATATGTTGTGTATAAAAAGCTGTGCTAGAGTATAGAGAGAACTAAAATTTAAGGGTGTGTTTGTTTCTAATTTTTAAAAGAGTTTTTTCTTATGAAAACTAAAAAATTAAAAAGAGAAAACTCTTTTAAAAAATAAAAACAAACATGCTCTAAGAGTTTTTGGGTGAAGTGCCAAATAAAAAAAAACTAAAAAGATTAAAAAAAAAACAAATACAGTGAAAAAATATGTTATTTTAATAAGTTGAAGTAGGATGAGAGGAAACAGAAAAAGATTATTCCAGTTACTTGAATGAGTGAAAAATAATCATTTAATTATATTAAAAACAACCATTAAGCAAATATATAAGTTAAAAAATAAAAATAGATAAGTTATCTGACAAAGATTTTAGTGTCAAGATTGAATTAAGTGAAAATTCTATATACTGGTTTTTTCAGACTTTTTGGAGCTTGGTATCAATCTATGCAGGGAACATCAGACGAGATTGATTAAAAGAAGTTACGGAAAGATAAATGAAATGAGTGATTTGCTTGTTATTTTAAAATTTTTTGGTGAAGATGAAATATTTCCAATGGCAAAAGAAGATTTCAATTAGTAATTGCAGAGCTGGACCATTAAAGATTTGTTCGCCAGCTAATTACGTGCATCACAGGAATTAGCTTCTGGTATCTATTGAGGACCACAACGTAATTAGCTTAATATCTTGTGGACAAATTTTAATGGGCAAAGATGCCAATTGCCTCTGCCACATTCCTTGCCTTTGTGTTTGTCTTATGAGTAGGTCCACTCCCTCACATGCCACATATTCCACTCGTCACAAATGCAATTCTTTAAGTCAAAGCTGTGGATACTCTGTCCTCCAATTTAACAACAGTTTGGTCATCTAAAATCATAGTCACATCCTTCTAATTCCAAATGTTTACTGAGAAAGTTTAAGTTCAGATTTTTAACTTTTCGGTACTAAATATGTAAGACACTAAATTCACTTACAATGGTTTTTTCTTTTTCTTTATTCAAGAGCTTAAATATTTCGGTACTAATCATGGTTCGAATGAGATTTCAGATATGTGAGACGTATCCACCACCTTCGGTGGGGAAATAATGGCCTTATGTGCTACTCTTATGGGTGTTTTATTATTATTATTATTTTATATACATTATTCCATCAGATTTTTATGTGAATGTGTGGCAGATACGTTTATATAGTTATTGTACGCATGTTGAACGCATATTCCATAGGAGCTACACATGCGCATCAATTATACACAAAAGTTGAACAAGTATTTGGGTATGACTGAATTTTAAAAGAATTTTTAGCCAGGTGCAGCTGGGTAAGGCTTGAACCATGAATACGCGTTACAATTAATGTGATACAAGATAAGACGCTCAACCATGTGAAACTGATCATTTTGCTGCTAAATTTTGTATTTAACGTTGCATAGAGCTAAAGCTTTATTTATTTCGAGTTTTGAAAGAGTCAATTTTTGAAATAATTTATTTTAAAAGTATTGTTATAGATAATCATTTATGTTCGAGAGTTATTTAAAATTTACCTTTCACTTTGCCTAGCCTGATGGCGGAATTAATTTTGAATATAAAAAGACTTTCAACAAGTTGATTGATTAATGTAAACAGAGACATGAGACCAAACAAGATATTTATTTTTATTAGCACTTTGTCTGGCCAGATACTCATAGGACAAAAAGCATTACAGAAACTGTGCATTTGTATGTTATCAATGTGCTCCTATTATCTTTTTCTGATTTAAACACGAATGTTAGGTTAACAATGAAGATTAAACAAAGTTCAGCTTAAGTGTGTATATATGTATAATTTGGTGTATTTTATCTCAGAATAATGCACGCTAATTCACTGGTTTTGACTTGTAGATCATGACTACTGTTGTGATGTTTTCAAAATTATCAATTTAAATTTTATGTGAAAGTTTTTACCAAATACCAAATTTCATGAAAAAAAAAGAAGTAATAAACTTCTATATATTATCCTCAATATTGATGGTGTAAGATGCATAACATTATGACCCACTATACAGGTATCGTTGAATTTTGAAAATCCAATTACACACACACACATATATGTAACCTGGGTAGGAAATCTTGGGTAAATTTTCAAGATGCGGGATTCTTGTGTGTGGTTGTCAAGCTATTCCAGGGAGAATCACTTCAACTCTCATGTAATGTATTTGTAATCAGTTCAAATTTAAAAAAGGAGCAAAAACTTCATAAACTTGATGTAATCCTGATGTATTTGTTTGTCCTTCCCATTGTTTAGTATTTGATAGGTGTGAGGATAAGATAAAAGTAGGGCAAAACGGTTATATAGTGGCCCACAAGCGCTGGTAGAAAGTAAGCATCTGAGTCTGACATCCCTGACGTACGTTAATATGCTGCCCATACCATATTACTACGCCACATGTCCATCTACACACTCATACAAATACCTCCCATTTTTATGCGTCCATTACTATTTCAGTATTTCTATTTGTAAAGCTACCTGAAATCAGTAACTTCATTTGATTTTCCTCTCAATCAAGAACATGGCCAGCTTGCTGCCAAACTGCAAATGCCTCCCATGAACAAGTTTCCATCGCCCTTCAACATTTCCTTACCAAACTTTTATGTATTATTGATATGAAAATGCTTATGTTACTAAATAATTAAAAGCTGTCTCACATAGAAATTTTAAAATCAACTTTTTTTAATTATATAACAATCTATAATTAAGGATAATATAATTTTTATATTATTCATATATTCTGATTAAATTCTAAATTCAATCCAAGTCTCCGACCTTGAATTTTTCTTTCCTTTATGATTGGTATTATTACTTTAAAAAAAATTATTTTAATCAATTAGTTTTCACTAGTGTTTTTCCCTCCTGTCCTGTATTCAAAAGAGGGATCCTGCCTGGTGTCCACTGTCAACAATTACTGTCTGTTTTAAAATTTAATAATGTCTCCTTCAAAATCAAGAATTCAATCTTCTGCATTACAAAAGTCCAGCTGCATAAGCCAACCTGCATTTAAACAACATTAAATAAAAAAAAAAACATAAAAATATAATTAAGAATCAAAAAGAATACCTGGCACCGCACGCAAAACAACTGGACGAACGTATCGGAGGGTCAACGGCGGCACGGGTAACGGGACGGTTGGTACCAAACGACGGTAATACCCACACGGAAACAAGGTCCATCGACGGAAAACATAACGGAGTCACCACGACGCTGCAAACACAACCGGGACGGGTCACGCAATTTGTCAGTGGAGTCAAAATACCAGTTAACCTTTTTTATTTATTTTTTTTAATGTTAATTTTAACTGATTTAATTAGAGGAATATCATGTCACAAATTAAGTCTGAGATGGGGATTGTATGTATGTATTAAGGTATCGAATTAGTGCGAAGAGATTAAAAAAAAGGGGTCCAAAACTCTGCTTCCATAGCAAATGTTATGTACAAAAAGCAATTCTGTAGGTCCAGTCTCATAGATTTATGCCGGAAATCTTCAACGGTTCCGGCGACAATTCACCAATCTGCTCCAGACGACGAAATCAAAACTCGCCGGAGAGGACTCACCGCTACCTCCTAACCGCTTGGCCGGACTCCAACTCTGGCGGCAGATCAGTACGCTAGGGGTAGAAAACCTAGCGCAATAGAAACAAAAATGAACCTGTAAAAAGAAGGGAAAAGAAAATCAAAGATCATGGGCCCTGGACATGACAGAGAGACGACTGGGCCTGGGCTCGAACGCCGATCTTCTCCTCTGTTGATGCGAAGACGGCCGAATCAAAGCGGTTAGGGCTCTCTTCACCCACTCTCCTTCCACTCCTCCGATCCTCACCAGCGAGTTCTTCATCGCAGATCTACGCATGTTGAGACGATTAGACGGGTACGATTCAGCGTTGTTGTGGTTGTTTCCAGCGTTCTTGTGGAGACTGCATCGGAACGAGCCAGGGTGCGTGGTAGGCGAGCACATACAGGTCTTCTTGGGGGCGGAGATCGGACGGTTATTTTTTGTTATGATCTGATTCGAGATGGAGCGGTTAGGAGAGATGGAGCGGGGGTCGATGGAGAAACGGACGCCGGAAGAGAGAGGGGCAGAGGTATACAGATTGACGCGTGTGGGAGAAGCCGCACGGTGATGACTGTGATGATGGTTATTATTGTGATGATGTTGACGGGGCTGGTTGAAGAAGGTGGAAGAGGGAGAGGAAAAGCCAGAGCTTGTAGATGAAGCAAAGGCTGATGAAGGAGAAGAAAAAGGGGTTTTGGATGTTGTGTAAGAGCAGAACCTGGTAGAGGGTGAGAGTGAACGTAGAACTGGTCCACTTGACTTTGTTCTGGAAGACGAGGAAGCCATTCTTTTTTCTTTTTTTTTTTAGGTTGAAAGGAAGAAGAAACAACAGAGAAAAATAGAGGAGCAGGAAGAAGAAAGCAGCTCTACAGGGTCCCCTATGGGGAATTGGTTCGGCAAACCTAGCGAGTCTCGGAGGCGGGTTAAATAGATGGCTTGGGAAAGGGTTAGGGGTGTTTTGGACAAGGGGACTGGCGGTTAGTTAACTTAACCAGAGTTAAGTGAGGGTTAGTTATAAATGGCGTAGAGATGTGGTTGGATTGGGATCCAACGGCTGGTGCGATGTGGACTTGTGAAAAGGGATGGGTGTTGGAGTAACAGCTTTCCTGGGAAACGGTGTAGGCTGGTAAAGGCTGCCACGTGTAAGATTATTGGGAAACGATGGTGTGCGAATGTACAAGAAGGCCACTTCCTTGTCGGTAATAACAGTGCCCAAATGCCACTGAACCATTCCCTTTGACCCCTGTCTTTTTCGATAATAACAGCCCACTCCCTACCTTTCCTTCCTCGCCCCGCCGCTTGCTTCTCCCCAAAGTTCTTCCTTCCTTTCCAAATTACTTTTGGAACACTACTGGTTCCTTATATTTACAAAAATGTAAATGTAAATTATTAAATTATATTTTACTATATAAAATATATATACACAATTGCTATTGAAGTAAAATAAAATACTTAAACAAAAATAAAAATATACTATTATTTATTTTTAAATTATATATTGTAAAATAAATAACATTTTTATTATTGATAAGAAATATTTTATTTTATGTAATATTATTAGATTAATCATATAAGACTTGTAAAATAAATTTTAAAAATATAAAAAATAAATGCTTTTTAAGGAGAAAGATAAATTTAATATAATGTATCAATATTTAAAAATTAAATCAAATTAATTTTAAAAATAAATAAATATTTAAACAAAATAACAACAAATTTAATCACTCAATGTAAGAGGCCACATATTATATTAACAACAAATTTTTAAAAAAAATTATTGTTATGCTTGCACTGCTCTCCACCAGGTGTACTTTTTTTTTAACTAGTTTTTTTCCGTCTTCATGTGTGTGTGACAAAAATATTAAATAGTTTTTATAGTTATTTTAAAAATGCAACAAAGATTCAAATAATACTTTTAATGCAATATACTCAGTTTTAATAAAGAAAAATCATTTTAACTAAGGAATATTTTCATAAGAAAGTTATTTTTATTTAAGGTTATATGTATCTTTTAAAGAATGCTTGCAACATATGAAAATAACTTTCTTACCGAAGAACAATCTTAATGAAAAGTTGACTCTAACTAAATAATAAAAAGCTTAAACTAATAAATTAAAAAATGTATTTTACATTTTAAAATTCACAACATATTGAGTGCTTTAAAACACTCAAAAGGTAATTAACATTTGAGTTGCTATTTCTCAAAAAAGTTGTTCTAAACAATTAGTAAAATAATTATTAAAATTAAGAGTGTAACTTAATATGACTCTTTATTTTGTTTTTGTTTTAGAGGGGGAATCAGTAAAATTATGTAAGACACTTTCAACTAACATTACTCACAATAACAAATGTCAAATCAATATTAGTTACAGAGGCAGATGCATTGCACAATTGTTATGATTTATGAAGGTAGATAAAAGGAAAAATGGTTGAGCCAGCTGTTTCGCTTGGCCTCCAAAAATCATTATTGATTTCATGACCCTTCATTGATTGCAGCTCTTTTAAATATTTAAAAAATTAACCTAATTTTCTAAGATTGGGGAAATTATTTTGTATTATAATTTCTAACTCGCTTTATTGAATAAGGCTGTGTTTATCATTCATACATATAATCAAAATAGGAGCTAGCAATAATAGGGACTTACAATAGTTGACAAAGATGTGGCCATCTGATAGAACAAAAAATCCCAGCTGCTTAAAGTGCCGTTGTTCTAATCTGAAGAAAGAAGAGTTATATTATTTTTGTAATTTTTTTATTTTTATTTTTGTCTTCACATTACTTCTCTAATTATTTATTTTCTTTTTTTATCCTTCTATAGTTTTAAATACAATATACTTTTTTTTAATTATGAAAATAACATTTGTCTTTAAAGAATATTTATGAGGTGTGACCTTCTCAACTCTCAAACAAGTCAGTGGCAGTTTTGTTAGACTGATTCAGATCAGTAGCCTTGCAATTCAATTATTCAACCGTTAGACTTTTTAATTGGTCCCAATTTTATGGACACCTCTCTCTCTGTTGCCGTACCAAATATCATTTAATTTGCTAAATAAACGAAACACCTTTAAAATATCATTAGGGTCGATCTGATTTAGGCTTAAATCCATTTTTAATATGTTTTTTAATATATTCAAATTTAAAATTTTCTTCCATTTTTTTAAGAGATGTAATATTACTTGTCAAGTTATTGTAATTAATTATATTTCATATTTGTATAAATTTATTTCAAAAGCGACAAATTCTTTCAACAGTGTTTTCCGTGTGAATATAACTTTTAAGATTAAATTCAAACGTTGTATATTCACGGGGTTTGAATTCCTTTTATTACATCAACACTCACCAATAATAATAAAAAGTTATGGAAAGCAGAATTGATCATTTAGTTACGATAACGTGAGATACTTGCATTCGGACATATAATTAGAGTGAGCAAAGAAATTAAAATCGCGTTGGTTTGCCATATTCAAGTGAGTGTGGTGAAATTAATTTAATATAAACAGATGTTAGGGGTAAGTGTAAAATATTTACCGATTAAGCTATTTTAATTGCTTAAAATTACAATGATTAAAATTATAAACTTTCAAATATATATATATATATATAAAGAAAACCCAAATCACGGTTGACTTTTTTGTCAGCTTGACTGCATTTTCAAAATAAGAAAAACAGAAGAACGACTTCTGAGTTTTTGCGGGCCAGACGCAGACCAGAAAATGAAGCTTCCAGTTATGGCAAGAAAAGTATGCCCTCTTGCCACCGTTCCCTCCCTTTTAAATTATCTTTTTTCGTTTAACTAGAAAATTTGTGGTTTATGAAATAATAATCATACACGTAAGTTTTTTTCCCTTTTGTTTAATTTAAATTTAATATTACTAAACATATAAATTAACGGGTAAAAGATTATTTAATTTTAACACATTTTAAAATTGAGTCTAATTAATTATAACTGTGTTAAATATTTTTTAAAAATATTATTCATAATAATCATTTCCTTGAGGTATAAAGAAAATAATGTTTTAAAATTATTTTGTTTATAAATATTGTTATTTAACTAATTTTGTATTTATGATGTGTATACTTTTTATTATCACATTACTAATCATTTAAAATATAATAATATTATTAAAAGTTTACATTCCATTATTAAAATAAATATTTTTTAAAATTTAAAAGTTTTAATTAAAAAATTGACATCAATTTAAATATTATAAATGTTGAATAAACTTCTTAAGAATATCAAAAAACTAATTTATTAAGTTATAAAATGAAATCTATTTTATATTTTCGTTAATATTTGCATTAAGTATAATTTCTTTTTGTTACAAATTAATATAGTGTACAATTATAATTTTTAATTAAAAATATAACAAAATACCACAAGTTCAAATTATTAAAAACGTGGTTACATTAAAATTTAGAGGAAAAAAATGTCATCGGTAATTATTTTATCCAACTTTTCCAAGTCAGTCGACCCAATGCTAGCAATGATGCTTGACTAAGAATGATAATTCAGTCTTGTTGCTTTATAGGCATCTATCCAATGCTATTTAGTTTAAGAACAGTGCTGGATGCATATTACACACCCATATATGCCTACGTGCTTCATTCCACACCTTAATCAAATGATAGAATCGGAATAAATGCCTACACTTTATCAATACCTTAGAAAATAATAATTGTTTCTTTCATTTATTAATTTTACTGGTGAAAAAATGATTAATTTTTTTTTATTTTTTAAAAATACAATTTTTATAGGTATCAAAAATTCTATTTTGATAAATTTTGAGATACAGAAAGATAAGTTTAGAGAATATTTTAAAAAAGAAAAATAGTTTAACATTATTTTTTGTTATTCATTCGTGTAATTGACAAGTGATAACTAAAGTAGTTCTAAACTGTCTTTATCATACCATACATAAAATACTATATATCACAATACAGAAAATAATACTATTGTGATAGATATTGTCAAGTTACTATCAAAACAACTAAATTTTTTAAAGATTTTGTAATATAGAGTCAAACTTAAGTCAATTCACGAACACACATTATTAGTCAAATTTAATTTTAAGTTTTTTTTTAGAAAACATAAATAAAGTTTTTTAGATTTTGAAAATTACAAATTAATCTAATTAAATTACGAACAGAATAAAATTGAGTAAAAATAAATTAAAAAACATTAATTTACATAATACCTAATGCGTGTAACTCTAACTATCACAATATCTAAAAATTTAAATTCACATTTGAATAATCACCTAATTCAATTATTAATTTAATTAAATAACTTAATTGAATAAAGTTACGAAATAAATTAAATAATTAATTTAACCTAATCCATATTAATTATCAAATTAGAGCATCAATCGAGTCTTAATTTAAATTCTAACAATAGAAAAGTTAATTACAATCGCAATATACAATACTGGGAGTAGACAGAAAAAGAGAACAAACTTGAAGCAATTTAGCGCAGAACTCAAGTTAAAATTATAGCGTTTAGATTCTGCAGATTGAACGAGAGGTTTAATCTTCTATTGAAGTACTTAACTTATGTAAGACTGAAAAAAAAAACTAGAAAGTTTGAAAGAAAGTAAAAAATAAGGATTCTTATCACCTCTTATAACTCAGAACATTATTAGTCTATTTATAAGCTTTGATTAAGACAAACTAAATGGCCAAAATTCAGGCCTTAATTATAACTACAATCTCAAATATAATTATCTAATAACAAAAAATTTAAATGCAATCTTGCAACAATGTTCAACAAATCTATCTCAATTTCAAAAAATCATAAAAAATTAAAATTAACTTCAAATTCAATAATCCATATATAAATTTTGAAGCCCTAAATTTGTAGAATTCAATGCAATTGGAATCAAACAAAAATAATATCTGCAGAAAAAATTATGATCGAACAAGTAATCAGAGGTCAAAATATTAAAAATATAAAATTAAAGTATTTATTTATAATAGACCTAATTTATTCCAATAAATAAAAAATAGTAAAAACTCTAAAAATAAAGTATATTAAAAATATTTATAAACCAAAATAAAACTATAAATATAAACTTAAAATATATTATATCATATTAAAAATATTTTGAGTATTATATCACGGACCTAACAAGAAAAAGAAGACTCATTTTGCTCTTTGCACTCAAAATAAACTAATATATTTTTTTTAATACAAAGTTTATTAAAAAATTGGTATGGAAAAGAATTGAGTACGATTGATTGTTGTTGACTCTATTAATCAACTATTATTTTTTGAACGAGCAAGGTGTTCAAGTTTGACTCTTAATTTGTTTTGGGCATTTAATCATTGATAAAGAATGGTCTAAATACATTATACAAAGGGGGTGAAATGAAAGTAAAGATATTGCAAATGGCAACCATAGTGGTTTGAAATCCCTTCACTACACTGACTCTCTGATTTCAATTTATTATCAGTGTGTTTTGGTGAGACAAATATGATATCTCTCGGGTAGCTTAAAAATACTGAAGTGGGTATTTTAAATAAGTTATCATAACCCAAAGTCAACGAGAGATAAATATTAGGCACCTAGAATGGTGGAGATAATCGGAGAGGGTAACTGATGATAGGAAGGTGGGAAAGGGACAATGGTGACGAATGTGGAACACCTTATGTGGATGACAGTTGGGAAGACTCCAACCCTCAACAGTTAGATGAAGGAAAAAGATACAAAGCTCGTTGGTAGGTTATGTGTTGGGTCCCAAGCTAGCATGTAGACCATCTGTACCCAGCTTATCATGGATCTTCTGTATCAAATTATTTTCATCTTAATTAAATAAAATTTAATATCGAAATAAGTAATTATATATATTAAAAATAAATTTTTTATTATCTTCTTAGAATATTTAAAAATATATATATTTTTTTTAAAAAGAAATTTCCCAAATTTTATTGATTTTTCAATCAACCGTGAGGCTTTCCCTTTTAAAATTTAAAATGCTCCACTGTAAGTTGTCACCGTGACTCCTTAATGCACAAGGAGTGCTTTCAATTATTTGCTTTTGAAGAGCATCGCACCTAACTACAACCTGGACATGCTAAGATAGGAGTTTTTCCAATGCATAATGAGAATCTTCTTCACGAAATAAACATTACCTAACTATGGTGCATTCCAATTCTGTGTATCAATTATTCTCTTTTTTTTTTAATGCAAATATGCTTATTAACTTGGTTAGCCAAATGGCTTCATGTAAAGCTAAACTTTTTTATTTAAAGCTTTGAAGGACATGCGAATCGTGTTTAAAACTTTTTTTAAGTGAGTTGAAACAAAAAAAAAGGGAGAAAAATAGAGAATTTAAATGGTTTGGTTGTAGTTTTGATTAGAGGATGGGAAAAAAGGTTAGCTTGATGGGGCCCACGTTAAAAATTCTGGACTAGTGACCGATGATCAAAACCAATGTCTTTTTGTCCTTGCATGGCTTTGTGATGTTTCACATTGGTGTTGCTATATCCTACACTTACAGTGCGTCGTTGCCTCGCTTTTGTATGCTTCTTATTCACGCAAATGGTGGATCTCACTATGACGCTTTTGGAGAACCTGACATCGAGCTCAACGATGCTGATGAAATTGACAGAAGAACGTAATATAAAATAAGTCATAAATAAGAATTTTTTATAAATTTTTTTTTAAAGATAAGGCAAAATAATTTTGTTATTAAAATTTGAAAAATATCATTTTTTACAGTCAAGTAAAAATTTGTGTATAAGGTTTAAAAAGTATTTCTAGATTGTTTCTTTATATAATTTTTCTCTCTTCCACCCATCCAAACAAAGTAGATTTTTTTTTTTTAATTTATCCATCCAATATTTACCTTTTTCATTACTTTTATATGTTCTATTTCTTTGCCTATCTAAATAGAGGTAAAGGAGAGTAAACAGGCACTTGTGGAAGAATTGTTTGATTATTATATGTTTTTTTTATGGATCTATGATGATGATGTAAGGTATAAGGAGAATAATGAGATTTCCATTACTATTCCTACGAGCTTTGCTAGAAGGCTCAAATTTACTAGCTTAAAAAAAATAAAAATGGGATTTTACTCCTCGAGTGCTCTGATCCTTCCTCCTTGCTGAGGTATTCATTATATTTTCCCTGTCCCCTTCATTTTTTTTTGTGGTTTGCTATTGGGCCCAAAAAGTTCTATCTCGGCTACCTCATCCAAAAAGCATCCAAACAAATTCATAATCTTTAAACACACAAAAAAAAACCAAGAAATAAATATACTAACACCATTTTAATTTTAAATAATTTAAAACGATAAAATCCTATTTAAATTATCATTATATTAAGAATATAATAAACATTTCTTGATAAAAATACAAAATTTCATCATTTTTTAATCTTTAAGTTGATGTTAACAAAACTGAAAAATAAAGAGAGAACCATGAAGCAATTCTTTGCATTTGGTTCACAGTTGAGAGCCACAAGATGAAAGGAGACAAGTTGGGTTCATACTCAAATCACCATTCACTTAATCATACATTTTGAGGAACAAGTTAGGTTAAGCTTTTCGTGTGACGTTGATTGTGGGTTCCAAACAAACACTGTCCAACATCAACACCTGCCACGTCGGTCTCATATTTGGGCCCCACATAAGAACCTCCATCCTTTCTTTCACGCCTTGTCTTCTGTCGGATTCATCTCCTCGTTCCCCCTTTTCATCATGCCAAGTAAAATAATGACATTTCATTAAAAACTCTTGCTAGTGTGTCATACAAAGAAGCTACATCATACAACAAACACTGGAAAAAGCTAAACTTAATTCACAACACTTCATGTTCATCCACCTACTAACAATATCAATGAGTTTTCTTCTTAATTATCTTTGTCCCCTTCAGGGATCTGGGCTAGTGCTAATGCGTGTCCTGGTACTTGTGCTGGTGAAGGAGTTAAGACTTTTGAGTCCTTAGCATACAGTCGATGTCTCCTTTCTCTCCCATACACAATCCAGAAGATCAAGGAGAACATTACAGCAAAAGAGACCATTACCAATCCAATATAGACCCATTTACTGTAACGCTTTAAACCAGGACAATGGTCACTGGATATTTCACTCAGAGTTTCCCGAACAAAGGTGCAGTCTTGTAGCTCAACCAGGGATGGGGCATCATTATACAAGGCGTTGCCCACGTTTATTCCGGCCGAAACTTGGTTATAGAAGGTAGGTGTCAAACGCCCTTGTGTCGTGCATATATCAGATGGTGATACCTGGCAAACAAAGTTGCCATATACCTGAACCACATACAAATTTATATTAACACCCGCTTTAACTCAATAGACAATAGCTCTCACATGCTCATCACATTTTGTCTTAATCAAATCTATTAATCTTTTAAGTGCATAGTAGTGTTGTATGTTCTATGAAGGATGGATTGATCTACCTGTGTTGCATTGCTTAGGGTCACTTCTCCAGCGTCGCATTGTCTATCCGTCATGTCAGGATGGAATGGATTGCAGAGGAGCGGCATGAGGGGGCCAGATTGGTTATAGTATAGTGGAGTGAAATTGGGGGCGAAATTTAAGTTGGAGACATTGGTGATAATTTGGTTGACCAAATTGACTAGTTCAGAAGTTACTTCTTTGCTTCGTAAGAATGTTTCTTGTGCAGTGGCGTTGTCCACGCAGGGAAGAATATCGTCCAGAGCCGTATGTGCTGTGGGATACTGGATCCATTCATTCATAGCTACACAAGTGTCTTCTGTTGCACTACCAAAAACACAACAAATAAAAGTTGATTTTTTAATAAATTACTATATATGCACTCTTAACGTGATTTCTAATAAAACTTTCTATTTTTCTATTCTTTAACTCATGTTATAGGTAACGGTTAGCAAGACCCAAAAATAAAATAAAGGTAGGATGCTCGTTATGAACATGACATTTGGTAAAATTTTAGGGGAGGGGAACTTACTTGTGGAGAACAAGGAACAAGCCACATAATATAAGGGTGCCAGTAACAAGAATCCATCCTGCGACTACCAAGCTGCAATTATTTATGTCAAAGCATTTCATAAGAAAACATCGTTTGATAATAAAGAGTCGCAAAAATATGTAACATTAGGTGGTACACAGTATATCTCACTTACATATACACAAGGAGCTGTATGCCAAAAATTGAGAACACTGCATTAACAAGCCAGAACATCAATCAATACCACAGCAAGTGAGAAATTCTTCATCTAAAATTATGACATATAAGAGACTCACAAAATCCAAGAAATGTCAAGACTAGCATAACAGCAGCTATTATGATAAGTGCCAGCCTCCTGAATCAATGACACCATATTAATTTTACAGAGCAAAAACTGAAACAAAAAATCAAATATCTTCAGCAGAAAATATACTAATCAATCATTACGCAGAATCTAAGAGGTCTTGTATGTTGTCTGAGTTCTCCTTTGTCTTATCAGCAAGTGTGCTAGCAGAGGCATTGATATTTGTTTCAGCCTCGTCAATATCAGTTTGAACATTAGTAGGGAGAAAAACTCGATCAATTCCAACTTGCTTAGCTTGAGCAAGATAATCGGACACATTCCTAAGCTTATCCACAGTAGAATCAGCTTGTTGTACCACATACTGCAATGTTGTAGTCATGCTGTGATGAAAACTTCCTTGGCCAATGTAGAGAACTGCACATCCAATTCTGTTAACACAGAAACATGTAATTTGTAATTCGAATCTAACTAAACCTGAAACCAGCAAAACAGAAGGAGAGAGAGAGATGTGTACATTGCTGCAAATGTGAATAATATCAGGAGAATAAGGGAAAGAGCATAGCATGTTGATGAATAACCATAAGGCGCTCTTTTACGACAGAAGTAACAAACAGTGATGAGCAATAAGCACAAGCCAAAGCCCAAGAACCAGACTGCTGCAATACTGAACACAGGAACTGCAGTGTATGCCACAGACTACATTCAACAGAAAAAAAATAAAACAGTAAGTGGACTTTGTTTTTTGAATTTCAATATTGCAGAGCTAAGTAAAAAGCTTAGTAAGATAATGAGCTATTATCACTCAAACTATAATCTAATCAGGATAACTCAAATTCAAATAATTAAATTTGCAGCGTAGCAGAGGACCTTTCAGTGCCGCAATTTGTTCATTTCTATCAGCAACATTCTATGATAGCTTCATGTTTCATCCAGTAAAACTAATTGATAAAGGATAACATGACAATAAAGTCAGGGACGAATTTAATTTTCCTTCAGATTACATGCAAAGGATTATTTAAATGTGTTTTTAATAATGCGCTCTAGACGCTCACGTTTTACTTATTAAAAATGTATTATCCTTGAATATCAATGCATTAGACTATATCTATTATTTTATAAAATCTTACTATATATAGATTTTTATTGTGCGCCCTTAGGCATACATTATAAAAATCAATACATGAATAACTCTTATGCTTACAAATCCTCTAATTACTAAATAGACAAATTATGAATTTTTTGTTTATGTTCGTAAGAAAATAAATGTATGTAATTTTGTATTTAATACTTATTTTAGTGGTAAGAGATTATTAGGAAAATTTGTGGATGGATACAGGCAAAACCCATTAATATATTTGAACAATTATGTTATTATTCCATATACTTTCAAATATAAAAGTGATTATTTCTTACTCACTTTTCCAACAGTCATATTTTATTATTATGGTAATTAACTAAAATATTACCGAAAATCGGTGATGTCAGTCCCATAACCAGAATGTAAGCGAAAATTATAAACCTTAACAGTGACAATTAACAAAATAGAGTGCTTAAAAAACTATCATTAAAGAAGAAAGGAGAAACAGTTTAATGAGCAAGCTTACAGCCCAATAATGGCGGTCACTGATATTCCATCCATTAGTGTACGTATTGAAGCCATCGAGAGGGTCTTCTCTTCGTGTTCTCTCTGCAGCTAAAGCTAAGGGAAAGGGGGAATTCTCGAACGGTTCAGAAGCAATTTCATCCACCCGGAAAAGGCCCACAACCTTTCCCTCATTTTGTGGCCCTGAAAAAAACAAAAAGTTTCATGCTTTCTAGTGAAACATCTTCAAGAGTGAGAGAGTAGCTACAGTGACACGAAACATTGTCCTGCATTGTGATAGTGGGTATTTTTGACCACCCACTGAACTTAGAGTGAAAAAACAGTAACAACATTTGTTCCAATCAAAGGCTTGTTCGAAGAAAAGAGCATAGAGAGAGATGTGAGCGAAATACCTGAAGTAAGTTGTGTCTGAAGAGGTGGTAAATAGGATGCTTGGTGTGACAACAAAATGAAAGTGGACAAGAAAAATGTTAGCAGAAAACAAGAATGCAGTGGCCGGTAACTTAACATCATGCGAGAGCAACGAACATGAAGTGATTGTGAGTTCTAGAGAAAGAGTGGTGTTGTTCACTCACTGCCACTGTCGGGGAGAGAGAAGAAAGAGTTAACGGTTGCAAAATATCGGGTTTGGGACACCGGCGGGGCACGTTTTACATTAACCTCGTTACTACCCCACCACTATCAAATGCCGGGTTACACTAATATTTACAGATTAATTTAATAACAGATCAAATTTACATATCCAGGTATAACCTTTATTTTAATTGACGAATAACATTAAAAATGCGCAAAAACTATATCTAAGTTTAATCCTGTAAAATTGTAACTGTAATTTTATTTAATAGAATACGCAGTTATTATAACTAATAGCTTCATCATTCCCCTATACATTCATGACTAACGGCATTATTGCATTAGAAATATCAAATCTAAAAATTAAGGAGGTAAACAAGTTGATTCACAAATAAAACGTAGCGCGTCACGTTTGTGGATAATAATTAGCAATGAGATCGCCAATACTAAACCGAGCAATCATGCCTTAAAGATAGATAACAAGTTTTAAGAATTTTCTATCATCTTACCTAAGAAACAAAGAAAGGATAATAATCACGTTATTTATGTGTACTCATTAATATTTTTATTGGTTTACATAAATATGAAGTTATATTTTAGGAGGAAAAAAAAAAGAATTATAAAATGAGGGGGGAGTGATTTCCCAAAATTAGGGTGACAATGGTCAAAAGTGGAAGATGAGTGAAGGGTGAGATGTAAACCAGAATGGAGGCCCAGAGAAAGCGAGTGAAGTTAATCAATTGGGCTCGTTCCCCAACGTAGTTTCCTTTCTCTTACTATTCCCGCTTTTGACTTTAATGCAAGTGTGGACCACCGCCTCACCCGGTTTTTCTGCCCCTCCCTTTTTTCCCTCCTTTTCATGCTTAAACAATAAACAGTTAAATATAAAACGACAACTATCTCCCAAAAATGCATCTGTTAACTAGCATTTCAAGAACATTAATTTTTAAAAAAATATTTATTTTTTAAATAACATTTTTAAGACACTGCTTAATAAAACAATTAATTTTATACTGTTTAAAAGAGTAAATTCAAATTTATGTACAAAAATATTATTTAATTTATAAATTTCATATAAAGTAAAACTGTTTCATGTTTAATTATAATTATAAAAAATAAAATTATTTGAGTATACATTAATGTCCTTTTTTATGAAAATGTTTAATCGTTAGATCGGCGCTAAAGCTTCATAAACATGCATAAAATTGAGCAAAAATTATTACACCCGAAGCCAATTGCTTTTTATATAGGAGTAATTAAATATAAATAATTTGATTAAACAAATAATTAAAATGAATTTATATAACTATGTTATTTCATAATGCGGCATGGAGTGGGACATAAGAATAGTCACCACAAGTGTACAGAACCTCGAATTCGTTCCTGCAGCTAGGGTCACGTACATATGCATATGGAGATAAAACAATGTCAAAACGTTCATACCATCTAGGATTTCTATCTAGGGGATTTTTTCGTGTCGTTTTTACAATACATTTAATCGATTGATAACATCAATGTTCTATAAATATAAATATGAATATTTTCAATCATCTATCAGTTTTTTTTTTCATTTTCTTTCACCCCTACCTTATCCACCATTAAAAAGAGTTCCATATCTTTACATTGCGCGGGAGGAATGGTGTCACCTCTTAATACACACACAGTTAAGAAAATAATAAATAAAATATTTTTACTATTTTTGGATTAAAAATATATTAATAATTGTTTGTCATTTAACCTTTAAGAGTCCAAGTTAGTTTGCAATCTTTTGGTATTATTAAATGGAAAAAACTCATCTAAAATAAATAATAATTTGAGTGACTTTTGCGTGTATCGAGCACATATACTCCTGACATCATTCTCATATAAAAATATAACTTTTTGCTATAGAAACAGCACGGACCTGTGACTTTTCATTAATCATTAGCTATCTATGCATGCACACAGAACTCGCAAAATGTAGCTATTTATTATGTCAATTAAAAACACTTGTTAAAAGAAAAACAAGGTTTAGGTAACTAAATTTAAAAGTTTGAACAAATCTGAATTTTTTAATTTCATCTGTGTCTCGAATGGAGTGGTCTTTGAGCATCTATTTATCCGATATTTTAACACACGCTTTGTACTATGCACTCACGACACCTATGCATTACAAGTTTGTATGTAATATCAATTTTTGTACGTGTACAAGGCTAGTTCTACTTAGACAAGTTCATTTAGGAAATATCCTAAAACAAGTAATCAAAAATATCATGAAGATGTTGCAAAACCCCTCGGAAATTCATCTCCAAATGAGGGGGGGAAAATTAGTATATTAGAGAGAAAATTTTTAAATAGCACAAGACGATGGTACCAACCAATCCAAATTTAATGTATTTATATTTTGTATTTTTTTATATGTAACAAGATGTAAGCGGCTGAGATCATGTGGTCTCAAACCACTTAATAATGATAATATTTTAATATTCTAATTTTTTTCTATCTTATTAAACACTAAACAATTTGTAAACAATTGAATTGCCTTCTGATTTCTTCTTAATCCTTTTAATATTTTTAGGAAACTTAACACAAGGAAAATCAAGGATGACTGCCGCTTCTCGTTGTTATTATGACAATTGGAGTCTCGGTGAGTTAAAGATCATATGTCATATATAATTTGACAACTCTATATAATAATTGATTTGCTTGGTTAAGCTACGCTAATACTTTGGAATTTTCTCAATGACAGAACTTATAAACGCATATTTTTGGTATTTTAAATGTTTTTTAAATAAATTGAAATTACCGTAATGAAACACAATGAATACAAATTTTAATTAATTTCATGTATTATCACTATGGACACTTTTTTCAATTTAATTTAATATTTTTATGCCATTATTTTATATTTAGTTCAAACAAGGACATGACATAATTGATCATCGAGTAATAAAAAACAAAATAAAATAAAATAATAACTTTATAAAAGTTTATATTTTCAATTTTATTCCATTTCACCGTAATTGAAGGGGAAAAAAGAAAAAGAAAAAATTATTGCATTTCTCGTTTTATTAATTCAAGTAACAAAATAAGATACCATCACATGTGTTTTTTTCTCTCTTTTATTACATTTTATTAATATTAACATAATTTAAGATAAAGTATAAATTTGTAATTAAACTTTTTATTTTTCACTTGTAATTGAAAAACGAAGTTTTATTGATAATCTTTCAAGATATAACACCTACTTTCTTAGTCATGGCTTATAACTGCTTTATTTACATTATTATTTTTAGTTAACAAAAAGAATATATTTAAAAATTGTTGGTGGTTTATTTCAACGCTCCCTCCCCTCCATAGCGCGGTTCCAATGTTTTTTGACGAAATTAGGGGGCGAAAAGCCAAGAAAGTATCACGCAATTTTCCGTTAAATATTTAAATGAACAATATTATTTAAATACGCGTTTGTTTAGGTTGGGTTGCCTAAGATTCGATCTATTATATCTTCATAAACAAAATTATATTTTTTATTTTATTAGTATATTTAACATTTATTTAAACAATTAATATTATAAGGTTTTTATTTAAAATTAAAGACACTCTCACAATATAAATTATGATGACAAAAAAGCAAGAGTTTCACAAATTTAATTCAACCCTTCTTTATCATAAAATTATTGAAAATGGGACAATAACGAGCCAAATAGATTAATACATATGTAAATGGGATAAAGATTGATATATTTTATTTATTAAATTACTTATCAAAATAATATATATAATGATATGATTATTCAGCAGATCCATAATCTTTAACGATTGTCCAAAGAAAGTTCTTACGAAGCAGAGTAATATTTTTTTAATTAAAATTCTTCATAATAATTAATGAGTTACTGTTATACTTTAAATTTTTGATACATGTTTAATGAATTAAAACATTGATTGAACGAATGTCAGTCATAATTAAATATTTTTGAACCCCAAATCTTAATTTTTACAGTTAAATTTAAGTATCTAAAATACTGTTTAAAAAGACAATAGACACATAAAAAGTGGAATACATGCTTTATTTTTTATTAAATTACTATTGTAATTTATTGTTTAAAATCAATTTTAAAAGTTAAGATTTTGAGTAGAGCACTTAAACGAGTTAAAAAAATGAATTTTCAGCTTTTCATTATGTGATAATTATCGTATTTAAAATTAACTGCAATGAGTTTTAATAATTTTAAAAAGTTTTTAACTAATAAGTAATTGTAATTATCAATTATAATAAATTTGACCTTCTTAAATCTTCTTATTATCATTTTTATATATATTATGATCACAACTATCTATTACAATGTAACCAAATATTTGAATTTAAAATTTGAATGAAAGTCTACAAAAACATGATTTATATTCAAAAGGATACTTTGTTTCAGATTCATATTTTAAATTTAAGTTCAAATTTTAGTTTCAAAATCTACTTATTATTTATTTATTTATTTCAACACATTTTTTTTCGTAATTTAACAAATTTTTAAAAATTTAAGAAAAACTTAACCGGATAAAATAACTAATTCAGTATAAAAGTTAGTCAAAATCTCATTAATAAAACAACAGTTTATCATTAACTTAGAGTTATAATGAGACAATAAATTATAATCTCTATTTTTATTTATCAGTTGAAAAAGAGAAAAATTATACACACAAAAAATCTAATTATTTTATTGAAAGTGCATTCTAAACTTTATAATTTACCTTTTATTCATAGATTTATTTTTATTCTTTAATTACTCAAAGGTACAGATATTTTATATGAACAAAACAATATTAGTTAAATTAAAGAATAATAATTAATAGTCCTAAAATTTTACAGATAAATAAAAACAAAGTTTTTTTTTCTCTTTTTATAATAAAGAAATAAAAATAAAGACAATATTAAACTATTCTAGTTGTTGTATTACATAGATCAACATGGACAGGTACAGGACTATGTTACTTATAATAAACCCCTTTAATTTATAGAGATCTAAGTATTATTCTTATTAATTATTTACTTGGTATTTTGTATTATTTCTAAATGTTTTTTTATTCTTTTCTATCTTTGATATCCATTTTAATCTATTATTTAATAAATCAACAAAATAAGATAAATTTATCATTCTGTTGCTTCAAAAGTTATCCTAAAGATAAGATTAAAAAATATTTAGTTAATATTGAGAAAATTTGCCTATATATCCTTACCTCACACGCGAAGCACTCCTCAAACCCTTGACCCCTAATTTATACATATATAAGCGCAAACAACACCCATATAAACTCATAGTTTTCCTCGTTCATTCAAACACACACACAGAACAGAAACAATGTACAAGGTAGCAAACGCTTCAGAATACCTCGCAATAACTGGAGTTGGAATCCGCGACATAAAGCTCGCAAAGAAAGCATGGATTTTCCCTGGCCAATCATGCACCGTCTTCGATCTCTCTCCGGTGAATTACACCTTCCAAGTTCAAGCAATGAGCGCCGAGAAGCTCCCTTTCGTTCTCCCTGCGGTATTCACAATCGGTCCAAGAATCGATGACAAAGAAAGCCTTCTCAAATATGCTAAGCTTCTCTCTTCCCACGACAAGCTCTCTAACCACGTGAATGAACTCGTGGAAGGAATCATCGAGGGAGAGACACGTGTTCTCGCTGCATCCATGACCATGGAAGATATTTTCAGAGGTACCAAAGACTTTAAACAAGAGGTGTTCGAGAAGGTTCAGTTAGAGCTAAACCAGTTCGGGCTTTTGATTTACAACGCGAACGTGAAGCAATTAGTGGATGTGCCTGGTCACGAGTATTTCTCTTATTTGGGACAGAAGACTCAAATGGAAGCTGCGAACCAAGCCAAGGTTGACGTGGCAGAGGCAAAGATGAAGGGAGAGGTTGGAGCGAAGATGAGAGAGGGAAAAACGCTTCAGAATGCGGCGAGGATTGATGCGGAGACAAAGATTATAGCGACGCAGAGGGAAGGAGAGGGGAAGAAGGAAGAGATAAAGGTGAGGACTGAGGTGAAGGTGTTTGAGAATGAGAGAGAGGCTGAGGTGGCAGAGGCCAATTCCGAGCTTGCTAAGAAGAAGGCTACGTGGGCTAAGGCGGCACAGGTGGCCGAGGTTGAGGCGGCGAAAGCGGTGGCGCTTAGAGAAGCCGAGTTGCAGGGAGAGGTTGAAAGGATGAACGCCTTTGCAGAAACCGAGAAGCTTAAAGCTCAGTTTCTCAGCAAAGCTAGCGTTGAGTATGATACCAAGGTTAGCTTTTTCTCTTATTCTTCATTCATTATTCAAATTAATTATTCTAATATTGTAATTTGTTTATTGATTATATTAGACTAATTATCTACACGTACAAATATTAGCACCCAAAATCATACTAACTTAAAATCTAAGAATATTTTTCATTAGAGGTGGATTTGAATTTAATATGATATATAAATTGAATTTTAAATTAATTTATTTTAATTTTTTAAAAGTATTTTTAAAAATTTTGGATTTAGTTTAAAATTAATTTTAAATCAGATAAATAATATATTTTATACTATTATTGAGTTATTATATTAAAATAATTAAATTTTATAATAATTAATAAAAAAGTATGTATATATATACTAATTGGTTAATAATATATTCTTTTATATTCATATTGTATTAAAATTAAATTAATATTTTCTACTTTGCATTATCTATCTACCACATAAAGTAATTATTTAGATTGAATTCTAAACTAATCTGTTTTATTTTTTGAAAAAACAATTTAAAATTAGTTTTAAAATTTAAATTTAGTTTAAGATTAATTTCAAATTTGATTTTATTAAATTTAATTTTAAAATTTAGAGAATCCACAATAATACTGATCAGTATGGATATTTAATTGAGATAAACTATGACTTTATTTTAATTCTTTCAAAAAACATGTATAAAGTCACAACAAAAGTGTTTGTATAATTTTAAAAGACGAAATGTTATTTTATTTTCTAATATATTTAAAAATAAATATATAAAATAAGTAAAAAAATTACAAGTATATGATATCGTATAATTTTACATTTGATATTGATTTTTAATTATTTAAATATAAGAATTATTGATAGAATGATGTTGAATAGGGTGTCCATGTTGAAATCTTTGTACCCATTCATTTCGCATGTTGATACTAATATGCGATTTTCCCAACGACGGCATGGCTGTTGAACATTTCTTCGTTACTGACTTGCTGTCATGGAAAAAATAAAGCATTCGGTGTTTAATATATAGTATGATGTTATTGGTAACCTGATTTGAAAAATGTGAAATAGTCTATGGGTTTTTGCCTTTTTTTAGAATTAGTTTTGAATAAGGGCAATCATAAAACGTAGAAAAAATGAAATACAAAGATAGAATTGTTTCTATAATTTTCACAAATATATATATAAAAAACTTAATAATTAGTGTATTTAAAAATGATTCTTTATTTTTTTTATAAGTAAGATAAAAAAATGTTAATAATTATTTTTAAAATAGATTTTAATAAAAATAATACAACAACAAACAAGCCTATCCCACTATGAATGAGAGAGTGAACGATGAAACCTAAAAGGAAAAGCGAGGATGACCAATTTGTTCTCTTGTTTAAATTTTCGTGGAAATTGTGGAATAGGTACAAGAAGCCAACTGGGAGCTGTACAAGAAACAAAAAGCGGCGGAAGCAATATTGTTTGAGAAGGAGAAAGAGGCAGAAGCACAGAAAGCATTGGCGGCGGCAGCATTTTACAGTCGGCAACAAGCAGCAGAAGCAGATTTCTATGCAAAGAAAAAGGAAGCAGAGGGGCTGGTGGCCCTTGGCCAAGCCCAAGGGGCATATTTAAGGACCCTTCTCGATGCATTGGGAGGTAACTATGCTGCTTTAAGGGACTATTTGATGTTAAATAATGGCCTGTTTAAAGACATTGCCAAGAGTAATGCCGATGCTATACGTGGACTTCAACCTAAGATTAGTATCTGGACTAATGGTACTGGGGAAGCAAATGATGGCAGTGGTGGTGGAACGGCTATGAAGGACGTTGCTAGTGTGTATAAGATGTTACCACCTCTGTTCAAGACAGTCCACGAGCAAACCGGTATGCTGCCACCGTCTTGGATGGGAACCTTGCCCGACAAAAGTTCCTAGCTGTGCCACATCAATTCAGTATATATATATATATATATATTTAATAAGCTCCCATTTAGTGAGCATATATGATGATACATATATTTGAATATAATTGTTTTTAGAATAGGTTATTAAAAATACTTTAATAAAGTTTATAGTAGTTATAATTTTTTAAAGATAACTTATGCTCAATTTTCCTGTATTGATCAACTAAATTTTACGCCACTGGTTCGGATACGTATTTTCCTAAGAATAAAGAAGCATATGGATACTTGACATAAGATGGGCGAGCTGAGAAGTGAAAGCTTACACGTGACATAATATGAATAAAATAAAAACAAGCACTGGTAAAATAAAATTAAGTGCCATATATAGTGTGATAAGAGATGAGAGTTAGGGGCTAATTTAATAAAAAGAGAAAAACACAAAAGTCTGCAGGAGAGATCATTATTCTTTAGTTGAGAAGAAGGCATGTCAGGTTGTTTACTTTACCTTTCAATGGTTCACTTCATTGATGGGAAGTTAAAGGCATTCTGCAAGAATTTCATCCTCTAATTGTAAGTTCAGTATTCATCATAGTCTTGCTTACATTACAAAACTTGCAGATTTTGGCCCTTCAGCATGCAAGATTATACAATTAGTATACCCCTTTATCAGCTGAGTGACACTGGTAAAATTATAACTTTAAAGAACCTAATGAGAACAAAGGGAAAAAAAAACTGAGAATAAAAGTAAAAAAGTACAGTACACATAATTAAGCAAATTGTCTCACTTACCTACGTGACTTGAGGATGTAATGTGATCGGAAGGCATCAAGAAGTTGTGGCAGAAAATGTCAAGAACTTCTAGTCAATTGCAAGCCAAATGAATCAACGCCTACACATTAAATTAGATAGGAAGCCTAACAGTGTTGAGCCCGTCAAAGATGATTAATAAATGAGTTCAATTTATTCAACTTCTACTAGTTATAGCTTTTGTATTGAATGTACCTTAATTAACGGGCTTTCTAACGTGTTTTTTCATGGTTATCCAACTACACGTTGATCTGACAAGGAATATAAATTGTCAAACCAAAACAAGAACTGTTAATACAAAAAAATATGTAACGTGCAAAATATTCCTAGACCTTACAAGCAAAATGGTATATAATTTCCTTATACATTCTCAGTGATGTCAAGAAGACTTTGATGATGTATCTATTATTTTATATGGTGAAAACTTTTCCAAACTTGTCCATTAATTTTTATTCTCTCACATGTACAGAACTTTTTCACTTTAAAAATTCTTTTTGTGGTATGTTCGTGTTTAATTTTCTGCTCTTTATTATTGGTATTGGCTGTGTTGCAATTTATTTTGTTCTCACAAGCAAAGAGAAGCTTTACTATTGTTTTTGGTTATTCTTTGCGCTCGCACTTATACCTACATAGTTACATAAACTACCTTTATGTAGAAAATGCCAAAAATATTTCTTAAGACATGTTATAGATATACAAATTTATATACCAAGCATGATATATTCCAGCAAGATTACCAACTCCAAGTCACCAGCAGCAGATAAGTAATCATTCTAGATGTCCACGAACATGCTATTCACATAGTTAATTGCAAAAATTTAAGAGATATTTCCAATCAGATTTTAATAAAATATTTAACAGTATCTATGTGAGTCAATTGCAATAAACTCAAGAGTCAATTGCAAATGTTTAACAGTATTCTAATAAAAAAATTTGAGAGTTATAATTTGAGAGTATATTTCTTCCAAAAATAAGAAAGTATATGTTAGTAATTATGTCTAAAGTCCCCGCAATTTTTTCTTTTATTTTGTTTCATTTCTACTGTGCCAAAAAAATTGAAGTTGTTTTTCAAGATAAATTAGAATTTAATATTATTTTGAATTTGACTTTGACTTTTAATTTAACTTTTAAAATTTGACTCGCCATATCAATAAACATTATGTATCTTGATTTAAATAATTTTCTACATCTTTTCTTTAATTTATTTCCATCTAATATAACAAATATTTGTTATTATTAACAAAAATACCTTTTATTATATTTAGTTATTTTTATTTATAAATTTTACTTGAATTTAAAAATACCTTTACAAATATCTGTGAAATGTAATAATCTCAAGGGTGTGAAACTTATCCACATAAAATATAATACGTAGTAGATAATTAAAAAAAATACTAGAAAAAGAAAATGCTACTTGGAAGGATAAACTATAACAATCTGTTTGGCTGCTAACTGTCTATTAACGAACGCCACAGAAGTCGAAGCTTCAAATCCCTAATCCTAACATCACCTAAGACAAACTTGAAGATAACTAATACACAAAGTCACCCATCTGTCACAATTAACAAAGAACAGTACAATCAAAACTCGACACGTCACAAAAGTAACCATTACAAGAACTATTCATCACCACGTGACAATACATCATAGGTCCTTGTTATTTATCATATGACCGCTTCAATTACTCATACCAAGTCTCAAATATTTGATCTACGTGAAGAGTTGGAAAACGAAGTCGAGTTTCTTTCGTATTTCTAAGTGACTGTGTCTCTCTTGTGCATGTGTGTTGCATTCACCCATATCATTCTAACAATAGGTCACTCAATATTGTAGAATGGGTAGAATTGGAAATCAATCAAGGCTTGAAGAAATTAAAGGCGCACTTAACTACGTAGAAGATTACGATTACGAAGACATGGGCATCACTTATTGTGGCTGTTTCCGTGGACTCTATTCCCCACATCGATATGAGTCGTGTCAGGATGAACAAGAAACGATGAAACATCATCGGAATTTGTTGACGAAGAAGCTGAAGAAGGTGTTGTCAGCAATTTTGAAGTGGCCAAAAGGGAAGAGATTTTCTTTGCGAAGGTTGAGGATATGTAGTGGATTGAACGAGAAAAGAAAAATACAGTTTCAGTATGATCCTAAGAGTTATGCGCTTAATTTTGATGATGGGGCAGAGAAAGAGGGTGAAAGTGTTAATCTTGATTTTTCGGCTCGATATGCATGTCCAATAGGAGGAATGAACAAAGTATATTTGGGATTGGGAGAACAGGGAAACGTGAACATTCTGGATTGGTGAACTGCTAATTTGTTATTCTTCCTCTTGTAATTTTTATAATCAAAATTTCTCTATATATAGAGGTTTTTTCCTAAAAAAATTAGTACGCACGGGGTTAGTATTTTTTTCTTTTAATTTCAGTCACAAATTGGATTGGAATTCTGTTATATTTTTAATTTACATAGCATGGTGAATTCTTATTTAATATATTGTTAATATGACTACATTATATTATTTTAACAACATAACAGAATAATTTTAAGTTTGTCACAAAGTGATCATCGTATCAATTGTTCCATAAAACTATCCTGCTCAGTGGAAGTGAAAATGCAGAGTAAAGACTGGCTGCAACCTGCAAATCATATGCAATGGGCACATATTAACGAAGGAGAGAGAGGACGCGCGGTCGTAATTTTTTTCTTCTTTCCCTTCTATCTTTCAAAGGGGTCGGCTTTTGTTTTTTGGAACTATTTTTCCTCTTCATATTTTAAACGACCAAATATAATATTATTGTTATCAATGGATTAAATATTATAATTTTTAATAAAAAATATGATTCCTCAATTAGCACTTGACAATAAGTAGTAAAACTGATTTAAAAAAACTCTCATGCAACTTTCAATCAACAAAAGAAATAGACATAACCTATACATGGGCTGTAAAACAAATGTAGTCTTAAATCCAATGAGCTAGGATAAAAATCATTTTAATTAGTGCGCAACTCTCTATATATTATAATTATTCAAGAATCGCAATTCGCAAGCATTTTTGTTCACTGTGAAATTTTTAATTATAACCTTTTTTGTTTGCTATATAAATTGACATGGGTTGGACAATATCTAAGCCCATCTCTGATTGAACCCAACTCATTACTGTCTTCGTGATAAAATAGACATGTTTTGGAAGGAGTACGTAGGTGTCTCCTAGTCCTTATCTGTAAGTAATGTGTGCTGAGTAGGGTTTGATTGTACTTGTTGGATGAGGTGAAGGAGTAACTTTTGAAGGGCCATACATGGGCCAGCTAATGAATTTTCCCTGTTGTATGTATGTACTCTTATGATAAAAGTGTTTCTCCAACCACAGAATACACTGGTTAACGTGTTGGTATATTGTTAAAGTGTATGGCACACACTCATTTATGTTCTCTACAACATGCTTTGGGGTACGTTAACTAGACCTGCGAGGGTTAGGTTTTCGACTCTTTGTTGTTTTCAAAACTGAGCTTTACGTGGCAAATTTTGAAAGTGTAAATGATAATCGTCTCAGTTAAAGAAAGTGTATTAAAAGACAGTAATATAATTTAAACATATCTATTGAGAGAGGGATGTAACTTATTCATAATTCTAAAAGAATTTTTGTAAAAAAATAATAATAATTTATATTTTAAAAAAATATTAGTTTAAATTTGAAAATTACACAAACGCTGTGGTAAATATGCTACTATTTGCCTACCAGGGGGACCACTTACAAAATGCACTGCTAATAAATTTGTGAGGAGCCTTTTCAATGTTTTAGACAGAATTAGTCCCACTCAAAGAAAATAGTGCGAATGCTCCCAAAAGAACGAATAAAATATAATATTTGTTTCTACATAAAAAAAAAAAGGATTTATTTCCATTTACTGAATCTGTTCCATCTTAGTTTTTCCAAACTGTAAGTACGTCGACAGGCAGTGTCATGAACTCACCACACCAATATTTATCCTTCAACCACGGGCAATCAAAAATATTTAATGAACTCTGTTTTCACCCTCATAATTTTTATTCCATGTCATGATTTTGACTTTAAAATCACTCGAAGGAGCAACATACAAACACCATGCCAAGTGCAAACGAGGCAACTGCGATTAAAGTCTAATAAATAAAAACTTCCTATGTATGGTTTCTGCAACAAATTGAACTCCATATTCCTCCTAATAGTTGCTATATGATTAAATGTTTTTATTCGAATATATCAAATATACCCCTTTTATATTCAATATTGTTGTTTATTAAGAGTGTTAGAAGAACATTTTAAGAAAAATATCAAAACCCCATGTATATACCAATTCTAAGAATAGCAAAAACAAAATTAGCATGATTGAAGGAAAAATGCTCAGATTATTACTGTACACCCACAACCCCTCACTATTATGTATATTTCACAAACATAAATATGTGACTAAAAATCATACGCCCATGGAATTACTACCCAAATCGATATCGCTTTATAAATCCTAATTGAACTCCCTAGCTAACCCTGTCCCTCTCCTTCTCATTGACTTTACTTGATTCCCTTGCCATGCTGTATGATAGAATCCCTTCCCTCTCCATTTACATGTAAAGATCACCACTATTATCACCTGCATTACATCTTTTAAATTAAGATTGGCACAAACAAAGGTCATGTAAATTTTAATTTAATAAAAGGACATCTACTATGAATACCTTTTGCGCTTGCTCTTCAAGACAGTAGAAGTTGAAGGATTGCTGTGCCAATTCCTCTTCCTTTGATTGATAAACCAATTATTGATCTGCTTTAACTGCAAACCCGTTTCCTGCACCAGCCTTGCCTTATCCTCCTCCTGAAAGGCACGACATAGTTAAAGATGAGTAAAAACATTGATTAATAAATTGTGGGACCGCATTTAATATTAATTTTGAAAAGTTTGCTTGGAAAAATCTAGCGGAGTAGCTTCAATTTTAGAACCTCTAGACCGCATATTCATAAGGTCATTGGTCCACGGTCAACGGTGCTAACGTGTGGACTAAGTGCACAAACCTTAAGCATAGTCAAATGGGTAAAATCCTTATTTCTTTGCTTTGAATTTGTGAACAAGGGCATCTTTGATGATATTCTATAAATTAGTTCAAAAAAGATTTTTGAAAAAAAATGTAGTAATTCAAATATAGAGTTCTTACAGTAGGGTAAGGCCATTTGGAATGTGATTGCCACCAAGCTTTAAGGACAGAGGTCGTGTCCCCAGGAAGTTTCCCAGCTCGTCTCTTGCGTAAAATTTCCTCTCTGATGTCCACAATTTTCTCTTTATAACCCTATAGAAATTAGATAATAATAGAATAGAAAAAAACAATATTAGAGGTCAATCACGTGAAAAAATATTCAAAATGATGGGACTTAATGGAGACTTTAAATTAAAAGGTAATATGAACACTTAATCCCTCACCTGTTTCAATTCGTGCTTCAATTCATGTCTTACACGTTCCATTAGGGACCTCTCATTCTCTGTGGGAATAAGAGGGCCAAATCCCATGCTATCGGGACCATCCAAAGCACCATCAAACAGATTGGCATCACTGTCCACTTGGTCCTCTTCGTCATCAGACATTGTTGCTCCTGTACCCTCCCCGGGTGAAACTCCTGTTAAATCATGCACCATGTGATAAAAACTAACACTTTAGTAGTACTCTTCCAATAGCAAAGAAGGTTGTTCTTTTGCTGTTTAATAGTTCATAAAATTAGCAAACCTAACCAAAAGGTTTATGACTACGTACACAATAGTTTGGCATAACATGCTTAAAATATGACAACTGGGCAATGCACACTATAAAGTCTCCAATATTTTCTTATAGCACAGTAATTGTCATAATTATATCTGAGAAAATGCGCAGCCGTTCGGTATATTCTTCACTATTTGGTTATATCTGCTTCAATTTTAATAAAGTTAGCCAAGATTTGAAATTTCCCAAACCCACAGGGTTTAATATACGAGAAAGAGAAGAAAATTTTAATTCCTGTAGCCATGTTCCTCTTAGTCTATCAACTATTAGGGACTTGAATATCATTTATTGTTACCCTGAACCTTGCAATTTGACTAATAGTTGACCTTGGAAGAAAATTTGAACATGAGGTTACAACTCATTGCAGGTACAATCCCTGATTTTGAGAACTTAAGTACTCAGAATCTGAATTAATTGACAGAAACAACTCTGTTCCAAGTTCCCAACCTGTGACTGTGACACCCTATAGTGAACCGCAAACATACAGCAGCAGCGGCAGCGGCAGCATAGGTTACGCCTATTTTCCAATGACATATTTGATACTTCAACCCGTTAAATTTGTGAGTGAAAAACTTAGAAAGAGGTAAAATTTTGGCCCAACTCCAAGGGGACATCAAACTCACCCTTGCAGTTTTCCCAAAAGCGCTGATAAATAACTAATATATTATTGTTTTTTGGGTGAGTAAATTGCTGGTTGGTTAACTGAGATAGCAGAAACATAGTTTGGGTACACAAAATGTTAGAAAATAACCTTGGAACAAACTATTTCCATTTTATCGTGCAACAAACCTGTTAAGATGTAACAATCACTAAAAAGACTATTTCTGTACCTGTTAGGCTTTGTAAGGATTGTTCAATCTCCCAACAAGCCATTACCGCTTCCATTGCATGGACCCGGACATGCTGTTGGAGTTGTTCTTTGAAGGAACAGAGCAACAAAACATAGTGCGACTGCAGCATCAATCAGAATAACATCAAAATCGAAACCGTATCATAGCAAATAAACTCTAACACGGATGGAATTACACATCATGACAACATCAAAAAAAGAAGTTTAGATGTAGTCAAAATCCACAAGGTAATCTGACCCAGCCCAAAATTGTTCATTGTTTCAAGAAAATTCTTCAGAAAACTACTGAAAACATTCCAGCGGAAAGGATTTCAAGATAGAAGTACTCGCGGAAGAAAAATTGAAATCCAGTATCAAAACTAGAAATAAACAACTCCCAAACAAACCATTAATTTATTTTTTTTCAAAGTACTGTGACTATGAAAGCATGTGATTAGAAGAAGATAGCGAAGATAAATAAAAAGACAAACTTGTTCGCCTAACGCACCGTAAGACATGACCGCAAAACCATCCCAATTACGGGTTATATTTCAAATGTCAAATTCAGCACAAAAAACGGTTCAAAAAGTCAAATTGGAACCACTTGCTTCCTATCTAGTTCCATCTTAATTTAATTTCATTAAATAACCATCATTCTACTTCTGACTTATTTTCATTCTCAGCGCTAGGAAGCAAAGAGACCCTGTCTCTCACTTTCTGTCCATGAACATTGAACAGCAACTCAAAATATCCAACACCCACTAATTGGCCAAGAAAAACCCTTTAAATAATCCACAAAACACATTAAATTAACAACAAGCGATTAGTTTTAATTAAGATTTGCAGTAGAAAAAGTGAAAGTCATGTGAATTGCACCCAGAGAGTAAAACTAATCCCAAAATCATAATTCGAAAAATTTTTAAAAAAATAATAATAATAATAAGGGAGAAATATAGAGTAATAAAGATTAAATAACAATACCAAGAACTGATCGAGTTCTTTATCATCTCCAACGATGCCTTGTCCAAAGGCAGAGTACTTGGCGACCACATTCTGGGACTGTGCGAGCTGAGCGTCGATCCTTGGCAACTGGTCAACCGGCGTGGCGATCCGTAAGCACGCCACGTGTGCCGACAGAAGCTGTTCGTACAGAGGATGTGCCAGAATCTCCGCCTTGTGCCTCGCATTCTGCCAGTTCATCAGCCCCTCTCCGCCACTCTCTGCAGCCACCGCCTCGCTCTTCTCCACCCCTCTTTTCAAATCCGCCGATTCGTGCGACACCGTCGCGCCGGCCATCATGGACTCGCCGGCGCCGGCGACGTCGTCGATGACCTCGCTGCGGTTGCGGTGGAGGACCGGCCGGGCAAGCCATTGCCCGGAGGATTGATTGGCGGCGGGGTCGGAGGCGGCGGTGTGAAGGTTGAGAAAATTGGTGCCGTTGTTGTTACTGGCGCTGTTGGCGTGGTTGTTATTGTTTTCAGTGAAGTGGGTGCGAAGAAGGGCGTTGTTGAGCCAATTGGGTGCGGTTTGGTGAGGATCGGAGGGAGGTTTGGAGGTAGGGTCGGAGGAGGTAGCTAGCAAGGTGTTGTCAGGGTGGGGGTGTTGTTGTTGGTCTGTGAAATGGGGAAGTGGAAGGTCTTGGGACATGTGGTGATTGTGGTACGCCATGTAAAACTGTGTGTGAAAGATAGCTATTGGTTCATGGCTTAACTTCAAGTGCAGAGAGAAAGAGAGAGAGAGAGCCGAGAAAAAGAAAACCCGAAAAAAGTGTTTGGTGTAGGAGTCGGAAATGAGGATAATGGCGTGTGTTTTATTCAGAGAGAAAAGAAAGAGAGGAAAAGGAGGGAATAGAAGCTGTTGTGTTGTGAGTTACTATGAATGTTATATTAATGGTTACAAACAAGATTTAAGAGAGAGAGAGAGAGAGAGAGAGAGAGAGATGTGGCTGTTTTTTGTTTTTCACACAGTGGTTTTCCGGTCATTGCTTATTTCTTCCGGAAACTGCTTTTTCAGTAAGCCTTGCTTTTTTTATAAAAGAAAAAATAATAATTTCAGCGTCATTCATACATTTTAATTTATTATTTTTGTACACGTATCCTTCTAGCGTTGGATAAACCAATTTCGACCCTTTCTAATTTATATTCTCATCGTGGTTTGGAATTAACTGTTTTTCAGCATTTTTCTCAAATGCTTTAAATAAATAGGTTCTATTTTTAAAATAAATTCATCTAATTATAATAAATGTCGTCTCATTTAAATATGCTGGAAGGAAGGAAAGTGCAGGTGCAGGTCATAAAATATATTTTAAATTTTCAAATTTATAAAAATCATTAATTTTCATGTTATTTTTTATTTACTTCTTTATCTTATTGAAATGTATTTTCTAGTTTTTGGGGCCAGACGAACTTTTAAAGCGACGGTGTAAATATTAATAATCTCACTGTTACATCATTATCCGATAGAGTTTATTTAATAAACGAAATCAAATAAAAATATAATAAATGATTTTTTAAAATAAATACATAGGAATCCATAAATATTAAATAAATACTTGTTCGTTTTTTGAGAGTTTATATGACAGCAAGTAGTATGATCCCGCCTTTGCCTCCGGTGTCAAACGGATACCTCTCCTTGTAACCTCTCTGATCTCTTTCTAGTGTTAATGTTTTTAAAGGCCCAAAAATTCGGTATTTTAATAGTTTTCATTAATTATAGAGACTAATGAGGTGATATGAGTTAATTCATATCACCTATTTTGTGTTATATCTTCTTTACACACCATCGCCGACTGTTAATAATAAGGAAAAGGAGGGCATTTGAATCTTGGAAATGTTCTCATTTCTTTAAAATTAAGTACAAGTAGATGACATATTTGTTTTCCTTAACTCCATCGTGTTGTTTCATTAAAACATTCAATTTTACTTGTCCTTTTCTAGAGTTATAAATAGTACTTGGATTAATGTTTATGTATTTTAAAGGATTCCTTTTTCTAAAATCTTGATTTTCAATTATACTTCTAATCACACATAATTTAATAAAAAACCAACATGGTTTATTAAAAAATATTTATTATACTATTATAATTCTAATACAGTAAACATGTAATTTTTTTACAAAAAAATATTATTTATAGAGGCTTAAAATCAGCTTTTAGAGTCAAGGTTAACCAAACTCAATAATAATTTATCTAACATTTTGATTTTTCTTATAACTTGTTTGTTAAAAATAATTAAAACTTTAACAGCTGTATTCACAATAAATATACAAAATCAATATTTTAAAGTATTCGTTTTCTTGCAATATTAGCTAAATAATCATTAAACCAACAGAAACTTAATTACGTAAATACAACTTATGTAAGTAGAATAGATTAAATAAATTAAATAAATATTATACTATTATTTTATCTTAATAGATTATATAAATACAGTATCCGTACTTAAAAATAACTGTATCTAAATAGCACGGACATTTCAAAGAAGAGGAAGATAGGTGCAAAATCACTGAAAATAAACAAAATATATGAATAAATTGATTTTTTTTTCGTCCTTTGTTAGTTTACAAACTAAATGGAGGAAATTTACTTACAATTTAATTTAGAGATTATTGTGTGAATATTTATTTGCGAAAAAATGAGCGAAGTGTTGACATAATACTTTAATGTTCAACTAGCTTCATACTCAACTAGAATGAAGTGGGTACAGTATTTATTAATAAACTTTTTTCCAAAATTATATATGTTATTTAATATAATATATTTAAAAATATTGAATAAAGATGGTATGCTTGTATAATAATATAAACAAGTTATTACTTATTCACTATATTTTATAAGTAGCTAATTTTATTGTATTTAAATTTAAATTGAACTGAAAAGTAAAGATGGATATAAATAGAAATATCATTACTGTCAAATAGCGGTGAAATCACGTGTGTAAAAAGAGAAAATAGTACAACGTGAGATGTCTTTATTATCGACAATGAAATTAATAAATTAAAGGCACATAAATTTCGTTAAGAGATCTATTTGATAATCTTTCCGCCTCAAATCGACAGGAAACAGGATTTGGTTATCAGTTAAAAAACATTTTTAATGTACACACAAAAAATTAAAGATATGAACTTCTAAAATTATGTAAGAAACTATAAAAATATAAAATAAAGCAAGACACACAATCTTTATCATTGTCAATTTGATATAATGCGTTATAATTTGACTTCAAACTATGTTTGACTACATGTAAGCAACAGTGTTTGATAGAAATGAAAAATCTGAAAAATATTATATATATTTGATACACAAAAAATCAAGTGATTTGCTAAGAAAAAAGTAAGTCCTAAATTTTTTAATCTCTACATTCAAGGGTGGGAAAAGGTACAAATTTGGTATTTTATCGTTGAGAAACGAAAAGCAGATAAATTTTGTAATTTTTTACTTTTAAACATTATTGCAATTGGGCACGCAACTAAACTCAACGACAAATTATAAAAATGAAAACTTTTAATGTCAAAATATTGTCCTAAAAGAATTATTGTTGACAAGTACTGAATCTAATTAAGCTCTTAAGTATTACTTATTTGCAAACTAAAAAAAATTAATTGATTCAAAAAAATATAATAAGTAGAGAAATAGATAAAGAAAAGAAGAGATAATAAAAAGTTTAATTCCCAAGGTCCACCGTGTACAAAAAGAGACATCATAAGATGGAAAAACTCGTGTAGAGCTATTTATAATAATAAAAACTCAAGCCTAATGAACGATCATGCTATATGCTCTCACAATCGTGCAAATAAGTTGCACTCATATTGGATATTTATGATGGTAAGTTATTTTGATTTGCATGGACATGCAACTGTGTAAGGTCGTGTGCTTATTTTCAGCACAGTCATGGAAACACTCAAATTCTAACTTTTTCATTGCTTTGCATTTGTACTGATGACTATGAAAGCACTTTTTGCGTCTAAATATTTTTTTTTTTTATGTTATTATAACTATCTAAAAGATTGACTTGTACGTAGCTATGCAATGGTGGCGATAATCGTGTTCATCAATTCTATAATATAAATTAGAAGATCAAATATTTGTTATGTTTATTAATATTTCTAAGAAAAATACAAAAAAAAATATTATGAATCCTTGTTCAAACGCATACACTTTTAATTTTTTTTATATTAATTTTTATAAAATTGATTTATTAATACAAAATTTTTCATTGAATTCTTAAATTATTAAATAAACTAACTCTAACAGAAAATATTTTTAGAAGAACTTGATTTCCTGCACGCTTAGATAAAATATGCAGTGCTTAAAATAATATAGGTTATGAACAAGCTTTCAATTTCTTATAAATTCATTAAGAAAACATCGAATAGTATGGTAAAATATAGTTTTTGTTATTTATAAATGTATTTAAATTTTATTTAAGTATTCTAAACTTTTTAAAACAATTCTTATCACCATTTATTAATAGTAAAATATTATTTGAAATTTTTACTGTATACAACTCATAATTGTCATTAAAGTAACATACATAATTGGACATCACGTCATCACAAAATAATAACGGGATAATTTTAAAATTTTATAAAGATGAAAGCCAACTAAAAAGCATTAAATAAATAAATTTACATTTAATCATATTTATGATAACTAAGAATATATTTAATTCTTAAAAACTAGCCACGTAAAATCTTTTATTTTTCTTTACATATTTCTCCTATGCTTTTGATTTTTTTCTGAAGGAAAAACTACATAACTATTACTCTTCGATTTTAAAAGAAAAAAAGAAAGAAAAGTGTTTAGATAACATCATCGTTCAGAATAAAACAACTCAATGTACTTTTTCTTTATGATCATCATTTCTACTACGATGTCATGAACTAATGTCTTTTAATCACTGATAGGATGTTTGCTTTTATTTTGATGCTCAGACACAACAACAAAACAAGGGCAATAATGGATTGAAGGATGTAAGAAAAGAAATGAAAGAAAAGCTTTAGATTATATGCATGGACCTACAATGGCCATTTGGCCATGCATTAAAGCCATGTTTATTTAGTCTTATCAAACCTCAAGGGATAGACATATCATTATTTTTCTTAAGAAATCAATAATAATATTTTTATACTTAATTCTTTTTTATTTATTTGTTTCTTTCTCACTTAATTCACATCTCTTAAAAAGAGTGAATATATATATATATATATATGTATCAACCTAAAAGAATCTGGTTATGATGTGTATTAGGAGAATTTTTTTGTTATGTCTGGCTGTCAGCAACTGATGGTTACTTCATTTCACGTAAAGCATAAAGCCATATACTGACGACGAAGGAGTTTTGTTCCCCAATTCAAGTCCCATACGCAATGTAATAAGCCTAATCTTTACTTTAGCCATATTTTCACCAATACATTCTTTTTTATGTTTCCTCTTAAGTCAGTACAAAACATTTTTTCATGTAAATTAATATAAAAAGGAAAACATATGCAACACACAGTTTTCAGAAAACCACCCATCTTAATGCTATTTTCGTTCAAACATGCTTATTTGCGAACTTCTTATGAGATCGATGCATGTATTAATATTCGTTTTATTTCAATTCATCATTAATATATAGATTTTAAATTCTAATATCATGAATTCTACAATATCACATATGTTACGTCTAAAAACTTTAAAAAATTATCTTTTTCCCTGCCACTTTTTTGGAAAGTTGACAATATGATAATTAATTAAATTTTCATTTCTTTTTCAAGTAGTTAATAGAAAGTTATTGAATCTTAGATCAATATTAAAATAATTTGCTCTCTCTCTCTCTCCCCCTTGTGTTTTGTATTTGAATAAACAAATTTTTTATTGTATAAAAACAATACATTAATGTTTTATGTTTTCTGATCTCGTTGACTAGACTCAATTAACCCGCATAGCCACGTATCATTATAAAATAAAAAAGTTATACATTTATTAATTTAGAAAATTTAAATATCACTTTTATATAAGATT